AGACCCTCAAGATGGAGGTGAGTTTCTATTGCTACTGCTATTGTTTTACCTCTTTGTGTTGACTGTGGCATGTGTTGGGTGAAGACTTAAAGCAGCATATTGCTCTAGGCGGAACAGTATATTGTTGCAGGGGCACCTGGCTAGCTCATTCAGTAGAGCATGCGACTCTTCATCTCAGTATTGCGAGTTTGAGCCCCACGTTGGGTGTAGAGATTACTTAAAAATAAAAAATAAAGATTTTATTTCTTTATTTATTTGAGAGAGAGAGAGAGAGCAGGGGGAGGGGCAGAAGAGGAGGGAGAGAGAGAACTCCAAGCAGACTCTGAGCTGAGCCCAATGTGGGGCTCGATCTCATAACCCTGAGATCATGACCTGAGCCAAAACCAAGAGTCAGATGCTTAACCAACTGAGCCACCCAGGTGCCCCCCAAATAAAAGAATCTTTTTAAAAAAAGATTTTATTGGGCGCCTGGGTGGCTCAGTTGCTTAAGCAACTGCCTTCGGCTCAGGTCATGATCCTGGAGTCCTGGGATCAAGTCCCGCATCAGGCTCCCTGCTCGGCAGGGAGTCTGCTTCTCCCTCTGACCCTTCCCCTCTCATGCTCTCTGTCTCCCATTCTCTCTCTCAGATAAATAAATAAAATCTTAAAAAAAAAAAGATTTTGTTTATTTGAGAGAGAGAGAGAGCACAAGTGGGGGGAGGAAGGGCAGAGGGAGAGGGAGAAGCAGACTCCCTGATGAGCAGGAGCCCGACTTGGGACTTCATCCCAGTACCCTGATATCATAACCTGAGCCGAAGGCAGATGCTTAACCGGCTGAGCCACACAGGCACTGCAATAAAAAAATCTTAAAAAAAAAAAATCATTGGATCATGAACTTAAAGCTCCTAACTCTAATCTATTCACATTTTTCCTGATACACATATAAAGGAGTAAGAAGAATTTGGATCCAACAGTCAACTATTTTTATTATACTTCATAGGGTTGATCTTAGAAGAGTGGGGTTCAAGACCTGAGTGTTAAGTGGTTCATACTTTAGTGGAGGGCATCTTGCAAGGGTGGGTAGAAACAATGTCTGCTTTTTCCTCTGCCTCTTGGGTCATAGCCTGTCTGGAAGCTAGCAAAGGTCTAAACACAGAACAGAGGGTATTAGGGATGAGATTAAGTGACTGTCACAGGCACACGGTCCCACAGTTTTCCTTTAAAGATGGAAATAATCCTCCAATATAGAACATGATACATAACATTGTATTATCACTAAATGGGCTTAGTGAATAGAACAAACATCACCTACCACCCAGAAACAATGATTCGCTGACCATGTTTGACCTCTAACCACTAAGGAGTTTTGGTTTTCCCTCCTATAGACATTCTTAACTGATTCCGTCAGATCCCTAGTCATCCCAACCATGGTTACCTTCTCTTAAACTGGACAAATTAGTGAGCATAAGTCAGCACTTCAACACCAAATTCAGACTTTATAAAAAAGTAAACCACACAAGGGATAGACATCAACATGGTGAGCACCTGTTGCTCAGGGCCCAGACTGAAGTGTTTTCACAGGGCTGGGTCACTGGGATGTGCTAGCCTCATATGCTCAGCATTCAGGGTGATTTGTGAGCTATTGCTGAGCACATAATGGTCAGTATAGCTACATAAGCGGTCATGGCCCTAAATGTGTTCACCTGAACTCAGCAAATCAAATTGGGTCTACAGAAAGGTTCTGTTGGGTTCTGACCAGAATCTCTTTGGATTCGCCATTGGATTCTCAGATTGAGCTGGGTTTTGACATGAGAAGATGTTCTGGTTCCTTCCATCTACCTGTAAGAGGCCCTATAATTATAATGCTAAGGATGTAGATTGTCCTTTAACAGACAAAATCCTTTTGATATTTTGTGTACACACACACACAAATAACAATAACAATAATAATATGAGAAGCTATTTTCCCATGTCTAATGAGAGAGTTCCTCAGGCTTCTGGCTTATCTTGGTAGTCTCTCTCCTTTTCTTTTTCTTAGCAAAAACTAAATTTTTATCAGTTTAAGTGGGATGATATTTGAGAAACTAGGATCCGGCTAACAAAGGGTATTTTCTTAGCAAAAAGGGCTTAGAGGTCAGCAAAGTGTATCTCAAGATACAAAGAAGGCATGAAGATGAGTTTGGGGCCGTAGCTTGGGTCACTAAAAGTCCTGCGAGAGTAGAATTCATCTTTCTTTTCTCCTTTCTCTGTAGGCACTTAAAGATACTCTTTTTTCCCTCAGAAATCAGACTTTTCTATTGAAGTATATTTGGCACATAGTATCGTGTAATTTTAAAGTGTACACATGTTAATTTGATACATTTATATATTGTAATATGACTGCCATTGTAGTGATAATTAGTACCTCTATCATATTACATAATTATTATTTCTTTCTAGTGGTTGGAATAATTAAGTTTAGCAAATTTTATGATTATAATACAATATTGTCTATATTCACTATGCTGTGCATTAGAGCTCTAGCACTTATTTACTATTCATTGAAAATTTATACCCTTAAAAAACATCTGTCCTATCCCTCCACCACCCATCCCCTAGTAACCACCATTTTACTCTCTGTATTTAGGAGTTTGGCTCTTTTAGATTCTACATCTAAGTGATATTATTCAGTATTTGCTTCTCTGATTGACTTATTTCACTTAGTATAATGTGCTCAAGGTCCATTCATGTTGTTGTAAATAGAAGGATATCCTTCTTCCTCATTTTCTTTATCCACTCATTCACTGATGGGCACTTAGGTTGTTTCTATATCTTGGCTGTAGTGAATAATGCTGCAATAAACATGGAAGTGCATATATCTCTTTGGTATCCTGTTTTCACTTTCTTTATGTATATACCCAGAAGTAGAATTGCTGGATAATATGGTAGATCTATTTTAAATTTTTTTGAAGAATCTCCATATTGTTTTCCATAGTGGCTGAACCAATTTACATTCCCACCAACAGTGTTATAAGGGTTCTCTTTTCTTCACATCCTCGCCAACATTTGTTGTTGTCTTCTTGATGATAGCCATTCTAACAGGTGTTAGATAGATATCTCATTGTGATTTTTATTTGCATTTCCCTGTTGATGAGTGATGTTGAATATCTTTTCATGTACCTGTTGGCCATTTGGATGTCTTGGACACATTCTATTTAAATTTATTTAGTGATAGTTTTCACCATCAAACAACATATTCGTTTACAGGTAGATTTTTAAAATAGTTTAAAACTCTTACAGAAATCATGTCTCAGATATGCTACTTCTTCCCTTAACCTTTAGATATACCCACAAATAGAGTACCTAGCCTTCCATATCTGGGCATTCTTCAGTATTCCAGCACTGAGATTGTTTTTGTTTTTCATTTTTAAACTACCATCTCACTCTGTGCCAAACACTATGCCAAGAGCTTTACATGCATGATCTCATGTTCTTCTAGCAATCCCATGAACTAGGTATTATTCTGATTTTTCAGAAGAGGAAACTAAGACTCAGAAAAATTAGGTAACTGGCCCGATGGCATATAGCTAATGAATAGAGAAGTTGGAATTCACATTTTCCCACTGTGCTTTTGACTTTCCTGGGAAGCATTTTCCCTTGTTCTTCAATTTGGGTTGGAGTAACCTGTGATTCTGTTCATGAAGATATACCTCACTTTACAGTAAATATTAGGCACTAAATAATTTAAAGTAATCCTGCAGTGTTTCTTCTTCTTCTTCTTCTCCCATCCTTCTACTCTCCCTATTCCTTTCTCCCCCTCTTCTTCCTCTTCCTCTTCCCCTTCTTCCCTTCTTCTCCCTCCCTCCATTCCCCCTCCCCCCTTGCTTTAAACAAAATATCTTTTTGATTTGAGTTCTCTAATTTTGGCACATATCTACAAATTAAGATTTTTGAACACGGTTCTGGAAGCGTCTTTACCACATTTAGTTTGTACTCCTTTTTCTTAGCTCATTTTTTTTGGTCAGACATATTATTTTAGACTTTCAGGTTATCTAATAAACCACAAGTTCACAGACTCATAAAAATTTAGAGGGGAGACAGCTTCAGAGACCCGCTCATCCAACCCTGTCATTATATGGGCAAGGGAGGCAGCGGGTGGCTGCAGGACCCTGGTTGAGTCAGAGTCTCAGTTATTCCACCTAAAACTGGAGGAAATCTTACTGCTTCTAAGGAGTTGTTCCAAAAGTTCACAAATCAGGAGGAGATATCTAAATGGATGTTTTCAATTTTGTCTAAAAGAAAGAAAGACTGATACCAAGTGGCAGATGGTTTTGCTCTGATCATTTTCAGGAGTACCCCTAAGATACACTGCTACCACCAGGCTGTGGCAACCAGTCAGGACTGCTCAGAGCAAGGTAACCTCTCCGACTGGCTTCTGCTCGGGTTTAAATCAGAAGAGGGATGCTTGGCGGCAGACTGGCCTCTGGGTGTTCAAAAGGACTTTTTGTTCCTTGGTCATATTTCTATTAGTCTTTCTCTGCCTTTAACATATAAGAGAAAATCAGGAGAAGGGGACCAGAATGTCTGGAGGGACAGAAGAAAAAGCCCCAGAACAGAGAAGGCTGGTGGTTATGTTTGAGCTGAGCCAGCTTTCAGTAACACACAATGTGGAGGCCTGTCAGTGATGTGTGGACAAGTGACAGCCCTGGCATTTTAACGTAGCAATCCTTCACTTGCATCCTAAGCTCCTATTTTGGGAGAATAAATTCCAAATAGCATTTCCAAGGAGAGATTGATAAATATTTGGTCATTAACTAGAGACCAAATTCTCCCTCAAAATTTAATGAAAAAGAAAATGTAAAACCTCCTCCCAACTTTTTTTTTTCTTTATTCCTTGCTTATATACCACTTGGCTGAGTGTTCTGCCTTATGTTTGTTAAATGAAAAGCATCCATTTTGTTCTGGCATAAACAGCAATATAAGCACAGTTTCATACATTATTCCAATGTATTTAACAATGAGGTTCTTCTCATTTTGCACAGAATAGGACACACAATGAAGACAATCAATGAAAACCAGAAGATCTACTGTTATAATTAAGAACATCAAGAATAGGCAGCAAGGGACGAAGGAGGTCAGGCTGCACATACATGGACAAAGCCAATTTCTTAGAAGATACAACTTCTAAGCAACAGAAAGATTTGCCTTATGATGGGGATTTCTCCCAAATTAAGATATACAGTGATTACAATTTTACCTCAAAAAATGACATCCTTGATGTCTCAAATCAAATTCCTTTAACAGTAGATGACCTTCAAGAAAAGGCTACATATAGAGAGACTTGCAGAAATGCAGACATGGTCATGACTCTGGGTAAAATGACTAAAACTGTTATCAACAAAAACTATGATAAAGAGAAACAATCCACTGTAAATCTTGATATTCTGGCTAATGAAAGAGACCCTTCCAAGTCAAACATTTCTGATATTTTACTCCATCATCTTTCCAATCAGGAATTCTTAAAAGGTCAAGGCATTAATTGTGAAACTTTCCCAGAGATTTCTAATGCTGATAGTGCTGATGAAGATATTGTTAAAAATATTATTTTGCGCTATGTTAAGAATTCTTGGCCAAAAGAACAAACCTCAGAACTCACAGACCAACTGAGCCCCAAAAGGGGTGGTGAAAACAGCAATATGCCCTGTTGTTCACTAACTGTGACAGAAGGAAACGCCTCTGACTTAGAGGCTGCTGGAGAGAGCAGCCATCAAGAAACTTCACATTTTCTAACTAAAATCAAGAGTCCGCATGATAAACCAATAAGTTGCCAAGGGCAGCCACCCCAGAAACTGCAGACCGAAAAAGCAGTTTCAGGCACTGGATTCAAACATGGCCATAGTCTGGTTCATTACGAGTTATCTGATTTCCCTAAGGTTGCTCCCAAAGGGAAAGTCCCTAAAAATAAAACAATTAATAAACCACTTACAACAGATAAACAAGCCAGCTTTTCTCCTAAATTGAGAGATAAGTCAGCTATTGTGCAAGATATTTTAGAAAGCATGTCTAGGCCAAACTGTATTGAAAGACAAGGACAGAAAAGGAAAACTGCTGAACCTTCACAACAGATAGAGGTAAGTGAAAGTGGTCTCCAGGAAATGCATGATTGGGGCCACTTCTCATCCGTACAGTGTGGGTCTTTGCAAGGTGCATGGAACTGACCTAATCTTTGACCTCTCAGAAGCTCAGTGGGTGTCTTCCTGAGAAGAATCAGGGGCTGGACAAACAACAACACATCATAGAATAAACTCCAAATTCTTTGACCTGGAATTTGAGTTTCCCCATTTTTTTTGGGCTCCATCCTACCCTTATAAACCTCGCTCTCATCCCCCAGGAGTCATCCTCAGTGAAGTGGCTGGTCTCCAAGCTCTCTGGGCCCGCACCCTTGGAGCTCCTGCCTCACATGGAACATCCCACCTCTGCTTGTCAAAGACGTGCGCATTTTCATGGCCCCCTTCATTTCCCCGTTGGCTGGGGGACTTTCTGAGTCTCACTCCCACCCCCAGTCAGTCCTTCGCATCCTCTGTTGTTTAGGTTTCTGTCAGAGCATTTATTTATGTTAGCCTGCTTTGGATCATGATAATTTGGAAATATCCATTTCTTCCACTAGACTTGAGTACTCTGGAGGGCAGCAACTTTGTCTTCATCATTCTATTGCTTAATTCCCCCAGGGACCTGGCCTTCTGCCTTCCATATATTACATCCTTAGTTATTAATGCTAAATCAAATCAAACTTAGGTCTTTAATAACATTCCAAACTTCCTATATTGGCAACTATTTAGTAGCAGTTTTTTTAATGCTTACATTGGGATTTTCTTTATTTTTTTTAAGTAATCTCTACACCCAACATGGGGCTCAAACCCACCACCCCAAGATCAAGAGTCGCATGCTCTACCGACTGAGCCAGCCAGATGCCCCCGAAGACCAAATTTTGTTAATGTTTAATTTATACTATTTCCCCTTTCCTCATCTTCCCATCCCCCCATCCCACTTCCCAACACATTGAGGCTTGGGACCTCATTGATTACTTGAGGTTCAGTAGTTAGGTAAATTCGCATTAATGATCAAAGTAAACATTTTAGTTCTCTGGCACTTTGCCCACACAGTATGATCTTTCCCTTAAGCTGTGTACGAAGGGCGATCTGAACTGGAAAACACTCTCTGCCTGTTTCCATTTCCACCCCTTCATGCTTCAGCCCTCTCTTTCAGCCGAATGCTCTGGGGAGCCTGGGCAGAACACCCACCCACGCCCACCCCCCACACACCTGAAGCCAGCAGCCCACCTGGCCTTGACTGGTGTGCTTCTCTGTGTCTGACACTGGCAAGTCTCAGGGGTCCTCACTTGGCTTGCAGGAAAACACCCCTGGGGATGCCCAGTCCTTGGGCCTGGAGATGAGTAGGAACAGATTGGATATTAGGCTCACCTCTCTCTGGCTGTGGCAGCCTAAAGTCAAGTGTCTGATTTTCTCTAGTCCTGTCGATTAAGGCTGGAGAATAGACTATCCATCATACCATTGAGGTATTCGTCATAACCAAAGTCTAGTTTGACCACCACCGTTGAGCGCTCGGGCACGAGCATGTTTCTGAGCTTTCTGTGTTGAGAACAGTGGGAAGACCTCAGCGTGAGTCACTCTGGAATTTAAGCTCCTGTCCTGTTAGTCTGTGGTGAGTAAACAATCACTATCTTGACTCACATTTTGGAACTTAATGCCTACGGTTTTTTATTATTCTCTAGAGTGTGGCTACTGTGTGCACAGTGTTAGTGAGAACACCGGCCACATAGCTGGTGAGAAGACCAACAGTGGTCCCTGCCCTCATGGAGCTTACGGTCCAGTTTTGGGAGAAATGTTTCAGTAGTCCCCGTAATACTATCGAACATGGTAGTAGTAACAGCTGATGTGTCATGAATGCTTTAACCACGTGCCAGATCTTATGGTAATACCTAACATTTCATCCTCATAACAACCCTAGGAGGTAGGTTCTATTTCTATCCTCATCTTATTGCTGAGGAATTTGAGGTTCACAGTGATGAAGTAATTGTCTTGAGTCACCCAGCAGATGAGTGTCAGAGTGGAATTCAACCTTGGCATCAGGGACCCAGCTCTTGACACAACTCTGGGCCACCTCCATGATGACCACACATTTTGGATCTTTTTGAATAATGGCGTTAGCAATAAATAGTGTTTTCTTATCCTTTAATTGTACAGATGGAGCCCACAATACATATTCACCAAGAACATCTCACAGGTACTAATATTTGATTTGATTTGATTTTTTTATTTTTTTAGAGGGAGAGAGAGAGAGAGGAGATGGGAGGAGGGGCAGAGGGAGAGGGAGAGAGAAAATCTTAAGCAGGCTCCATGCTCAGCATGGAGCCTGATGTGGGGCTCGATTTCACGACTCTGAGATCATGACCTGAGCCGAAATCAAGAGTCAGACGCTTAACTGACTGAGCCACCCAGGCGTCCCAGGTACTAATATTTTTTTAAATCTTTTTGATTTAGATATACATTTTGAAAACTTTTGTTAAATAGCAAATGGTGGTCGTTGCCACGGACTTCTGTTTTTAGTACTTAATAAATCTGCAGTAAAATTGAGATGAATGGAAGCCAAAACTTACTCTTTCTTATACAGGAATAGAATCAGAGATGAGTCTCTTTAAAGTGTCATCAATGTCTCAGAAAGACATTTTCCCAAGTTCTTCTTCCATATTTCAGAAGATAATCCAGGGGAAACAGATGTGCCAGAAGTTAAAAGAACAGACTGATCAACTGAAGACTAAAGTAATGTTTTTAAAGCTTATTATGATGAATAGAAGTGACCAAAGTCAGACATAACACATCTTGCCATTAATGAAATATTGCATTTTTTCACTGTAGGTACAAGAATTTTCCAAAAGCATAGCAGAGGACTCTCCCTATCATTTGCAAGATAAGAGGCTGGTAATAAATTTTATCCAGTTTTAAACATCTCTGTTAGGGAATTTGACTTGGGTAAATACAAATGACTTTATAGCACCATGTTTTCTCTACATTGGTGGGAGTAGAAATGTTCTGCTGGAAATACTTTGCTGAAGATTAAGGGCAATGACCTCCAGAGGCCTGGCCTTGTGTCTTACATATATTATGCTCTTAATTATTAATGATGAATTGAATTAAGATCTTTAATAACATATTTCAAGCTTGATATATTTGGTAACTAGTATGAAATGTTGTTAGTGTTTAATTTACACTATTTCCACTTTCCCCATCTTCCCATCCCCCCACCGAGCCTCCCAACACGCTGAGGCTGAGGATCTCTTTGGTTATTTGAGGCTTGGGGGCTTTGTGTTACAGGGGCTAAAAGAGCTTAGAATTCTATTTCTACATGTATTTAGCCCTCTCTCATTCTCAGGGGAATCTATTACCTATGGTTATTATTTCTTAGCAGTCACCCCACAATAAATCTGAGACCATGGTAGACTTAAGAGAATAACATGTCAGTTATAAAGGGCAAGTCCATCCAGAGTTGTTGAGTCCTGGGGGATACAGGTTATAAAATTTCCCAGTACCTGACAACTCAATATATAAAACTTTGAAAACTTAAAACTGATCTTAAAGCTATGCTTTTCAGATCAAAATCTGTGACTGTCACATCCTTGCTTGTTGTTGCATTTAATCAAATCACTAATTTATATTGTACCACACAGCCTTGTTCATCAGTGCCAGGGTTGTGGGAAGTTGGGGTGGAGCATGGCAATGGGGCAGAAAGCTGAGATTGCTAGAGCCAGAAATGTGCAGAGTCAAAGATGCTGTTCAGGCCATTAGGTCAGCAACAGGTGATCAGAAGGCAGGTGGTCAGAAGTCCCGATGTGAAGGACCACAAGCAAAGCTCAGGGCAGGTTGTGCAGTGGAAATCAGACAGCATAGACAAAAACCAGGAGGACTCAAATGTTAAGAGACACAATGCAACAGTGCATTATTCATTCGTTCTTCATATTAATTAAATAACTCATTCATTCATTCATTCAACAAACACTTATCAGGTACTTCCTATGTCCCAGACATTTTACCAGGTACTAGGGATTTGGAAATGAAGAAACAGTTTCAAGTGGCTTACAGTCTCCTAGGAACAACAGATTGAGAAACAGATAAGCGGGGGTGGGAGGATGGGTGAGCCTGGTGATGGGTATTGAGGAGGGCATGTTCTGCATGGAGCACTGGGTGTTATGCACAAACAATGAATCATGGAACACTACATCTAAAACTAATGATGTAATGTATGGTGATTAACATAACAATAAAAAAATAAAAATAAATTTTAAAAAAGATAAACAGATAAGCAACATGAAGCTCGAGAAATATTACATATAATGCTAATGGCAGCCTAGAAGAGGCTCACCCTTGCCAATTCGAGGGCACCTGGGGAGGCTCCCTGGAAGTGACTGACCTGTGAGCTTGACACTGTAGGATGAATATGTATGAGATTGGCAAAGTAGGGGCAGGAGGGTGTTCCAAGAAAAGGAATCAGCAGGTACAATGGCACAGGGGACAGGGAGTGCTGATAGTTTGAGGAACTGTATGGCACTGTAATTGGCCAGATGGAGCTCAGGGTAGTGTGGTGAAAAGAGAGAGAGGAAATGAGAGAGGGGGTTAAGCACTACATCATGAAAGACCTTTAAACCATCCTAAGGAGCTTAGATTTTACCCTGAGGTTAAGTGATGGGGCAACATTGGAGGATTGAAAGCCAAGAAATGGTGAGCACACTGGGGGCAAGTCTGTAGCTAGGAAGCCATACTCCAGGTAGCAAGTTATGAGGGCCTGAACCAAAACTGGCAATGAGGATTGAGAGGGGAACACAGCTAAGAGTTTAACCAAGCGGTGGCAGATTAAGAGGAGTAAATAAAGGAAGGGAGGAGGCTTGGATGAGTTTCAGATTTCTAGCTTGGGCAACCAAGGTCCGGACTAAAAATGGAAGATCCAGTTCCTAGTGGGTGTGGGAGGCGAGCAGGAGGCAAGGCACCAAGTTCATTTTGAGGTCCTTATAGGACATCCAATTGGAGAGATCCAGTAGGCAATTAGACCAATGGATCTGGGCCTCAGAGGGGTTGTTTGGGCAGAAATGTAAATTTGGGTATAGCTGTGGGTTGAAGCTATGAAGTATATGAGATTGCCCAGGCAACATGCAAAGTAAGCAGTAAAGAGGCACAAGGAAAGAATCAGCAAACAGGGGCAGGCAAAGGAAGAGGGAGTCAAAGGAGACTGACAAGGAGTGACCCGAAACATCAAGGCAGACCTACAAGGGGCAGAGCTGTTAAAGCCAAAAGAAAAGAAGGGGGCATGGCCACATCATCAGATGTTTAAATAAGGAGGAAAAAGTCAAGAAGTGCATCGGATTTGACCAACAAGAGATCATGAGGGACCTTGGCAAGCCCAGTTTTAATGAAGTGGTAGATCTGTTGAAGCCAGATTGCCAGAGTTAAGGAGTGAATGATAAAGGAGATATAAAAAAAATCCTGGCTTTCAGGAATGGGGAGAACACAGATTTTTTTATGGTATTTTTTATAAGGATTTTATTTGACAGAGAGTGCGCAAGCAAGGGGTAGTGGCAGAGGGAAAGGGAGAAGCAGGCTCCCTGCTGAGCAAGCCCGATGTGGGGCTCCATCCCAGGACTCCAAGATCATGACCTGAGCTGAAGGCAGATGCCCAACTGATTGAGCCACCCAGGCGCCCCGAACACAGATTTTTAAAGGGCTGAGCAAAGCAGAGGGAACTGGTACCAAGCATTAGTGTTCTGAGGCTTCAATCCAGGAAGTTTCTCCTTGATGCTAGATGATTTGTGGGGATTTGTGCTGGGATGGAGAGGAGAGTCAAGGTGACTCCTGACAGTGTCAGCCTTGGCCTGAGAGTTCCAGGCCCATTTGATTCAGTGCTAGAAGAAGGCCAGACAGGGCTAAAACTAACCTCAGGAAAAAAAAATCTAAAAAAAGGGGATGCCTGGGTGGCTCAGTTGTTAAGTGTCTGCCTTCAGCTCAGGTGATGATCCCAGAGTCCTGGGATCGAGCCCCGCATTGGGCTCCCTGCTCCACGGGAAGCCTGCTTCTCCCTCTCCCACTCCCCCTGCTCGTGTTCTCTCTCTCACTGTCTCTTTCTCTGTCAAATAAATAAATTTAAAAAATCAAAAATCAAAAACTAAAACTAACCTCAGCACAACAGAATGGAAAGCACTTGGATGTTGGAGCAGACATTCTAGTTCTACATACTGGTTGTACGATCTAAGACATGAAGTGTTTCTTCCCACCCCAGAGTTGCTATGAGAATTAGAGGAAGTACATTTATGGCTAGAAAAACACGCTCTATCTTCTTTGGAGATATAATACAATTTAAATCCCAAGATCTTAAATGATAATTTGTGATTGGCTTTCTCTCTTTTCTCTTTCCTTTGAACACCTAATTCCTTCTCACGGTTTTCACTGCCGTCACCATCTACCAGTTCCTAAATTACTGGTTCTAACTTCTCATCTACAGCTCCAAATGTTTGTATCTTCACTTGGCTCTCCTGCTCTCACTGAAAATTCTACTCGTCCAACACTGACAGCTTCATTCACATCTGTTAGTCTTTTCAAATTCCTCATTTTAAGTCAAGGGTTTCGCATTCTTTCCACCTCCCAAGCTAGAAACCAGAGCGTTATCTGTGAGATTTATAGTATCAGTCAGGGTCCTGGCAGGACCTTGACGGTTTACTCCAGTGGAGCAACTGAGGAGAGTTTAATAAGGCCTCATTTACAACAGTGCAGGCAAGGTTAGGGGAAACCAATAAGGGACAGAGAGCATCTCATAGAAGGAACAGTGGGGCAAATGGGATGGAGGAAGAGCAGATTTTGGAGCTCAGGGAGAGTAGCTATAGTGGTAGGAGAAGCTGATACAGGCAGGAGGACATCAGGGAAATAAAGACCCCTACCTCATCCTTCATTTCTCTCTTCTCCTGTTGTCTTCTACTGGCTGAAACCAATGCTGGGGCAAGGGAGCCTGTTGATGCAGTCCACTGAAGGTCAGCCTCCTGGTTGGGGCACAGAGAAAGATGGAGGATGCATCTGGGCAGGGGACATGGAAAATATCTACCACACCTGCCATTTTGTATGCCCTATGGCCAATATGTTTCCAAACTTGTTTATTCATTTTTAATAATCAGAAGTAATCATTATGATGATGATCCTGGCACTCAGCATTAACTCATTTAATTTTCACAGTATGAGGTGAGGGCTATTATTATCTCAGATGAGAAAACTGAAGTTTAGAGATCAAGTTGACTAAAATCATACAATTATTAGGTGATAGAGTCTGAACTTGAGCCCCAGGGTGTCTGATCCTGTAACCCCATTGTGCTATATGCAGTATCTCTCCAGTCACCCTTTCCTTCCCATGTTCATGAACACTGCCTGGCCCAGGCCCTCCTGGGTATTCTTTAAGCCTGACTTAGCTCTCACTTTTACTGAGCCATGTCAAAATCCTCGAATCCAGTCTCTTTTCCCAACTGGAATAAAATCCCTAAGACCAGGGGTGGTTGTGCCTGATGTAATTTTTGTATCTCTCATACGTTTGGCCCGGGGCCACACACAGGCAGTGCTCAGGGCTGCAAGGCTGAAGCCTCTATACATCAAGACCAGACCTTAACCTTCACGGCTTAAGTATTCATCTGCATGGCGCTGCATGTGTGGACGTCTCGAAGACCCATTCAAAGCTCTGGCTAAACTTCTTGGTGTTCCTTCCCCCATCTCACCCTCCAAGTGCCATAGACTCAAGCTCAGATCCTCTAATGTCAGTTCCTTTTAAGGTCTGTGTGGCTTCAGGCATACCTCCTAGAGCTCCAATTTCCTCCTGTATACAGCTGAGATAATAAAATCTATTCTGCAACATTTACAACATTGATGTGTGGATTAAGTAAGACAATGCACGGGAAAGTAAGCTACAAATCATTCTGCAAAAGCACAGGATTACTGATATCCTATTAAGGAAGTTCAGAGGCCCCTAAGTGGGTTCTGGGAGAGAAATCAGGTCATTGTACTGAAAAAGCTGTGTGCTAGGAGGGTGTTGTAAACGTGGAGATGGCTCTTGGGTAGACCGTATTTTAGATGTCACACTCTGAAACAAAACAATGGCCGGGAGAAGGATTGTGGCTTTATTTTGAAACTACCGTAGGTACACCGCCCTTGTATTTGGGGGAAACCAACCACAAGCAGAGGCTTCCATGTGCATGACTCCGGTGACTTTACTGCTGCAGGTCCTGGAGAAACTGCAGGGACATCTTGAACTGCTGGAGCAGGAGTTTCTGGACAACAAGGAGATGCATCTGACTTTGAAGCAAGTTCACAGGCATGAATCCCCAGCTGTCGGTGACTTTGATCCAGAAAGGTCAGGGTTAAACTGTGTGAGGTGGAGGGGGCAGAGGCGACCTCCTTCAGGTGGGATTCTGAGGTGGCTGCCGGCCTAGTGATTGCACAGCCCCTGGTCTAGGGTCAGCAGAAACTCTGCCACCAGTGAACAGGTGTTACCCCATGCGACAAGCAGTGTGGAATCCCCGCTACATATGAAGTCCTGGGCTGGGCACTGACCCAGACGGAGTCCTGGAAATGAACAATTGTCTCCTGGAGGAGAGATTTTGTACTACCATCTTGTCCTTTGTTGGATGTCAGAATTGGTTCTGAGACTCAGAACAGCACGAGAAAACTCTAGAAAGGCTCACACGCTAACCCCAGAGGGCCTTCTCTCCAAGATCCTCGTGTCCTGCCCTTCACCCCACTCCTGCCTCTGTTTCCCCTGCCTGGTTCTTCTGTCCCCTTCTCTCCCCCTTCCCTTTTCTTTCCCATCCACAGACAATTCCACTGGGGCAGTGGGCCTGAGAGGACCAGTGTTAGGTTAGTTAATGTGGGGCCGAAGGACCCACAAATCCCTGTAAAGGGAAAATGTTAAAGCTTAAAGTCAAAATGACTTCTGAGTTAGTTCACATTAGAAACTTGGAAGCAAACTCACTGAAGTTTCCAACTGGCCATTATTTTATGGCCCTGCGCTCCTTTCTCCAATCCAAATAATTTTAAGATGTATTCCAGGACTCAAGGCTAGGATTGTTTCCATTTAATTTCCTGGTACGAATTAAAAGAATCCATTTAGGAGGCTTAATCTTTGTGAGTGCAGCTCTTTCTATTCATAGCATTTTCACATGGAATCATTATTGAGGCCAGATTACTTTAATGGTTTATATTTTGGCCCTAGTGTCCTGAGGTATTTCCCCCCCGCCCAAAGGACAATTTTACTTTTTCAAAATGAATGAAATCTCTGTCTACCGTTATTTCCATACTGAGTAATTAGACAGCAAGGATGAGGTTTTAATATTGATTTTTCCCCCCAAAGGCTTATTTTGTTTTCTGGGAAAAGAAAGATCTCTACATATTTTCACTATTTAAAAACTAATAGAGTAAGGATATTTATTTTCCAAGGAATCCCACTTGTCTGGGCAGTCATTTTAAAGTCAGGCCTCGGTGCACAGTGAGACCAAAGTTATGCAACGCCATATTTATATCCTAGTTACACCCACAGTGTGCTGGACCCAGTATAAATCAAAAGAGTTTCAACTGCAATTATATCCCAGATACAGGAAAAGCTTTCAGTACTGGGGCAAGGGAAAGACCCGGTCTCTCCCAAAACCTGAGTTAAAACCAGCTCAGAGCAAGCAAGGCTCCTCACCTTGACACTGGTCCTCTTGTTTTTGCATGGGCATAACGTGGCAATGAACAGAACCCCATACAATTGTCCAGAACCTTCTAAGTGTTGAATCCAAAGGACATTGTAGATGGCTTTCTGCAGGGGAAAGAATTCTGCTGATTCGTTGACGAATTACTTGTTTAAGTCCACTATGTGCTCATATTACCTTTAAAAGGTAATATGCAAAAATAGTTGTTTTATTTCATGTAGCTTGTTTGTCAGAATGTAGTCTGATAGTCATTTCACACGCTAATACCAGAAGCCAAGAGGTCAAGGAATGGGGTTCTTTCTCCACCAATCCCTTCTCTCTGATATTATGAGCATACAATCTTGTCTTCTGCTTTATGGAAAAGATCACAAATTCCCTCAAAAATGTCTTTTCTGGGGCACCTGGCTGGCTCAGTCAGAAAAGCATGCCACTCTTGATCTCAGGGTTGCGAGTTCAAGGCCCACATTGGGTGTAGATATTACTAAAAAATAAATAAACTTCAAAAAAATGTCTTTCCCCCATCTCCAGATCTACATGTTTTCACCTCCTCTTTCTTCCTTCACTCACTTCCAACCCATCTGGCCACGGTCCTTGAGCCCATTTCTTCCCACCACCTTCAGGCCTTGCTCCACCATTTCACTTCCTTCCGATTTTCAGCCTCTCTTTGTCCCCTGCCTAGTTCTTGTCCACCTGCCAGATTAGAGCATATTTTCCTATATTTTACTTGACTCTCGATAGGGTTTTCCATGCTTAAATCTTTGTACCACTGCTTACTGAGTAGAGCAGCCTTTCCCACTGGATGGAAAAGCCTCTTTTATCCTATAAAAAAAAACTCTCGGGGCGCCTGGGTGGCTCAGTTGGTTAAGCGACTGCCTTCAGCTCAGGTCATGGTCCCGGGGTCCTGGGATCGGGTCCCGCATCGGGCTCCCTGCTCCGCGGGGAGCCTGCTTCTCCCTCTCCCACTCCCCCTGCTTGTGTTCCCTCTCTCACTGTGTCTCTCTCTGTCAAATAAATAAATAAAATCTTAAAAACAAACAAAAAAACAAAAAAACTCTCCACGTGTAGATGGGTCTGGTTCAATTCCATCCCATTGAGTTACGTTTCTATTTCCACCTTAACCACGCCGTTTTAAATGACTATAGTCTAGTGTACATTTTGAAATATTTTTTCTTTAAAAGTTGTTAGCTGTTCTTGCACCTTCTTCTTACCCATAAACTTTATAATCAGCTCACCAAATTTCCTTCATGAAATTCCACTAGAATTTTGTTTAGAATAGTGTTGAATTTCCAGATTAGTTAGAAAGAGTTAAAACCTTTGCAACGAGTATTCCCATCCAAGAGCATGTTTTCTTCATGTAGATTTCATGAATGTTTTGTTAGACTTATTCCTAGCTATTTTATAGGTTTTCTGAGCATTCGTAATAGACGTTTTCTGTAATTGATATACAGGAAATAAAGAAAAATCGTATATTTAACTTGTGCTGGGTTACCTTACACAAGTTTGTTTTTAGTGTTCTTTGATTATCCATTGATTGTCTTAGTTTTTAGGTGTGACAGTCATAGCATTTGAAAATAACTCCCCCCCCTAAATATTTATACTTTATTTTTTCTTCCCTCCAGTTCTTATATATCACATTTCTTTTTATTGATTTATTTCATTTGCTAGGTTTTCCAAAACAATGATAAATAATACTAGCAAAAGCAATCATTCTTGTCATGTTCTGAACAGTAAGGGAATTTTTTCCAAGTATGATTACTTGCTGTGGTTTCAAGTAAATAGCTTTATCAAGATTCTACTCCTAGTTTACTAGGATTCGATTTTTTTTTTAATTTAGGAAAATGTGGGCGCCTGGGTGGCTCAGTCGGTTAAGCGACTGCCTTCGGCTCAGGTCATGATCCCGGAGTCCCGGGATCGAGTCCCGCATCAGGCTCCCTGCTCGGCGGGGAGTCTGCTTCTCCCTCTGCCCCTCCCCCCTCTCATGTGCTCTCTCTCATTCTCTCTCAAATAAATAAATAAAATCTTTAAAAAAAATAAATAAATTTAGGAAAATGTTTAATCAAGTGGGATTTAGAAATCTATTTCCTAAATCTATTAATATAGATTAATTAACCTATAATTAATTAATATTAACATATTATTAAACATCCTAATGTTTATAGAATGATTTGGGAAATTGTCCTTTTCTTTTTATGTTCCAACTTAAAGTCTTTCTAGAACTCATTCCTAATCCCACTCGGATTTGGTGCCTTTTGGGGGGTAGATTTTCGATAATCTTTTCTATTTTTCTCTGGTTATTCAGATTTTCTACCTCTTTTTGAGTAGATTTTAATAATTTATGTTTTCCTAGAGACTTGTTCATTTCATCTAGATTATAAACTGTGTTGGTATAAAGTTGTTCAGTCCCATTTGATTAAAAATTTTTCTTCTGTTATCTTCCCTTTCTTGTTCTTAATGCTTTTCAGTCAGACTTTCCACTGGTTTATTTTATAGATATTTTCAAAGAAAATGTTTTATTGATCAAATTCTTTTCCAGTTCCATTTATTTCTCCTTTTGGGGGGTTTATGTTGTGGTTCTTTTTCTATCTTCCTGTTTTGAATATTTAGCTTATTGATTTTGAACTTTTCCCTCTAGTAAATGCCTTTTAAGCTATAAATTTTCCTCAGAGTACTGTACTAGCTACATTACATTGGTTTTACATGTTGTTTTCTCATTTATTATTCAGTTGTAGAGTATCCCTATTCTCTATTTTTATTTCCTAGTAACCCAAGAGTTATAAGGATGAGTGTTAAAATTCCCAATTAGTTTTTTGTTGTTGCTGTATTTTTGTTATTAATTTCCAGTGATCAAAGAATGTGGGTGGTATAATTTTAAGACTTCTTAAGAGTATCTTTAGCTTCACAGGAAAATTGAGAGGAAGATACAGAGATTTCCCATATACTTCTGCCTGCACACATGCACAGCCTCTCCCATTATCAACAACCCCCACCAGAGTGGTACATTTGTTACAACTGATGAACCTACACAGATAAATCATAATTGCCCAAAAGCCCAGAGTTTGCATTGGGGTTTACTGTTGGTGCTGTACATTCTATAGTTTGGACAAATGTATAGTGACTTGTACCCATCTTTATGGCATCATACAGAGAATTTTCACTGTCCTGAAAATCCTTTGTACTCCACCAATTCATCTTTCCCCCCACCCCAGCCTCTGGCAATCGCTGATCTTTTTACTGTTCCTATATAGTTCTGCCTTTTCCAGAATGTCACATAGTTAGAATCATGCAATATGTAGACTTTTCAGATTGAGCTTCTTCTACTTAGTAATATGTATTTAAGGTTCCTACATGTCTTTTCATGACTTGAAAACTCATTTTTTAGTGATGAGTAATATTCCATTGTCTAGATGTGCCACAGTTTATTTAGCCATTCACCTACTGAAGGACATCTCGGTTGCTACCAAGTTTTGAAAAGTATGACTATAGATGCTATAAACATCTGTGTGCAAGTTTTTTTGGGCCAACATAAATTTTCAGCTCCTTTGGGCAAATACCAAGGAGTCTGATTGCTGGATCGTATGGTAAAAATATGTTTAGTTTTGAAAGAAACTGTCAAACTGTCTTCCAAAGTGGCTGTACCATTTTGTATTCCCACCAGCAATGATTGAGAGTTCCTATTGCTCCACATCATTGCCAGTATTTGGCTGTTAGCATTCCAGATTTTGGCGATTCCACTAATGTATAGTGGTATCTCATTGTTGTTTAAATTTGCATTTCCCTTATGACATATGTTGCGGAGCATCTTTTCATAAGCTTATTTCCCATCTGTATATTTTCTTTGGTGAGGTGTCTATTAAAGTCTGTAGCACATTTTAAAATTGGGTTGTTTTCTTATTGTTGCATTTTAAGGGTTCTTTGTATATTTTGGATAACGATCCTTTATCAGCCCTTTGCCAATATTTTCTCTTGGTCTGTGTCTTGTCTTCTCATTTTCTTGGCAGAATGGAAGTTTTTTGTTTTTTTTTTAAAGATTTTGTTTATTTATTTGACAGAGAGAGAGAGAGAGAGAGCGAGAGCAGGAACACAAGCAGGGAGAGTGGGAGAGGGAGAAGCAGGCTTCCCGCCGAGCAGGGAGCCCGATGCGGGGCTTGATCCCAGGAGCCTGGGATCATGACCTGAGCCGAAGGCAGACGCTTAACAACTGAGCCACCCAGGCGCCCCTACCCCTAGAAGTTTTAATTTTATGAAATCTAGCTCATCAATTATTTCTTTCATGGATGGTGTCTTTGGTTTTGTATCTCAAAAGTCATCACCATATCCAAGATTATCTAGGTATTCTACTATGTTATCTTCTAGGAGTTTTACACTTTTGCATTTTACATTAGGTCTGTGATCCATTTTGAGTTAATTTTTATGAAGGGTATAAGGTATGTGTCTAGATTCATTTTTTTGCATGTGGATATTCAGTTGTTCTAGCACCATTTGTTGAAAAGACTATCTTTGCTCCATTGTATTGCCTTTGCTCTTTTGTCAAGATCGAGTGACTATAATTATGTGGGTCTATTTCTGGGTTCTCTATTCTGTTCCACTGATCTATTTGTATAGTCTTTCACCAATACCACACACTGCCTTGATTACTGTACCTTTATAGTAGGTCTCAAAGTTGGGTAGTGTCAGTCTTTCAACTTTGTTCTTGTCCTTCAATATTGTGTTGGATATTCTGAGTCTTTTGTCTCTTCATATAAACTTCAGAATCATTTTGTCAGTATCCACAAAAGAACTAGCTGGAATTTTGACAGGGGTTGCCTTTAATCTATAGATCGGATTGGGAAGAACTGACATCTTGACAATATTGAGTCTTCTTATCCACAAACATGGAATATCTCTGCATTTATTTAGTTCTTCGATTTCATTCATCAGAGTTTTATAGTTTTCCTTATATAGATCTTGTACATATTTTGTTAAATCTATACCTAAGGGGCGCCTGGGTGGCTCAGTTGGTTAGGCGACTGCCTTCGGCTCAGGTCATGATCCTGGAGTCCTGGGATCAAGTCCCACATCGGGCTCCCTGCTCAGCGGGGGGTCTGCTTCTCCCTCTGACCCTCCTCCCTCTCATGCTCTCTGTATCTCATTCTCTCTGTCTCAAATAAATAAATAAAATCTTAAAAAAAAATCTATACCTAAATATTTCATTTTTTTGATCTTAATGTAAATGGTTTTATCTTTAATTTCAAATTTCACTTGTTGATGGAATATAGCTAAGTGATTCACTTTTGTAATATTAACCTTGTATCCTGCAACCTCACTATAATTGCTTATTTGTTCTAGTTTTTCTGTTAATTCTTTTGGATTTTCATATGTGAAAAAAGACATTTTTATTTCTTCCTTTCCAATCTGTATACCTTATATTTTCTTTTCTTGTCTTATTACATTAGGTAGGATTTCCAGCACAATGTTGAAAAGGAGTGGTGAGAGGGACATCCTTGCCTTTTTCCTGATCTTAGTGAGAAAGCAGTGGCACAATTTTTAATGTTTTGGAATTTGGTGAGATTTTTCTTTGTGGATTAATATGAGGTAAATTTTTGTAAATGTAATGGCTTTGAGGAAATTGGGTTCTTTTTGGGTAAAATATTTATATTTATGTATACACTTACACATATACACTTGTTTAAACATGTATACATATATGTACATATGCCTATAGATCAAGCTTGTTAATCAAATGATTCCCCAGATATTTCATGTCCTTCCTCTTTTCAATTGATATAAATCATTATTTCCAAAGAATCACAGCTCTTAGAACTGTAAGGGACCTCAAAATAATTAGATCCAGATGAGCAGAGTATTGTTATCCCCATGTTATAGTTGAGACACTGGAGGTACAGTAAGATGAGGTGATTTTCCCAAGGATGCACAGCTAATGAATAACAAAATGAGGATTAGAGCCCAGGCCTTTGGAGTGAGACTATAAACAGGATGCATGTCAGGGCGGGTGTCCATTATCCTTCCTGTCTGAAGGCAAACCACATTAATAATATAGATCAATGCTATATTCATGAACTGTTGTTACTAATTAGACTGTTGACTGCATATCCAGTAAGATGCCTGTTTATGTCTATTAGAGAAGTGGAAGGAGAAATCTTCAAGTTGGAGATGCTACTTGAGGATGTTAAAGAGAAAATTAATAAGGGCAAATGTACTTCAGCCGTTTCTCTTCCTGTGAGTTCTCCAATCATCTCGGATGACTTGGCATCCACATCCTCTCCACCCTCAAATGAGGTAATACGGCAACCTACAGCCTAATTTCATGCCAGGAAAAATGTGTTTTATGCATTTATAGAATTCTAATGCATGAAATCATGAATTCTATTTTAATATTTCATGAAAATTTAATTTTCCAAAGTCCCATGAATCATATTATTTAAAATGGAACCAGCTTTTAAAAATTAGAAGCTATTTTAAGTGTTGGTTTTTGAAAGATCTTATTAGTTTAAGATATAACAATGCAGTTTAAAGTGATGAACCACTGAAAGGCTATTTCTTCTGGATGAGGAGCAACATTTTTGTGGATTGTGCCTGGAAGAAATAATTTCTCTTAATAGTTTTGTATTCCCTCTTCTACATAAAGAATAACACACTCAGTGGGAAGAACTATTTCCCATGGGTCCACTTCTGCATTTTCCTTCTCTCAAGTTAAATTCTTTTGGATTGTCTACATATGCAAGATTAGGAATTCAATCACCACTGTCTTTCTACACTTTTTGTTTTTGTAGTTTCAACTATCAGAACATTTCAGACTAAATTAAAATTCTGAGAAACTGAATCATCTGGATAATTGCCTTAACGTGACTCTTTTGTTTCAGACAGCACTTGAAGTCACAGCCTGTGGCTGACACTCAAAATCTGAATAGGTTTTTGTCACAGTTAAGAACAAGATGTTGAAAGTTATATAAATGCTAGCCCTGCCAAAAAAGTGTGTTTGCTCCTTCAAAACACTTAACCTTTCCAGCAAAATTTCATTCATGGCCCAGCTTCCGAGTTAGGCCATTTATATAACTCTGACACACAGTCCCCCACCTCAGGCAGAATTCTTTGCTCAGACCTCTGTGTCCCCTCAGTACTGTGTCTCACTTGTCCCTGTGCCTTTGTACCTATCTTTGTATCACAGACATCTGACTGAGCCCCTGATATAGCATGGATGTTCAGTGTAGTAACCTCTGAGCCCTTGTGAATTTAACAGTCTCAATGCTTCCCAAGCTGTGAACCAGAATTAGTTTCCTGGTGGTGTGAGGGAGCCCAGAGAGTGAGCCTAGCCTTCCACCCAGCAGCTCTCTCAGATCTGGGTTTGCTTTTCTTTACTGGGTCCCAAGTTTACCCGCAACTATTCTGAAATAATAAGAACTCTAGAATTTTGTGATGAGTGGCCCTGAAAAGACAATCTACTGCTAGGATCATTCATTCATTCAACAAATATTTATTGCCAAATGCTAGGCACTTTTCTAGGTATTGGGGTATAACATAAACAAAGCAGACAAGTCACCCGCCCTCAAAATGCTTACATATCTCTAAGGGATCCATACAATGGACAAATAAATAAGTGCAATGCACTTAACATGATACATTCCTGTGACTCTGGAGCCGAACTGCCTGGGTCTGAGCACTGGCTCTGTCACTCATCAGCTTTGTGACCTTGGGCAAGTTATGTAACCTCTCTGTGCCTCAGTTTCCTCTGTAAAATAAAGATAATAATACCTACCTAAGCTTCCAACTCCTCTACTGTGAAAAATCTTTGCAAACTGTAAAGCCCTGAGCCCACAGAATTATTATTGTTTACTTCTCATTATAATTTTGTCATTATCATTTTAGACCTGTGGATTTTTAATCCCAGCACTTGCAATTAATTTATAATGAAATAATCTCAAGTGTGGTCCCCAGACCAAGAGCACTGACATCACCTGGCAGCTTGTTAGAAACTGTTATGATGTTGTTATGGTGTTAAGTGAGTTAATACGGGTAAAGTGCTTGAAATGGGGCCTGGCTCATAGTTAAGCACACTAGCTGGGTGTTAGCTTTTGTGATTATTCAGTAATGGCATGTGACCAAAAGTCACTCACTGTGGGAGGGCCAAGTCACTCGGGAAACTTGGTCAGGGAAGGTAAGATTTGAACTGAGTTGGAGGGAGGGGTAAGAAGGAGGAAGATAGGTGGAGAGTTGGGGAAACAGAGCTACCCTATGACCCAGCAATTGCACTACTGGGTATTTACCCCAAAGACACAGATGTAGTGAAAAGAAGGGGCACATGCACCCCAATGTTCACAGCAGCAATGTCCACAATAGCCAAACTGTGGAAAGAACCGAGATGCCCTTCAACAGATGAACGGATAAAGATGTGGTCCATATATACAATGGAATATTACTCAGCCATCAGAAAGGATGAATACCCAACTTTTACATCAACATGGGTGGGACTGGAGGAGATTATGCTAAGTGAAATAAGTCAAGCAGAGAAAGTCAATTATCATATGCTTCCACTTATTTGTGGAACATAAGGAATAGCATGGAGGACTTTAGGAGAAGGAAGGGAAAAATGAAGGGGAGGGAATTGGAGGGGGAGACGAACCATGAGAGACTATGGACTCTGAGAAAGAATCTGAGGGTTTCAGAGGGAAGGGGGTGGGGGGATGGGCTAGTCCGGTGATGGGTATTAAGGAGGGCACGTATTGAATGGAGCACTAGGTGTTATATGCAAACAATGAATCGTGGAACACTACATCAAAAACTAATGATGTACTGTATGGTGACTAACATAACATAATAAAAAAAAAAAAAAAAGGAACTCCAGGCAGGATGTGATGGTGCCTAGGGGTGCAGTGGGGATGCTGAACTGATCTGAGTCGCCCCGTGGAACTGCAGTTCTAAAGGCAGTCCCTCTGTGTGGCTCCGTGGATTCCTAAGGAACACCAGGGCGTCCTTCGGGGCAGCGACAGGCCCCTTCCTACACAGCTATCGCTGCGGAGGGAGGGCTTGACCAGTTCTGAGAGGAGAAAGGGAGAGCAGCCACAAAATGTCCCCACCACACTCTACCTCAGGTTGCTCCTTCCCATCATCCCAGGAAGGCTGCAATTAAATTCCCGATGACTCTTAGCCAAAGAATCCCCCAAAGTGGGGCCCCCACAGAGCTCAAGAACTGATTCTAAATTCAAACTGCCTAAAAAAACAAAAAAACAACAAACAAACAAAACACCAAAACCCAAAAAACAACGATAACACAGACCAACCAGATCAAATGGCCATGAAGTTGTCCTCCGATCCCAGGGTCATGTCCAGCAGCCCAGCCCTGCTCGGTTCAGTTCCTTCTGTTGGATCTCTGACCATAACCAGTGTTGCTGAGTGTGGCTCTGAACCTGGCATCATCGTGATCACCTGGCTCTGAGCTTAACTAACACCGTGGATGTCAGTGCTGGTGACAGCTGCTGGTGTTGCTAATGTTTCCCACTCTCAGCGCTCGGGAGACACTTGCCTGGCGTACCTGTTCTAGATCAGGGCTTCTCCAGCCACAGTGCACCTAGAAATCCTGTGCAAATCTTACTGCACATAGGCTTTGATTCGGTGGGTCTGAGGTGAGCCTGCGTTTCGAACAAGCTCCCAGGTGACGCCAGTGTTGCTGGTCTGGAGACCACACCTTGAGATTATTTCATTACTAATGAGCTGGAAGTACTGGGATTAAAAACCCCTGGTCTAAGGGAGGGGGGGTGGCTGGGTGGTGGACATGGGGGAGGGTGTGTGCTGGGGTGAGCGCTGTGAATTGTGTGGGGCTGACGAGTCACAGACATGTACCCCTGAAACAAGTAATACATTATATGTTAATTTAAAAAAATGAAAAACAAACAAACAAACCCTTGGTCTAAAAGGATAGTGACAAAATTATAATGTTGGTTCAGAGCTCACAGTTTGCAAAGACTTGGCAGAAGAACAGTTGGAAGCTTAGGAAGGTGAGGAGACTTAGGAAGGTGAGGACAAACGTTAGGGGACACTGGATCCCAGGCCTCCCAGTTCAGGTGGAGGGCACCTGCCTACATTCTGCTCACGTAAATCTACCTTATATGTGAAGTGCAGGGTACCTCTGTACCCCTAAAAGTGAGAAGTCATCAAAGAAAACATAGGGGCAAAGCCTTTTTTTAAATTATAAAAACAATTTATGCTTTTCGCTAAACAAATCAGAAGATAGAAGTATAAAGAACATTTCACAGAGAAAAAAATCATAGCTAATATGTTAGTGTGAATCTGTCAAGTCTTTTTTCTTCTCCACAGACACATACACATTTTTGAAAAACTGGGATCATGCTATATATATTGTTTTATGATGCTTTTTCTCTTTTAACATTCTATCGTGGGCATTTCAACAATCATGTAGAATAAACCTATGGCTTCATTTTTAAGGACTGCATTGTATTTCATTATACCAATTCATTTAACCAATCCCTTGTTGATGGACATTTGTTTTTTTCCAGTTCTTTGATATTATAAACACTGCTTTGGTGACATCATTTTATATGCAAGCTTTGGGCCATACTCGATTATTTCCTTAGACTAAAAATGTTAATGGTTCAAGAGGCAAGAGGCAAGAAAATTCTGATAAACTGGCGCTTAGCAAGGTGGTGTCATGGCCCAGCTGTGCATCAGAAAGGAGCCGTGTCCCCACCCCACCCCCAAGCCCACCCTGGGGATTTTTTTTTTCTTTCCAACCTTCGCCAAAGTGATAAGTGAAACTGGTATCTCATTGTTTTCATCTGTATTTCTTGGACTGTTTGTGAAATTTAACTCATTTTCATATGTTTCTCGGCCATTGCCACCTCCTCTTTGACATCATCAACATTTTAACTAATATTTGCAAAACCGAAACCGAAGCCACTTTTTTTGAAAGGCAGACAAGTTGGAAAATATTAAGAACAAATAACGTGCCATATTGAGGTTTTTATTATACAAAGGGCTCTGACAGGTGACCAAAGGAGCAGGAAAATTGTGGTTAAGAACACAAGCAGAAGGGGAAAGGTTCAAATCCCAGGTCTGCCACTTACTCTCTGTGACCTTGCCACGCTGCTGAAATTCTCTGAGCCTCAGGATGCCAGGAGGGCGAGAAGGAACCAAGCAGGTTGTATGAGGAGGACCTGGCACAATGAGCAGGCCACAAATGGTTGTTGTTGTTAGTAAGGAAACACCGAAAATCTCCAAAAAAGTAATGGACAAAGGAGATGAACCGAAAGTCACAAGTAGGAAACACAGCCAATAAATAAGCACATGGCGAAATGTTTATCTCCTTTAATAACAGAGGCAATTAACACAAGGTGCCACCTCCCCGCTTTTTAAGTGAACAAAAATATTTCCGAGGATAATACCTGATGCAGCGGAAGGCGGGGTCAAACTGAGCTGCCCACATTGTTGGTGGCTGTGTCATCTTATAACGTTTGTGGAAAGCAATTTGGCAACAGGTATCATCACGCAAACATGTTCACGATCTTTGACCTAGACATTTCCTAAGGAAGTAATTCAAAATATGGAAAAAGTGACCTGTACAAGGACGCTTGTGCGAGCATTGTTTATAATGGGGAGAAGAGCACGTTTTCTGTTTACAGAAAGGGTAAAACCATAGTAGAAAATACACTCTGGGTGGTGTCAGGCGTTTCCGTGAAGTAGTGTAATTTTTCTGTGTTAAAAAGGGACATATAAACAATAATTTCAGCCTCTAAATAGTCCTAAAGCCTGTTTTAATTCATAGTTGAATGCATTTCTTGGGAAAAGCTTGTAGAGCTCTACGAAGAGTGGTCAGATTGAGGGATTTAAACATTATCTTCCTAAATCTGCTCATCCTCCGGTGGTGCCTGGGGAAAGTGGAAACTAAGGAAAGAAAAAAGGGGGAAAGTATTCTCTCATCTGTAAACTAGATTTTTAAATGTTTGGAGGAGGAGAGAGGCCAAGCCAGCATTGAAACCTTCTCTCTTTAAGCCCCAGGCCATGACAGCATGGACCCCGCGGAGCGAGAAATCAGAGCAAAGGAGTCCCAAAGCGGTGAGTTCAGCTGCCTGTGTGTGAGCAGCGGCGGGATGAGTCACTTCCTCGCTCACAGCCACATCTGTGTGTGCTTTGTGGTGCAGGAGAACCCCATCAACACCTCGGGAAGGCAGGACCATGCAGAGACGACCAGTCCAAGCTGTGCCTTTTGCCATGGGGTCCTTGAATGGTGAGGACTTCTTGCTGCTAAATCCCCAGGGCAGGTGGGAGCCAGTGCGGGGATAATAGCTCCGGGGAGAGTGGGCGTCAGTTTAAGCGAACAGGTGCCAGAAGCCGCTGGCCAAGTTACAGATCGCAGATCGCGGGGCTGGGCATGCCCCGCCTCCGTCCCGATTCACAAATCCCTCTCACGGTGGCTCTTGGGTGGGGTGAGCATCAGAGTCATCGGGAAGATTGTTAAATAATGCACACGCCTCACCCTCACCTACTGTGTCAGCCTCACCGGGGCTGGAGCCCTGGTAGGAATACTTCTTTTAAATCTGCTCAAGTGATTCTCAGAAGTCCCCTTGGTTAAGAATCATGGCTACAGCCCACGAAGGGTGGTTTGTCCTGTAGGCTCCGTCAGAACATTACCCAGACGGGAGGTGGTCGTGCACCATTCACAGAGCAGCTTCTTGTGATGAGTGAAAATCTGCCCCTTCCCTCCCTCTGTCCCCAGTCCCACTGGAAATAAACCCAATCCCACCTCTCGGGGTTCACTTCTCCCCGTTCTTGGGCAAGAAATCTTCCAGAGGTTAAGAAGCTGTAAACTGTGTCAAGAAAGCATCGATGCAAAATCCTAAGGAGAAATCCTTAATGTTCTTGAAACTTTCTTTGGATCAACTGTTAGCCCATGTGGATTCAGAATCATTTATTTGAAGCTTCTGTCTGTTAGTGAGAGGCGCTACCTCCATGCTCAGGAGGCACCGTGGATGCGGGCCAAAGCTGGGCTAATTTACCTTGGAAAGGTCAAGAGTCAAGGAGGGAGGAGCTGTTAGCAACCATTATTACATGTCCATAATGGGCTCTAATAGAAGCAGATGACAAGATCTGAAGCTCGAAAGGATTCCACCCCAGGAGCTTGTCCTAAGTGTTCTATTGAGTGTCCGCCCCTTAAAAAGTGCATGGTGTTTGTGCTGAAAATGACCATGTGTTATCTGGTGTGGACCATTACTTTAAACCAACATGCTAGTCATTGGCTTTGACTCTCCTTTAAATATAAGGGGCAATAATGATGCCTACTCCCTGAGTCACCCCAGGCCCACTATTTTTATTTATTGAATGAAACCTCAGTTTTGGAATTTTAAAAATTGTATTAAGTATAATAAAAATAGTTTGACATTTAAAAAACATTTTGATTAAGCATTCGCGGTATTAAATACTTCTCTTCCAAATCCCTAGTCTAGACCCTACAGAGACTCTTAAGTATCAAGTCAGGGACTGATGTTCCAGACTAAATTTTCTCTTTTATGACGGACAAGAGGGAAGGAAAAGCACAGCCAAGTGTGAAATCAGATCTAACAATGAATGTACCACTGGGGTGTGAAGTAGAGATACCCATGATTTATAAATTGAAATCTTGGTAAACTACATAATACCTGAGGGATTAATTGAACAAAGGGCTACATATACTCTTTACTTTTCTAGAAGATTAGATATCTCTCAGATGGGACATGTGCTTTATGAAGTTTGCTGATGTTTGAGGGATATTTATATATATGCAGATAAATGATATATGCTACAGATAAAATGCATATCCCTTTGTGCTATGTCTGATGCAGGATTTTGTATTTAAGAGTACGCTTCAGCTACTTTGTCTTCTTGGAAAACTGTCTTCTCAAGTAGAATTGCCCTTAGCTTTTATGTTTGGCAAGAAGATTTTAGTGCACAAAGAAGTTTAAAAGAGGCAGAAAAAGAAAGTCATGTGTGGGACTGAACTCCCTTGAAAGAGATCCAAGTTTTCCACTTTGGAGAGCAGATGTTCAAATGCCCCAAAGGTGGAAGGAGGAGACAGAAAATGAGGTGTTAGAAAATATGTGAGTCAGGAGGAAAGCATGTTTTTCCAAGGGGAGGGGAAGGGCCCAGCTTCTCAGCCCCCAGCCCCAACAACTCCAAGCACAGCGCCTGTCTCCATGGCAGCCAGCAGGCCTGGGCAAGGTTGGGGGTGCTGCATTCACCAAGCAACGTCTGGAGCTTGTCCCCCCTTCCCTGCCCCCCCGCCTCCCCTCCCCATCCCTCCCTCCAGGGGAATCAGTCTCGTTCCTCTCACCAGCTATGTCCGGGACATCAAGGGCACAGTGCCTTCCACACTAAGAATGAGCAACTTTCCTGGAGGGCTATTACTGTATCTCAGGGGCGTGTGAGGGCTTTATTAAGAATTGTGATTAATTAGAATTTTTCAGAAGGAGTTAGAATTTCTGTGAAGAAGGGAGGCTGAAGCAACAGACAGGTCAGAGAAAAGTGTCCTGGTAGACAACTGGAAGGTATCTTTCTGATGCCCCCTGGTGGCCTTGTACAGCTAAAATTAACCCAATGTGCTCCCACCGCTTTGGGAACAAAGCGCCCCCATACACACTGGACAAAATCCAGCTTGCTGGGCGTTCTGGACACACTCAGCTTGCACTTGTGGAGCCAAAGCCACATGACCTAGCACTGACATGGAGCACAGCTTCTTCCCCTGGTAAGAGTTGATTTTGAGACACGAGTATGAAGAAAACCCCAAATCTTATAATTCCGTATTTCAAATTTCTATATTGCATATGTGTGCATGGTGATTAGATATCATCCTCTGGGGAACAAAACAGATTTGCTTTTTAACATTTAGTATACATATTCTTACCAGGCCAAGCGGTGCTGGGTGCGGTTTCTTATAGGAAGGCTCTCAAAAGGGCGGGCAGCTCTGTGTTGAGGACAAGACGCCACTCCTGTATCGTCCCAGGCCTTGATCTAAGAAATTTAACATTTCAGTTTTACCGGTACGCTCACAATCTCCAGGAGAAGTGGGCTAAAAGTTTATGGGATCTTATGCACCTTTTTCAGGAAGGAAAACATGGAGAAAAAAGGGCAGAGAAACACCAACTGCGGAAGGTGTCCCCCTGCCATTCAAGAAGAGGCACAGCACGCAGGTTCGATTCTCAGTAAGTTGAGGGGCCCGGGGCTGTGGTCCGTCTCCATGGGTCTGCTCCCTGCAGGCAGCCCATCTGCCACACCAAACAGCTTTACCTAGACGAGGGTGTGGCCTATTGTATTTTTTTTTTTTTTGCAATATGTAAAAAATTAAAAATGGAATAGATTCAAATGGATCAAATGTGGCCAGACAGGGTGAAAGTGCCCACCTGTGTTTGTGCGGGAGTCCCGGGACTCCATGCACTCAGTTGTGAGGTGGCCTCCACTCTGGGTGTCATCCTTCCAGCATGACCCAAAATCCCCACCTGGTGAGCTTCCTGGCCATGGGAGACTTGCTGCCGACTTGTCCATGCACATTTCACAGAAGCAAAGAAAATTGCTTCTTCTGGGAGGAGACTGGGAGAGCACGCAGGGCATGGAATTCAATGATTTTTAGTCAGAGGAGTTTTCCTCCAAAGGTAGTTTAAGCAGAAAAACATCCCGTGGCAGAACCACCCTGGTTGAGGAAGAGGTGAGGCCAAGGCCTGCCTGTTCAGGCAGCTCCTGAGCATGAGAGTCCCCACCCGAGTCTGGTCTACCCTGTTTATACACGAGAACCGAGGCCGGAGACCTAACGAGGCTTGTTTACGCTCATACAAGCTGTGGGCCAAGAGCCTTTCCTTTGACCCAGTGTTCTTTCTGTTCTGTCATGTGTAGTTCTACTTCTTCTCCGTAGATGATTCATTTTCTTCTTCTTCTTTTTTAAAGATTTTATTTATTTATCTGAGAGAGAGAGAGAGAGAGCACGAGCAGGGGGAGCAGCGGGGGCAGAGGGAGAATCAGACTCCCCGCTGAGCAGGGAGCCTGATGCAGGACTCGATCCCAGGACCCTGGGATCATGACCTGAGCCGAAGGCAGATGCTTAACCGACTGAGCCACCCAGGCTCCCCAAAGATTCATTTTCTAATAGTCATAGTAATGTTTCATCAATTGAATACCCACAACACCAGATGCCGTACCAGGACAGGCTTTCCAACTGTAGTCAGAAGGCTCTGGGGGTCCCTGAGACCCTTCTGGGGGGCTGTGAGACCCTCTCTTTTGCAGCTACATATCCGTGCAAGGCCAATACTGCAACTGACTGAATGCAGGTGCAGCCATCGAATCCAGCTGCCTTCTAGTAAGCCAGGTATTCAAGACACTTGCCAAAACATAAAATACTGCCACTCTTCTAATGCCTTTCATTTTTTTTTTAAAGGTTTTATTTATTTGACAGAGAGAAAGACAGCCAGAGAGGGAACACAAGCAGGGGGAGTGGGAGAGGGAGAAGCAGGCTTCCCGCAGGAGCCTGACGCGGGGCTTGATCCCAGGACCCTGGGATCATGACCTGAGCCAAAGGCAGATGCTTAAAGACTGAGCCAAAGGCAGATGCTTAACGACTGAGCCACCCAGGCGCCCCATGCCTTTCATTTTTAAAAATAGCTTTTTTGCATTAAAAACCTGTTATTGTGGGGCGCCTGGGTGACTCAGTGAGTTGAGGGTTGGACTCTTGGTTTCAGCTCAGATCATGATCTTGGGGTCATGGGATGAAGCCCAGCATTGGGCCCTGGGCTCAGCACGGAGTCTGCTTGTCCCTCTCCCTCACCCTCTGCCCCTCCCCACTCTGCGAGCTCATGCACGCATGCTCTTTCTCTCTCTCTTAAATAAATGAATACAATTTTTTAAAAAACATTTTAAAAAGCCCGGGTGCCTGCGTGGCTCAGTCGGTTAAGCATCTGCCTTCAGTTCAGGTCATGATCTCAGGGTTCTGGGATCGAGTCCCGCGTCGGGATCCCTGCTCAGAAGGAAGTCTACTTCTCCCTCTCCCTCCCCTTCCGCTCCCCTTGTGCTCCCTCTCTCTCTATTAAATAAATAAAATCTTTTTAAAAAATTTTTTTAAAAACCCTTATTTTATCAGCATGAAATGAATTTACTGTTGGTTTTAAATGACATAATAAAATATTTTTAAATGTTTCAGTTTAAAATTCTATTTAAAAAAAGCCTTAGGACTTTCCTTTCAGTCTTGGGAAGATCTGAATGATTCTGCACAAGCAAAAATGACTTTAAATTTATAATAGATCCCTCTCTACCAGTCCATCTTCAACCGACTGAATGTCATATAATAGCTCTTCTCCAATGCAGGGTGAGATTTTTCACCACAGGTACAAAAAATATATTTTGTATATTTTGTATATTTTGTATATTGGCATATATTATGATACAGCATAGATAAAAACTATAATAAGTAAAGCTCTTTAGGGTTCTCAATTTTAAGAGTGTAAAAGGGTTCTGACATAAAAAATTTGAGAACTGCTGACATAGTGCATAATATTTAGCTATCCTTAAATCCCTGTAAGTAGGAATTATTATCTTTATTTTACAGATAAGGAAATGGAGGCTCAGAGAAATTCAGTAACTTGCCAAAGAGCTGGTGTATTTCTACTGCTGTATAGTGAAGTATCCCAAAATATAATGGTTCAAAACAACAAACATTTTCTATCTCAGAATTTCTATGGGTCAGGAGTTTGGGAGCAGCTTAGCTGAGTGATTCAGCTCCAGTTCTCTGATGAGGTTGTAGTCAGATGCTGGCCAATACCACCATCAGCTGAAGGCCTGACCGGGACTGGAGAATCTGCCTCTATGATGGTTCACTCACATGGCCATTGGGAGGAGGTTTTAGTTCCTCACTGTGTGGGCCTCTCCAATAGGCTGAGTGTCATTATGACATGGCAGCCAAGTGATCCAAGAGAAAACCAACATGGAAGCTTCAGTGTCTTTTATGACCTAGTTTTGGAAGTGATACATCATCATTATCACTTTATTTGTGACAAGCAAGTCACTAAATCCAGCCCACACTCAAGGAGAGAAGAATTAGGCTCTACCTTCTGAAGAACATATCAAAGAATTTGTGGACATATTTTTAACCATCACTGCTAACTAATGGCAGACCCAGACTTCAAACTCAGGTCTATCTGAGCCTCATGCTCCTTCCACCATACAGCCTTCTCAGGGAATGCCTTCAATCCTTTATTGCAATTTCCTTGAGTTATGGATTGAGAAGGAATTCAATGACTTTTTTTTTTTTAAAGATTTTATTTATTTATTTGGCAGAGAGAGAGATAGCGAGAGCAGTAACACAAGCAGGGGGAATGGGAGAGGGAGAAGCAGGCTTCTTGCCGAGCAGGGAGGCCGATGTGGGACTCGATCCCAGGACCCTGGGATCATGACCTGAGCTGAAGGCAGACGCTTAATGACTGAGCCAGCCAGGCGCCCTCAATGACTATTTTTTTAAAGATTTTATTTATTTATTTATTTGAGAGAGAGAGGGAGTGCATGCATGAGTGGGAGGAGAGGAGCAGAGGGGAGGGAGAGAATCTCCAGCAGACTCCACACTGAGCACGGAGCCTGACTCAGGGAGCTCAATCTCTTGACCCCGAGATCACAACCTGAGCCAAAACCAAGAGTCAGACGCTCCACCAACGGAGCCACCCAGGCGCCCCTCAATGACTACTGACTGAGATATGGAAAAGAAAAAACATCCCTAGAGCTCACCCCATTGTGACTTACTCTTTGAAAGATAATGTTACAGGGGCGCCTGGGTGGCTCAGTCATTAAGTGTCTGCCTTCGGCTCAGGTCATGATCCCAGGGTTCTGGGATCGAGCCCCGCATCGGGCTCCCTGCTCCGCAGGAAGCCTGCTTCTCCCTCTCCCACTCCGCCTGCTTGTGTTCCCTCTCCCGCTCTCTCTCTCTCTCTCAAAAAATAATAAAAATCTTAAAAAAAAAAAGAAAGAAAGAAAGAAAGTGTTACAAATGAGCATAATCACCAGAGTAGCAAGGCAGGTAGCGTCGGCAGAGTCTTTGTCCCCTGGTCTCACCTCTCCTGGAGCCGAGATGTGCTCACTTGTCTGGCCCAGGCTCTCACACTCTAGCCTTACCTGGAGGGCTCCATCGCCCACAGCCTGCCAGGTCCTAGACCTGCACTAGACACACACGCTCTCTACTACTAGCCCCTCTGTGGCACAGATAACGGCAAAACTATAATTCAGTTTCCCATATCGGCTTATGGAATTGATGTAGAGAAAAACCATCTTTCCAACTGTCTGGGTGACAAAACACAAGCTCTTGGCCACAACAGGGTCTGAGAAAAGAATGAGGGTGTATCAGGGCAAATCTGGAAAAATATTGATCTTGCATTTGTAATTGGTTCAGTGGGCCACGTTCTCACGGACCCATCCATTCAGCAGACCTTCCCTAAGCACCTCCATGTGCGAGTAAATTCTTGAGGTTTTCCTATCAGATCTGTTACTTATCAAAACATCTCTCATTTGTCATACGGGGATTCCAAATGTCATTCCGAGGCTGGCAATTCCCCTTGGGAACACAACTGGGGAAGTGGACACTTTGGCGCCAACTGGTTAGAGCTGCCACACTTTATGACTCTAGTGAAGAAACTCACACTTCTTTTGTGTAACTCGGGCTTTTCCAGGTTCTGCTGCAGGCCCCAGCTGCTCTTCTGCTTCTGGGACTAGATTACAGAATAATAAATGTGAGAACTGTGGCACTAAGAGTCATAATTCCCGAAGAGTCTGTGGCAAAGAGCCACTTGAAGGTGAGCGTGACGCGGGGCCCTTGCACGGAAGGCGTAAGTGGGGACAGCTGCTGTCCGCGGCAATGAGTTGTATTTTTCATCTTCTCTTTTTAGAATTTCATTACAGATACAACATGCCAGGACAGAATTACTTAAATCCTAACGAAAGAAGTGCCTTTATCAAACTCTGCTTTTTAAACGAAAATAAAAATTCTTCACCTTGTAAGTACATCTGTTGCACAATCTCATCTTTGTAAGCAGGCTGGTCTCCCAGGCGTGCGGGACCCCCATCACACCGGCCACTGTTTCCCTTCGGGGGCAGGGGGGGGCTGCCCTCTCCAGCCTGCTGCCTGGCTCTCCAGTACTCACCTGAGGCCCCCCGCATCCTGGATGGCCAGAGGCTGGGCCGGGGCTGGGAGATAGGAAATCCTAGCAATAAAGGACTCCGAAAGTTATTAAGTGCTAACTCAGTGTAGGTTGATAACAAATAATAAATATTTGCTACACAAATGACCAACTGAAGAGTCACCACTAGTATTGCTATCATTCAGGAGTGGTGAAAGCTTTAAATATGTCCCTACTAAAAGTCAGCATGTAAAGAAACAGACTATTTTTATACTCCTTAAACATGCTAATTTCAATGCAAAATTTTGCTGTCTTTGGAAAAAATTAAAAGCCCACAAACATTTATTTATAAAGATGAATAAGACAAGGCTCCTCCCTCCCCAAGGAGTTCACCATTTATTGAAAGGAACTCGTATCCAAATAAGGGAAGTTCGTGGCAAAATGCGGTGCTAGAATTAACAAAGTCAGAGTGTGCTGAGGGAACAAAAGGGAGGGAAGGAAATACTCCATGCTTTGCTTCTGACCCACAGCCATATCTGGTTCTCTGACATCCTCTCCTTGTGGGAAAGTTCATACCTCCGGCACTTTCTCTCCTTATCTGTGGACAGGGCATCAGGGAGACTGTTTCTTATCTTTCACAATTGCCAATTTCCAAGATGAAGGAATGCCATTTCCCAGATTGAACTCAGCTGTGCGTCCCCTATGCACCCCCCCCAGCTGCCAAATCCTTCACATGCATGTATTCTCTCGAGATGACAGCCACTAAAACTCTGCAGAAGCAACAGAGCAGATTTCTTTACTATCTCTTTGGCCTTTGGGTCTACAGTCCGTGAGACTTGTCATTCCAGTATATGAGGGAATGAGGGATCAGCTGAGTCATCTGAAGTGTGACTCTGAGCTGCATTAGTAAATATATAGTGGCCTAGAAGGTAGAAGTCATAAGGAGGCATTGCTCAGTGTTGAAAAGAACCTTCCAGAAATTGGAATGCAGTGGGTTGTTGTGGGAGGTCCTGAGCCCCATCTGTAGAGATGTCTCTACAGATCCCATCTGGAGACAATGTACTTTGTCAGGATGTTGCAAACCTGTAGACCAGACTAGAACTGGACAAGATGACCCTATGAGCTTCTATGTTTCAAATAAAATCCAGATTTATATTTGGAGACTAGCAAAAGATTAGGACTGAACTCTTTAGTACCTCTGCTCATCACGACTTAAGTTCGGGTGGTCAGCATGACTAATTTGGACTTTCTGGCTTCTGCTCTGCCTTCCATGTCTGAGGGACAATGTCTTCCAGTTCCCTTGTCAAATGGGACCCTCCTGAGGGGGAATGAAGCCTAGTTACGAGAGATTGGTGAATAAGACAGGAGACCAGGGAAGGACAACCAGCAACAGAGAAGGCATATTTATTGGCCATCGACTCTCCTCTCTTCCTTTCCCTGGCTTTCTTCTTGTCTTCCGTGGTGTCTTTCCTACGTTTATCTTCTTTTCTGTTTAGTCTCTATTTTCTGGAATTGTCTTAGTCATGTAATTTAGTTTCTGACTCCTAGAAACCTTGCTCATGGGTTTGGAGAAGACTTCAATCCCCGTCAAAGGGATTATCTATCCCTCCACTTGTCAGATGAAGTAGTTGAGTCCACAGAAGTTGGACGGCATGCTCAGATGTCACACAGCTAGCACCCAGCGAACCTAAACCTAGACTCCTGGTCTTGTGGCTACTGATAAAACTCCCTTTAAAAGTTGAATTTCTTAAAATGAATAAGTTGAATTTCTTTTCCTGAATTCAGAATACTTGATAGAAAGTTCTTTGTTTTCTATGTTCCCTAATTTTCTTACTTCTTAAAATTTCATGAAATATTTCCTTCATACAGAAAAGTTCGGGAAATGATACCCATATATCCACCATTTGGGGATCATTTGTGATGCTCTGAATTTAATCATAGCTAACATTTTTCAGCTTGTTCAAAGCCAGAATGGATCTGTTCCCAGACATCGAATCCAAAATCCTCTCATGATGAACATGAGCCCATACCAGGAAAGTAAGTATTATTTTATTATTAATAACAACAAAAATGACTACCAATCAGTTGGGTACATACAATGTGCTTAGTGCATGAAATTACTGGCCCAAGATCACCTAGATCATAAGTAGTAAAGCCAAGATTCAAATCAAAGTATGGCTGGTACTTCAAACATTCATTTATTCTTCAACAAGTATTTGAGTGTTAATAGCAGCCTCTTGTGCTGGGTTCTGAGGACACAGTGAAAAATTAAACTACTGTCCCTGCCCTCATGGAAGTTACTTTTTTGGTAGAAGAGCCAGTCTTTGTAAGTGCCAAAAAGGGGGTGTACTGAGTGCCATTACTTAATTTGGAGGTTCAGGGAAGCTGAACACCAAAGGATAAGTGTGAATCAACTAGCAAGGGGATGTAGAGGTAAGAGTGAAGACATTCCAGTCTAAGAGAGCTTGCTGGAATGGGAAGGCCCCTTGGCAAGTTCTGGATCAGTGTAGTACGCATGGCTGTGGGCCATGATGGGGCTGGTGAGGGGAAGCTGGTGGGATGGGTAGGGCCAGACCATGCAAGGGCTTGTCGACTACAGGAAGGATTTCAGACTCTGGAGTATAATAAGCCAATGAAGGTGTTTGTAAAGTTTCCTAGTGTTTTAAAAGATCATTCTAACTACCAAAGGAGTGGGAATGGAGTAGAGGAGTCAAGGATTGGAGCACAAAGGCCAAGTAAGAGGCTGGTGCAATATTCCAGGTGAAATGATGGTACCTTGGCCAAGGGTGGTAGAGAAGGAAAGAGAGAAGTCTAGTATTCAAGAGCTCTCTAGGAGGCAGAATCAATAGTGTAGCAGAGTGGTTAATAGTTCAGGCTCTGCACTCACCCACTCAGTCTGAACTCACTAGCTCCTACGATAATGCAGTGCAGTGTTTAAGAATGTGGCCTCTGGCGAGGTCTTGGGTTTGCATCTTGGTTCTGTGTCCTTGAGCTGGTTGCCTGACCTCTCTGTGCCTCCCTTTCCCCACCATTATTTCCCCATTATTCCCCAAATGGGAATCATAATAGTGCCAAACTCATTGAGGATTGGGTCAATACATATAAAGCACTTGGAAAGGTACCTGGCATTCAGCAAGTGATGGCTATTATTGTTGATCATGGTGACCGACTGGAGGTAGGGAGACAGAGGACTCTGAAGCCCACGCCCTTTCCACTGCACCACACTGCCCTGCTCTGCCTGGAGTTTTTCATTAGCTAGGGGCTCCTTATGCTCATGTTCTCTGATGCTCTCAACTGGACGATAGATCCAATGTGTTAAACTAACCTGCGGAACCAACTCATGTGAATATGGTGGTGGGGGTGGGGGGGAGGATGAAGGGAGGCTTTGGGTCACAAGCATTTGAAGCCAGACTTTCTGGAGATGACTGCTACAAGTGTCCTATGTACCAAAGAAGTAATGCTTAACAGAAGGAATCTCAAGCCAGGGGGACGTGAGGATGGCTCCATGGCCCACCTGTCAACAGGCAATGTCTTGTGGCATCTCTTAAGGCCACTACTCATTGTTGTGCAAAGCATAGCACCACGCAGTGCCCTTCGCATACACTGTGAACGAAACCTCCCAGAGCTATGCAGTGCGCAACTGCAACAACCGTACGTGGTGACACTGGCCCCCCTTATTCACCCAGACCATCAAGAGACAGAGTCATACTTATAGTGTAGTAGGCAAGGGGAGCCTGCTTAAAGAGGTGCTGCTTTTATCTTTCTACTGCTGCTGCCTCCTTACTTTGTAAGCTCACTGGTGCTAGAATGAACTCAACTCAAAGTGCCTGCAACTGATTTGTGTGCATTTGTTTTATAAATATGCAGGGTAGAAGGTTGGCCCGAAAAGAATGAAAACCTAATAAAAATCAGAGTTTTGCCTCTTTCTGTGGCAACGGAAGAAGAGACAGATTCTGGGAGAAAACACCCTTCATGGTTGTGGAACAAACTATTTCTGTGGTCAGCCACAACAGGACTATAGGCGAAAGGCAGAGAGAGCACAAACTCCTCACCTCCAACACACACACACACAGACACACACACACAGCCATTACTGAACCACCACGAGCTCGAGGGGAGAGGGCAGTTTTATACAAATATGCTTTTGCCCTCCAGAAAAAATCTTAAGGTTTTCATGACCTACCATTCAGACCTTGCTAAAACCTCACCCCATTTCCACTCCTGCAGGATTTCTGGAAGCAAATCCTTAAGCAACTTTGGCAGTACTGAAGAAACAGAATCTGAGGTGAGGACTTAGAAAAGAAAAACAAAAACATTCTAGAATCCTTGCAGCTTGTAAGTATGGTCTTGACCACAAAACCTTTTAAATTATTACAGTATGGGGGCACCAGAAAATGCTCCGCTAAACACAATTTGTGCTCAGCACTAACACAGAGACACACAGCCTGAGCAGCCACATGGTTTGTATTATTCCTAAATTGGTTCCAAGGGAAATTTCCTGGAGAAAGTGTTTTGTGGGTGGTGCCTTGGCTACAGGATCCCTTGGGCCAGGAGTGAAGGCAGCAGAGACTGTTTCCAGCCGCTCCCAAGTCTGTTCCAGTGACACTGGGGTTAGAACTGCCTGGTTCCCAATTTTCCAGTCAAATCCCAGGCCACTTTCAAATGCTTCCAACGCAAGCACTAATCCCCCTGGGTGCCCTCTCAGGGGTTATGACTCCTCCGTCCCCTTCGACAACCCCCAAAGAGCTTGCCTTCCTTCTCACAGATCTCTTCCTCTGTGGCAGGGCAACAGCCTGGCAGGTTGCTGATCTCACCCTCTGATTCACACTCATTGGTCATGTGTTGGGTCTTTTTTTTTTTCTGTCCCTTTCCCTAAAAAATATATTCCATCTCAGACTGGTTTCCTAGGAAACCAACTGTCAAAAACAGGAACAGACTGGGTGGGAAAAGAATACTCCAAAAATTCCACCTTGCAATGTTTAATAATGAGATAACCCAATTAACAGAAACAGTAACTTTAAACAAAATGTGTGGACTTTTCCTCTGTAGATTTTAAACTCGTCTTTGGATCATGCCCTGAGGACAGCAACCATTTTGAAAGACACTACTGATCGAATGATTAGAACTATTGCAGAAAATCTTGCCAAAGTACAGAGATGGAGGAATCAACTGAAATACTAGTTCGACCCAAGGCAACCGAGGACTTTAAAAAAAAGAGAAATGCAAAGAAAACTCATCTTCCCCCCAAAAGTATCTTATACCATTTAGGAAGGTGACTTTCTAGAGAAAATACCAAAACTGTAAGAAATGGGGGGGCACCAAGTGCTTAAAAGGAAAAAACAATGGACCCTGATTCTTAAAATTGAAATCAACAAGTATTTATTTTAAAATAAATCTGTTATTCCTAACTCATAATAAAAGAAATCAAAGCAATAAACTAGGAGTGCCTGGCTGACTCCATGGGAAGAGCATGCGACTCTTGACCTCAGGGTCAAGAGTTCGAGCCCCACCTTGGGTGTAGAGATTACTTAAAAAAAAAAAAAAAGGATAGAACCAAACTATACCTTTGCCTGTAAGTATGGCAAAAACTAAAGTTTAGAAAAGCCAGTGTCAGTGAGGCTGGGGGTGACAGGTGCTCTTGTACCCTGGGGATGGAAGTGTAAATTGGTATAACCTGGTGGGAAGGCAACTTGGTATCAAATCCTACAAATGTAAAAGCACTTGCCTTCTGAGCAGAAACCCCACTCTTAGCAATTACTTCATAGGTGACTCACACAATAGGCCATCGTATTACACATGGGTGGCCACTGGAGCACTGAGGGAAAGAGCCCCCAAGTGGAACGATCTAATACTCTGTGGGGATTCATAAATAACGACAGGCATCCAGTTAGTGCTCTGCACCACTGGAAAAAAATGAGGTGGATAATCTTGCAAGATAGTGAAAAAAGGCAAGACAACTAATAATATATGTAGTGTGACCTCATTTGTGTATGTTTTTCAAAGGGCATACGTATTTTCTGGAACGATACACAAAAATATTCAGTGGACCTCCAGGAAATGGAAACTGGGCATCGTTCAGGGAAGGAAGAATCTTTACTTTTACTTTCTGTATGGTATGAAATTCTTACAATATGTTTATAATATAAATTACATGAAGATCTCTTGAAGTCAGATGCAAAAATGTTAGTCCTAGATTAATGAATTTGGGACAAAGTGAAGACAATTCACTAAAACTATGTACTGGGGATTAACTAAATGTATAGCACTTCATGTAGAATGTCAGAACAAGATTTTGATTTGCTTCTTTAAGACTGCTTTATAACCTCTTTAATGACAGAGCAGCACATGATTGGCTCTTTCCCTGCTTCCTGAGGTCTCTATTTACTCAAAACAGTCAACAAATGGTTTCCCAACCCCCAGAGCTTTGCTCAGTGGTAAAGAGAGTTGAATCCATTCCCACTTTGAAGATTCTTGTGGCCAAGGCAGCTGCTATTTGTCTAGCTGGCTGGAGAATGGGCTATTAATATTTAACTTTGGGGCTTGGAAATTGGTTTAGGGTGCCTTAGAAGAGATAAAGCAGAGGCCAGGCTGAAGATGTCTCTGACTTTGTGGCTGAAGGTACTTGGTACTTTAAGTCTTGGCACCATAAGGTAGAGAGTGAAGACTGGTAGTAGCATTTTTATTTTTTTTTTAAGATTTATTTGATAGACATTGTGAGAGAGGGAACACAAGCAGGGGGAGTAGGAGAGGGAGAAGCAGGCTTCCCGCTGAGCAGGGAGCCGGATGTGGGGCTCGATCCCAGGATTCTGGGATCACAACCTGAGCCAAAGGCAGACGCTTAACCAACTGAACCACCCAGGCGTCCGTGGTAGTAGCATTTTAAGAGGAAAAAAAGGGAGCTTTAACTGTGTATATGCTAAGAGGCTTCTAGATTCATCACTTACCTAAATTTAATCACAAGTTGAAAACCTGCTTTGTGTGCCAAGCATCACTATCCTGTCCCCAAGTTTAAAATTACACTTCCCTGGCTTGAAGGGTTCTCGTATGATTCATTAGTTCTTAATCTTTTCTGGGTTCAACCGTCTTTGAGAAACTGAAGAAAGCTATGGAGTCTCCCTCCCCCATGGTCCCCTCTTGCAGGGAAAAGGGATATAAGAACACACACAATTTTTAAAAGTTCATGGACACCTAAAGCAAACCCACGGAACCCAGGTTAGAAAGGACCACCATAAATGAATGTTCCTAAACCCTCCACTAACCTTTAGAGAAACATTAACTATTATAATCATTTATTTAAAAATATGGCTCATCTCTGCTTTATTAAACTAGATCCTAAATGTAATTTTACATTTCCTTAATGATTGAGGATTATCATGAACCATCACTGCAACGTGCTTAATCCAAGAAACAGAAACAGGGCAATGTCCTTAAGATTTTCTGGAAAAGTGCTAGGCTCTGATTTACAAAGATAACTTTATGTTTACTGATCCTGTAGCCTTGGCTGTCTCCTCCCTTCTTTGTGCAAATTTTGACAGATCTCTCTTCTAATTCTGCTGCAGTAACAGACCAGAAAAACAAGTTCATTAGCGAAAAGTAATTGTATTTCTAATGCTGAGTCAAGGGGCTCACCATTGCTGAGAGCAGGGGGATGGCAGCATCCGCCGTCCAGAGGCCTCTTTCTGTGTACTTCCAACAGGTAGCGGTGCTCCGGTGGCTTGAGGCTGCCAGGAGCAAGAAGCAGGATGAGGGGCAGTGCTTTTAACTCTTTAAAAAAAAAAAAGTCCTAGCCATCCACTTTATTCGATTATACAAATGAAAACTCATCTTTTAATCACTCCTTTCAACTGTAATCTTACGGTTAAGGATTTAAAATAGACCTAATTCATACTAAATTTGAATATGTTTATTTTTATTTTTTATTTTTTAAGATTTGATTTATTTATTTGAGAGAGAGAGTGAGAGAGAGCACATGAGAGGGGGGAGGGCCAGAGGGAGAAGCAGACCCCTGCCGAGCAGGGAGCCCGATTCGGGACTCAATCCCGGGACTCCAGGATCATGACCTGAGCCGAAGGCAGTCGCTCAACCAACTGAGCCACCCAGGCGCCCTTGAATATGTTTATTTTTAATACTCAAAATGTTGTTTTGGTAGTAGAAATTTTACTGTGGGATGAAGACTTTGTTGCTCCTTTGATTTTTAAAAGAAAACTGCCTGCAACCTGACAATTCACAAAGGGTTACAAATACCTGAGTTATGGGGGCATCACATCTTACAAAATAAACTGTCAGGATCTGGACCTTTGCGGCTCAAATCCAAGAATTTTTGTGTCTTTGTGAACGGCTGATATTTTTATTTTTTTGTGAATATGGCTGAACAATGTGAATCCACTATACTTTATAAACCAAGCGCATTTCAACAGGAAGCAAGCAGGGGCTTCCGAGATAGCGAATAAATGGCTTCAGTTCGTTCTAACAGCAAAATATCTTTTTCGGGGTCTTATCAGAATCCGTAATTGCTAATTCTGGAGGTGGAATCAGTTTATACCAGGAATTTATGTGAGATGACAACTTAGGTCTTCAAATTCAGCAAGAGATTTAGGAAAGATGATCTAATTCTAAGCCTAAAGTATATGTAGGGTGGAGGCCTCACGGGATCTCACGTCACTGTGATAGGACAAAGTCATCAGTGAGGTGTTAAGTGACTGAATGGGCCAGTGCGTGCTGCCACCACACCCTTGGTTCCACCTGTCACAGGGCACTGGATCAGTGTAAATCTCTGTTCCACATACATACTAACTCTGGACAGACAGTAACCAAGGTATACAAGGGCCTCCGATAAAACGCAGACACCAAAAACCAACCCTTTCACTGGCAATGAACTGTTCCCATGTTCAATGCATGAAGAGAGACAAGCCTTTCGTCTCCACACGCACACCCAGGTTAAATTACATAACCTTTTTGTGCCCTAGTTTTCTCGGCTTTCGAATGAAGATGATGATGATAATAGTGCCTATCCTCACAGGATTAAGTAAGAAGATTAAATGAGGTAATATAAGCACTTTGAAACACTGCCTGGCACATATAAAGCTCTAAGTAAGCACCTGCATATTATTATTTTGTTATCACTACCTAGTAAACTAGCAAGTTATGAAATTAATATATCAAAAAATAACATTCCTATATAAAAGATGTTTGAAAATAAGGTAAAAGATCCAATTCATATGGGACCACAGAAGACAGATATGGCAACTGCAGTACCTATATGAAGAAAATAAAGGTTTTGAAGGTCATAAAGATTTAGGTAAATAAAAAGACATTCTATATTCCTGAATTTCAAGTTTCAATATTATAGAGCTGTCAATTTTTTTAGAGATTTTATCTATTTATTTGAGAGAGAAAGTGAGCAGGGTGAGGGGCAGAGGGAGAAGCAGACTCCCTGCTGAGCAGGGAGCCCAATATGGGACTCGATCCCAGGACCCTGGGATCATGACCTGAGCCGAAGGCAGATGCTTAACCGACTGAGCCACCTAGGAGCCCCGGGCTGTCAATGCCTCTTAAATTAACCTATAAATGTATTGCAAACCTAATGAAAATACCAAAATAAGTTTTGGTATTAACAAAATGATACTAAAGTTCATTTAGAAAACTGTAATAGTTAGAAAATCTCTGAAAAATAAGTGACTTAGGTGTGAGTGGAGATTATATCTGTCACACATTAAAATATAGCACGAATTAGGGGTGTCTGGCTGACTCAGTTGGTGAAGCATGCCACTCTTGATCTTGAGGTCATGAGTGCAAGCCCCACGTGTGGCATGGAGCTTAAAATTATTTTTTAGACTTTTTTAAAAAAAATATTTTATTTATTTGACAGAGAGAGAAAAAAAGAGCACAAGCAGTGGGGAGCGTCAGGGAGAGGGAGAGGGAGAAGCAGGCTCCCCGCTGAGCAGGGAGCCCGGGCCGGGGCTCAATCCCAGGACCCTGGGATCATGACCTGAGCCAAAGGCTGATGAGACACTTAACGAACTAGCCACCCAGGCACCCCTAAAAATTTTTTAAAATAAAATATAGCATGAATTAAAATAGGGAAAAAGACATATGAACTATAGGTCAATAAAAGAGAATTCAGAAATAGACCAAAATACAAATATAAATTTAGTCTATGATAAAGGTAGTATTTCAGACTAGACGGGGAAAGAGGGATTACCCAATGAAATCTGCACAATATCTGGCTGTTTAGGAAGAAAGCTGGATCCCTGTTAAATACTGTATCAGTCAGGGTTCACTGTAGGAAAAGAAAATCCGCAGGTATTTCAAAGAATAGAAATGAACACAGGTCCTTAAAAATCAGAGAAAAAGGGGCGCCTGGGTGGCTTGCTCGGTTAAACATCTGACTTCGGCTCAGGTCATGATCTCTGGGGTCTTGAGATTGAGCCCGGTGTTGGGTTCTGCGCTCAGCGGGGAGTCTGCTTCTCCCTCTGCCCCTCCCCCTGCTTGTTCTCGGTCTCTTTCAAATAAATAAATAAATACTTTTTTTTTTTTTAAAGATTTATTTATTTGAGAGAGCGAGAATGAGAGAGAGAGAGAGAGTACATGAGGCGGGTGAGGGTCAGAGGGCGAAGCAAACTCCCCGCCGAGCAGGGAGCCCGATGCGGGACTCGATCCAGGGACTCCAGGATCATGACCTGAGCCGAAGGCAGTCGCTTAACCAACTGAGCCACCCAGGCGCCCGGATCTTTTTTAAAAACTCAGAGAAAAAGCTGAAGGGGCAGAAACTGGGGGCCAACACAGCTTTTAGACTCGGGCTGTGTCATCTTCGGGGGCGCAGGGTACAGGAAGTCAGCGCCGTTGCAGCCACCAGCACTGCCTCAAGCCCATGCAGCAGGTGACAGACGCTGAGACACGGCGTCTAGTTGCTACAAACAACTTCAGGTGGCCGGAGCTTGCTTGTCCACTAGTACAGCATGGCAGATGGTCTCTGCCTTCCAAATCTTGACCAAACGCCAATCACCGGCAGAACCTAATCAGTTCTGAACCCTGCTTATCTTTGAGTCTGCAAAACTTCATTTTTAGCCTTTCATCCCCTCTGGTATGAGATGGGGAGGCATGGGACATAATGCCAAGGGCTAAGAGACAATACCTGGCATACACTGTCACACTAAAGTCAATTCCAGATGGATGAATTACCTGTAAAAATAAAATGAACCTATTGAAATGTTCTAGAAGAAACAATGAATTTATCGTTTTGGTTGTAAAAGGTTATTTCTAAGTACAACATATAATTCAGAAACCAAAAAGGAAAAGTGATGGGTTTATCTACATAAAAATTTAAAATGGTGGTATCTATCAACATGTTGACTCTTGGACAACATGGGTTTGAACTGCACAGGTCCACTTACACAGATTTTTTGGACAAATATAGTACAATACTGTAAATGTATTTTCTTAACATTTTTTCTCCCACTTTATTGTAAGAATATAATAAATAATACATACAACACAAAATTTGTGTTAACCGACTATGTTTTCAGTAAGGCTTCTGGTCAACAGTATGCTATTAGTAAAGTTTTTGAGGAGTAAACAGTTTCTCAACAGATTTTCGACTGCATGGTTGGGGCTGGGGGGCAGGGGTAAGCTAAACCCATGTTGTTCAAAAGTCAACTATATTTAAATGCACAAATACTCTGACCAGCTATACCATTGCTAGAAGATATTATAGAAGTATTTGTGTGTGTTTGCAAAGGTATGTACCCAAACAATGCAGCATTATATAGAAGAGCAAAACTCTGAAGATGAGTAATATATAAAATTATGAGGCCACTATGAGGCCAGGTAAAAGGAGAGATTTGAAATGAACACATTCCCTTTGTGTAACGCATGTGCAGACATATCCTTTTATTATCCAACCTTATACAAATATTACATTGTTTTTATAAAAAGTCAACAGGGGCTATCTTGGTGGGAAGATTATGGTGCATTCTTTTTCTTTTTTGTAACTCTCTGATTTAGAACTTTTAAACTTCCCAACTTCCCCTTCCTCCCCTGCCCCCAAAAAGATAACTTTTGTAACTATACATTTATTTTCTCTTAGAATATTCACACTTATTTTTGGTTTTCTACTTTAAACATACATGATTTTGAAATTATATAAAACTGTTCTTTAGAAGTATCTGGGAAGACAGTATACCCTGTGAAATTATTCTATTTCTATTAATGACAATGATTTTACACACAGAAGAAATTATGAATTTCAATTGAAAAACTCCACTTAGAGAAAATCATGACATACACACAGTTTTTACTTTTACAGCCTTTTCATTTAAAATCAGTTCTTTCCCAAAAAACTATACTTGAGCGTAAGACAGATAAGTATCTGCTAAGTAATTAGTATGTACGTAGGTAGTTGTGAAGAATTACCCACAATTCTAATATATTCAGTTCCAAAGGTGAAAAGTTTCCTTTTAGAAAGCATTTTAACATTTCTGCTCATCATCTACAAAGCAGCAACACCATTTAAATTATTAAAAATGGCAAACCCAATGATATGTAACCATGAAGTCCCTTAAGAAATAGATTTGAAAAATCATTATTCCATAAAATATTTACATTGTTTAAATTACATGATAGCAACCTTGTCTTGATTTATTTTAGTTGAACATGTTAATAAGAATCTCCAAAAAAAACCACAAAAAAACACATTATTCATCCTTAATAAAGGAGACTTTATCCTTGGGTTTATTTAGCATCTTTATATCATCCAAAAGCTTTCTGGGTGTTAAAATATGCGTAGAACCTGGTAGGAGAAAAGATAAAATTTCAGAGGCCAGAACTTAATTGGCTAAGTATATTGCTCTGTCCCTCAAATTTGCAAAGTGCCACAGCTTGGGGCAATTTAACAAAATTTCTACAGGACACATTCCTGGCATCTGCCTATACCACAGTATTTCAGGCCCTCCTCTTCATTGCACAGCACGCTCAGTAAACCACTGCTAGTACTTTGTCTACTCTGTGCAATACATTGATACGCTGACGATCAAAACTGGACGCTACTATCCCTGTGGCAGAACAGAAGAATCGCTGCTCAGTCACAGGATCATTAAGCTGTGCTGCAGATCTACAGCTGGTGTACAAATGTTGCATTCCATAAAGGAGGAGAGTTTCCGTATCAGTGGCTTTGACTGAAGTTCTTAAAACTAAATTCCATATAGGACTTGCCAATGTCAGGTTCACATCCACAAAAACATTCAAAGTACTTCTGTAGTCGAAATGTATTTATGTCTCAAAAATTATTTAATAATAAGGGCAAGTCTGGAATATAATATTTTAAAGGACATTTTTAATAATATCTAAATAATAAAATATTTTGAAGCTTATTCCCTCAAAATCAGAATCTTTAAAAATCAAATTATCAAAAAAGTCAACCAGGAAAAAACTCTAGTACATCAGATAAAACACACTATGATTAGTAAGTTTTTTTGCACTCAACAATTTAGACCTACATGTAACTTTCAACATAAAGTTTTGCATTTAGTTTGCTTAAAAAAAATTGAAAAGAGGAAAACATGTCTTACCAATAATAACTTCACAGGATTTATGTGCCTGAGAAACTTCATAAGCACAACGCATTTCAGAGTATGTAATTCCTCCGATTACAAAAACAATCAGCTTTGACCCATTTTTTCGGTCCTCTAAGTAATTAGTTCTGGGTTTCTGGCGAGCACTAAAAAATAAACATACACAAACATGTTAAAAACATTTCCAAAGCCATAGTGCTTGTAGAGTTTTTAAAAAGCCTAACTCAAGCAAACTCAAATCTGGCAGCAATTACCCTGATTTTATGGAAAGGACTTAACTATGGTATGACTGGAGAACCAAGACAGGTTAGGTAGGACAGCCCCACTTCAAGTTTAATTTTGATCTAATAGAGAGTTTGGACAAATCACTCATAACCTAGTTCAGCACTTTTACTCTATATACCTGAAAAGTCTATGACTTACCATTTTTTTAAAGATTTATTTTAGAGAGATGAGTGTGTAAGGGGGAGGAGTAGAGGGAGGGGGAGAAAGAAACTCAAGCAGACTCCATGCTGAGCACAGAGCCCGACATGGGGCTTGATCCCAGGACCCTGAGATCATGACCTGAGCCAAAACCAAGAGTCAGACGCTTAACGGAGGCACCCAGGTGCCCCAAAAGTCTATGACTTTCTGAAGTCTTTAAAACCCTCTTGTTTCAGTGTCACTCCCATTTTTTTAACTTCAGAAAGTCATAGACTTCTCAAGTATGTTATTTCTTCATATGAAATAAAAGAGTGTCAGCTCTATTTTATAGGTACAGGGAGAGAAGCACCGGATTTGGAGCTGATGTGGTACCAGGATATCCCATGCTGAAACTCACTGAGGTAGGACGGTAGGAGGTACTGAAGACATATGTGCATTCCTGTGTTCACTGCAGCATTATTCACAATAGCCAAAACACGGACAACATTTAAATGTCCATTGGTGGAGAGATGGATAAAGAAAATGTAGTGTATATATGCAGTGGAATATTATTCAGCCTTTAAAAAAAAAAGAAGGAAAGGGGTGCCTGGGTGGCTCAGTCAGTTTAACGTCTGCTTACGGCTCAGGTCATGATCTCAGGGCCCTGGAACTGAGCCCTGAGGTGGGCTCCCTGCTCAGTGGGGAATCTGCTTTCCCCTCTCCCTCTACCCCTCCCCCTCCCCTGTGCTTGCACGCTCTCTCAAATAAATAAATAAAATCTTTTAAAAAAATAAAAATTAAATAAAAATTTAAAAAAGAAGGAAATTCTGCTAAGTGCAACAACATGGATGAACCTGAAGGACATTATGCTAAGTGAAATTACATTGGACTCAGGAAGACAAACACTGCATGATCTTACTTCTATGTGGCATCTGAAACAGTCAAATTCATAAGGCAGAGAATAGAATGTTGGTTGCCAGGGGCTGGGCGGGGAGGGGAAATGAGGTAGTGTTGGTCAAAGGACACAAAGTTTCAGTTATACAAGATGAATTAATTCTGGAGATCTAATGTACTGCATGGTGACTACAGTTACCAAAAATTATATCGTATGCTTGAAATCTGCTAAAAGAGTAGATCTTAAATTATTAAATTAAGCCTTCTCACCACACACACACAGAAGAAAGAAAATGGTAAGTTTGTGGAGGTGATGGATATATTAATTAGCTTGTGATGATCATTTTACAATGTACATGTATCAAAACACCAAGTTGTAGATCTTAAACATATACATATAGTGCTATTAAGTCAATTATACCTCAATAAAGCTGTTAAAAAAGAGACCTGGTTACAACTCTGATTCTGCTTCTTTCTAATTCAGTAAGACTTTCGGCAAGTTACTGAACCTCTCTCTAATAGTCAAGGGTTGTTTTCAGGATTAAATGAAATAATGCAGAGGATACACGAAGCATGGAATCTGGTACCAAGGAAGCACTCAATAAATAATAGCTAATGTTTCTATCATTTCCTCCCCCAGATGCTCTAGATCAGCATTGTCTAATACAGCAGCCACTAGCTACATGAGGCTATTTAAATTTAAATTAATTAAAATTAAAAACGCAGTCACACTAGCCACATATCAAGTGCTCAACAGCTCCACGTGGCTACTGACTCATATTGGAGAGGGCAGATACATGACATTTCCATTACTGAAAGAAAGTTCTATGGGGTAGCACTGCTCAAGATCATAGGGAATCACTTTTTTTGATCTCACAGTCGACTGGTAAAAAATTTTGAGCTTTTATGTGAAAAGTAAATATTTCAAAATAAAAATTTATGTACTTCTATTAAAAATATATATTAGTTTATAAATTAGATATGTATACTGGTGTCTATTAATAAAGTTTAATTTCTCCCTTTTTCAGGTAAAAATAAATATCCCCCCCCAAATCATCTTGTTACCCATTTTGGAAACCATGTTCTTTCTAGAGGACCTCTAAGACCCTGAAATGTAGGATCCCATGGTAAACTTTTAATAATGTTCTTGTCTAGATAATCTCCATCTGCCATCTTAAGAAATGATGAGGGAGTAAACAATAGGAAGAAAGTAAAGAGAATCAGTAACTGGTTTTGAAAGATGAAACAGGAATAAGATACACTCATGATTCCCATATAAAACAAATCAAGGAGATTCTAAAAGTGCAATTTTGGTTTAAAAACTATTTCAAGGGGGCACCTAGGTGGCCCAGATGGTTGAGTATCCAACTCGATTTCGGCTCAGGTCATGATCTCAGGGTTACGAGATCAAGCCCTGTGTCAGCTCTGTGCTCAGTGGGGAGTCTGCTTGAGATTCTTTCCCTCTGCCTCTATCCCCGCTCTTGCACACACACACTCTCTTTCTCTAAAATAAATAAATCTTAAAAAAAAATTTTTTTTCAAAAGAAAAACAGAAGAGAAATAGAGTAAGAACAACAAAAAAAAGGATAATACTGCTTAAACAATTATGTGACTAACAATTTTTAAATTTCTGAATAGCAATTTTAGGACAATGGGATTATATTTAATTTGTTTCACATACATGTATAAGATGTTGTGCTAGTGTTTTACATTCTGATAGATATAAAAATAATAATTAAAGCCCTAGATTCTGAAAATCTCACTCTAGAAAGCACCTAGAAGCTTTGGTTAAAATAAGAGTGAACTTTTTTTCACTCTTTATTTATTTAAAAATTTTTTAAAATTTAAATTCAATTAATTAACATATAATGTATTATTTGTTTGGGGTATAGGTCTGTGATTCATCAGTCTTACATAATACCCAGTGCTCATTACAACACATACCCTCCCCAATGTCCATCATCCAGTTACCCCAACCTTCCACCCCTGTCCCCTCCAGCAACCCTCCATTTGTTTCCTATGCTTAAGAGTCTCTTATGGTTTGTCTCCCTCTCTGGTTTCATCTTGTTTCATTTTTAAGAGTGAACTTCTTTTTAAAAGCACAGTGAAAGTAAACAAATAAGAGAAATCTCCAAAGGCTAGCAATAAAGAGGAAGCTAAAAACTAGAGTGGTAAACTGAGTTGAGGCTTGGTCTGCCTTGTGGAGAGTTAGTCTAATCTTAGCAAACAAGACTTGGGTGTTTACCCATTTAATGAAGCCTTGGTACTGTGCAAAGTAGGGAGGGACTGGGAGTTGACACCCCTGCATAAGGTAGGGCACTCATTTTTTTATGATAAAGTACATTTTCATACTGCTTCCTTGGACTCATTTAAAATAGGTTGCAGTTAAAGAAACACTGCCTTTTAAGTGACTATGCCTCCAGGAGAGTTGCCAGTATAAGAGTTCCTTCTGTACCATTTCAATTATTAGTCTGCAATATCATACTGACAATTTCAATTGATAGGTTTTACCTTACAGCTCCTGAGCCATTCCATACTGCTGGATACTGGGAACAATATGGCCATTCTTTTGAATCTAATCTATTATCAATGGCATCCTAGGGAAGAAAAGAATTAACACCATTAAAAAAATGTACATTCTAGGATTTTTAAAATTTGTATATTTTGCATAAGACTCAAAACTTGTGTTTACAATTAAGGAGCCTAAGCTATGTAAATATTTAATAAAATAAGGTTAGCCCTCTCTCTGAAACTTATAAAACTTCACTTGCTTCAAAAATTAATGCAATCCCTTACTTTCTTATTAAACCAATATTTACTGAATGTCTACATTTCTTCATTTGGAGGGTCTCCATATTGGTTTAAGGACTGCAGAGACCTTAATCTCTAGAGTGCTCAGGGTTTCTAAATACCCATCCTAGTCCTGACATACCTCTTAGGCTATTGGAGAGTTCACCTTGCCCTTCATTGCAGTGGCTCTAAAATAGGATTTGCATCCCTGACCTAGGGGTAATCAAAACAATCCAATGGGATGAGAGAAGTTTTCCTTTTTGTTTAAAAAAATTTTCTATTTTAGGGTTACATTTTATGATATACTTATGTGTACAGGATGTGCTATATATAAAGATTATGCTTCCCCAGTACAGTAATACACAGTTTGTAAATAATCATATACTACAAGCTCACGTTCACAATTTTTATGGTTAAGTACGCATGATTAAAACAGTTTGGAGACCACTGCTTTACAGCACAGTAGTATAAAAGGTATTAATAAGTGGGCCTAAGGAATGAGCACAAGGTACTTAGTAGTAGTAGTCCAAGAATATTTCATTAAAACTGTAAGAAGCAAAGAAATCAAGTTTCAGGAGAAATCCTGAAGGCCGTGGAATGCCACTGGGCCAAAACTGGATTTTCTTTTTTTAAAATTAATATGCAAATCCTTGTTACAGGGTTCAGGAAGTCAATTCTTATTTTAAAAGTACTATCCAAGAAAGACTACTTAGCTATATCCTTGTTATGGGTAGGGAAAAAAATCTTATGTTGTAGAAAACAAAGTCTAGATTCTTTAAACTTTTCATCTATGATTAAGAATGTGTGAATGACATAAAATTAGCCAAGCAAAACAGGAAAATCATAAATTGCACACATTTAGCTCCCAAAGCAAAGCAGAAAAGGGTTTAAGTCAAAGGAAAACTGGAATAAATGAAACTATATTATTATAATTGAAGAACCAATGTCATGATTTTATTGCTCATAATACAATTTTTACAGTTCATTTTCTAATTTCCCATAATTGAATATTAATTTCTAAAAGCAAACAGTACTAAGGGCATAAACCATCTGTTGGACAGAATAGCAAACTATAGTTTACAATTTACAATTTAATAACACAAATACTTTTCCAAGAATACTGGAGTCTAACACTTTCTAACAGTGGTCATATGCAAATGTTGTTTTGTTGAACTTTCATTCAAATAAATTATACTTCTGCTACATATAGTTATTTAAAACAAGTTTTTTTTTTCCCATAAGGCAGTTATGTATGCTTACTTTCATTTATTTTGAGGCAGTCAGTGTGTAAGTTTATTTGAGACCTACACGGAATGAATCTTCAAATTTCCTTTCTGCCTTTGACCCCTGATACAGCCTTCTTTTGTGAACCCTCCCAGTACTGCATACATTCCTGACCAATAGATATGCTCAGACTGACAGATAAACATACAGAAAGTAAAGAATACTCTACAGAAAGGCACTTAAGGTTTAAGTAAAATTTAATGAAATTTACCTCCAAAATATCTTTGATAAAAGGTGTCCATCGAGAGAGTTGAAAAGTTTCTTCTGTAGACCTATCCTTTCTTAATGGTTTGCTTTGTTGAGACTAATACAAATAGAGGAAAAAAATTTAAAACCTGTAATTTTATTTAGTAAGATTCTCTTATTACATTTTCTTTAAAAAATATTTAAATTACAGCAAATACTATGTTGTATTTGACTTAAAACTAAGAGTGGAGGGGGCACCTGGGTGGCTCAGTCAGTTAAGTGTCTACTTTCGGCTCAGATCATGATCTCAGGGTCCTAGGATCAAGCCCCATGTTGGGCTCCCTGCTCAGTGGAGAGTCTGCTTCTCCCTCTTTCCCTGTCCCCTCACTCATGCTTCCTCTTTATCTCAAATAAATAAATAAAATCTTAAAAAAAAACCCAAAAAACAAAAAACTAAGAGTGGAAATGCTTACTCAAAAAATCTGAATAGATGGGGTCACATAAATTCACCATATTTTGTGCTCGAATGATAAAATGTATAACAGTATTAGAAAATATATTTACTCAAAAGTGCTATAAAACTTGATGGGAAAGAGAGATTCTAAAGAGTTCTTTCAAAATTTGCTATACAGGGAATCATAGAGAAAAGCATAAAGAGCAAATTACAACAGAAGATATAAGATATAAATTCACTAGAAAAATGTATTTGTCCAAATTACTCATTTATGGAAAAGAAAACAAAATTAAAAATTTTTTACTTACCAAATCTATACAGTGAAATTAAGAAGACTATGTGGATTCCCATATAAGAAAACATATTTAATGCAAACAACCACATACGTACAGATACGAATATATACTGAATGTAAGATTTCTTACTGGGGGGACAATGGGAACACCAAGGTAACTCCAGTTACGGATCATGTCGCTGTCATTTTCTATCTTTACATTCTGGATCAACCTGTCCAAATTTTCTTCTGTAGTTCCTTAGATAAAAATACGAGTGCACAGTCACACAATTGCTACCACAATCATGTATAGGTTTCAGGTTGTACCCATGAATAAAGCTTATTAAAGAAAAAGCAAATGTTTAATTATATACCCTTCGGGTCTTCTCCCAATGTCCTGTTTTTCCTCACATTCCTTACATTCTTACCCAACGTCAGCTACTACCTTTGAATTTTCTAAGACTCTCTTATGATCAATAGTAAATTACTTATTATACAGTGATTTTAGAACTGAGGGTTTTAATATATTGATGAAAATAAAGTCTCTATTACCATTAATACTGAAGATGTAAAGTAGAATCGCTCTTATTTTATCATAATTATCATGATTTTTGTTGAGTAGAACTGGAAGAAGTACTCGCATAGAATCTTTCACCTTCTGTCCTTCTGCATCAGTTCCAAGTGCCAGGTCCTTAATGACAATTAAATATAGTCAGTGGCCTATAATCCAAATTCACTTTTCAGTTAAAAGTATCTTAAATCCTGGGGCGTCTGGCTGGCTCAGTCAGTACAGCATGTGACTCTTGATCTCAGGGTCGTAAATTCAAGCCCCACGTTGGGTGTAGAGATTACTTAAAAATAAAATCTTTAAGGGCGCCTGGGTGGCTCAGTTGGTTGAGCGACTGCCTTCGGCTCAGGTCATGATCCTGGAGTCCCTGGATCGAGTCCCACGTCGGGCTCCCTGCTCGGCAGGGAGTCTGCTTCTCCCTCTGACCCTCCCCCCTCTCATGTGCTCTCTCTCTCAAATAAATAAATAAAATCTTTAAAAATAAATAAATAAAATAAAATCTTTAAAAAAATACCTTAAATCTTGCCAAATTTTAATGTAACACTGATGATACTTCAAATGTAGGCATCAATTGTAAACTACCGATTGTACAAAATATAAAAAGTCAAAAAATAATTCAGAGAGAAAATCATTAACCTAAACCTATGCTAATATGGTAGCCCTGAGCTACATGTGGCTAATGAGCACTTGAAATGTGGCTAGCCTGAATTAAGATGTGCTTATAAGTGAAAACACCAGATTTCTTGAAGACTTGGTGTGAAAAAGGAATGTAAATTAGGGCACAGGGGTGGCTCAGTCATTAAGCGTCTGCCTTCAGCTCAGGTCATGATCCCAGGGTTCTGGGATCGAGCCCCCCATCGGGCTCCCTGCTCAGCGGGAAGCCTGCTTCTCCCTCTCCCACTCCCCCTGCTTGTGTTCCTGCTCTCGTTACCTCTCGCTCTGTCAAATAAATAAATAAAATCTTGAAAAAAAAAAGGAATGTAAATTATTTCACTAACAATTTTTATATTGATTACATGTTGAAATGCTAAGGTTTTGAAAGCATTAAGTCAAATGTATTATTAAAATTAACCACCTTTGTTTCTTTTTACCTTTTTATGTGACTACAATTGACCCTTGAGTAGCACAGGTTTGAAGTGTGTGGATCCACTTATACATGGATTTTTTTCAATAAATACAGCACAGTACTTTAAATGTATTTTCTCTTCCTTATGATTTTTTTTAGAAACATTTCATTTTCTCTAGCTTACATTACTATAAGAATATAGTATAATACATATAACATACAAAATGTGTGTTAATCAACTGTTTATGTTATCAGTAAGGCTTCTGGTCAACAGAAGGTTATTAGTGTGGGGGAGTCAAAAGTTAGACATGGATATTTTACTGTGGGGGGGTCAGTACCCCGATCCTTGTTCAAGAGTCAGCTATACTGTAATATTTAAAATTACATATGGCTTGGGGTGCCTAGGTGGCTCAGTTGGTTAAGCTTCAGACTCTTGATCTGGGCTCAGGTCATGGTCTCAAGGTCATGGGATTGAGACCCTATAGCTTAAGATTCTCTCTCCCTCTCCCTCTGCCCTTCCCCTGCTCAAACTCTCTTGCTCTCTGTCTCAAAATAAATAAATAAATAAAACTACATAGGGCTTGCATTCTATTTCTCTTACCACTGGTCTAAACATTTATGACATTACGGGGTGGGGGGGGGGCTCTAAAACAAGTTAAATGTGCCAATGCAGTATGCTGCAGGATGCTGCATTAAATGTTGCACCTACTCAGAAAGGCCTGATGATAGAGCTACTCTGAAATAATGTTCCAAACACTAAAATTACCACATTTAACCAAATATGTACAATCACAGATTAGGAGGGACGGCTTATTATGATACGATAGCTACCTGATAATGTTGGTGGGAAGTGATGTATTTATTTTTATTTCTTAAGTAAGCTCCATGCTCAGTGTGGAGCCCAACATGGGGCTTGAACTTGACCCTGCAGAGATCAAGACCTGAGCTGAGATAAAAAGTCAGATGCTTAACTGACTGAGCCACCCAGGTGCTCTGGGAGTTATATATTTAAATACTGCCTAGTTGAGCCCCCTTCTAAGAGAGATTCTGCGATTTAGTGCACCTTACAAAGTTCAATCCGAAAATTTATGATGATATAGTACTTCTTACTCTGCACATACCTGTTCACTTTTGCAGAGCTTTTCTATATTAGGCTTGAATTTATTCATGCAATCTTCTGCTAAGTTAAGATGGACAACTTGCTGAAAAACAAAAGAAATCAATCGCTTAAATCATTTTAATTTCTTTTTGTGCAACTGATAGTATTAAACTTGTGAGATAGGCCTGAAGGAAATTATGAGCTGAGGTGGAAAGGAGGTACCATGTAAAGCAAGGAAAGTAGCTCAAGAAAAAGGAAAAAGTGAGAATTAACATGGTCTACAGGGAATAATCAACAGACAGCAAAAAATAGAAGGGCTGAATATATGTTTAAGAGTACTGAAAAAGGTTAGAAAAATAAAAAGCTAAGTCCTGAAAGTCCAGCAGAAAAAAGTTTTTGGATTTATATTATTGGTTCTTTTTTTTTTTTTTTAAAGATTTTATTTATATTTGACAGAGAGACACAGCAAGGGAGGGAACACAAGCGGGGGGGTGGGGGAGGGAGAAGCAGGCTTCCTGCAGAGCAGGGAGCCTGATGTGGGGCTCGATCCCAGGACCCCGGGATCATGACCTGAGCTGAAGGCAGACGCTTAACGACTGAGCCACCCAGGCGCCCCTATTATTGGTTCTTGATTAGGGTGCTGTACGATAAAAAATGAGTTAAGACTATTTAGATAATGACTCATAGGAAAGACTGATACAGCAAAAAGAACAGTTTACCTGCCAACACGCTTAACTGCTCTTAACTACTAAGATGTAACTATTAAAGAACCAAGTAGAATAACAACTGCTGGTTAATACAATGTTGAATTTTCTTATTAAGTTGATAAATACAAAATTCTCTGGCTATTGAAGACAAAGATATAAAAAGCTAACGCTGGATTTGGATGAATCTAGATTACATACAGAGAACACTATTGAGAAGCTTAGATTTTTGGAATATTTCTCAGACCTAGAGTAAAATTTTAGAGGATAACTAACACCAAGTATTCCATGACACCCACTACTAAACCTCACTATAGAACTGGAAGGACTAATAAACTAAAAATGATAAAGTATCTCATATACAATACTGCTTACCTTAGTAATCTGTTTACGGAAATGAGGCATCTTTTTCATCAATTGGGCAAGAGCACTAAGCGATGTCTAGAAAAAAAAGTCAAACATTTTTAAAGCAAACTTATAATTCAGGTATTCTATATAACAATTTTTGTAGTTTCTTATTTTTTTAAAGATTTATTTTATTTATTTGAGAGAGCACATGCGAGTGCATGCCCAGAGGTGGGGGGCAGAGGGAGAGTCTTAAGCAGATTCCATGCTGAGTGTGGAGCGCGAAGTAGGGCTCAATCTCATGACCCTGAGATCACGACCTGAGCTAAAACCAAGAATCGGACGCTTAATTGACTGTGTCACCCAGGCGCCCCTCTATATAACAATTTTTTAAATCCTGTAGTTTTATTGCTAGTTTTCTAAATATTTGGCAAATTAAAAAAAAATAAATCCAAGAGACTTTCAGTTTCAGTCACAATAAAGTAGCCGATATCAAAATTATTCTCCCCCCATAAACAAAAACAGAACTGGACAAAATAAATAAGCCAACAGTTCTCAGGCAATGGATAAGAAAAAGAGCTCACAGCTAAGATACTTGAGCAAAAGAAAGCACAGGTGATCCTTGCACTCACCCTGGCTTTTCCCTGGGACACTTTCCAAAACACAGTGAAAGGAAGTAGAATTCAAGTAAAAAGCACTAGTCTCTCTGGGCAGAGGAAAAAGAGATCAGAGTTTGGGGCTGGTGAGGTAGGGTCTGGGGGGCAAGGTGCTAGAGAGAAAGAGCCAGTCAGTCGCAACATAATTCAAAGATAAAACTCAAAGAGGTATTGCCTTTGGATCCCTGGCTGCGTGTGTAAAGGGCAAAACTCTTAAAGGCCTAGCATGGAACAACTGCTGGGTGGCTAAATGCTAGACAGAGATTTCAGAGGGGTCTTAGTGCTAAGAAAATACTGGTATTCTTTGATCCAAAGAAGAGAGTGCCAAGTGAATATCCCAGACATTCAGTACTAGGACTGTCTTTGGACCAAGTGCAAAAGGAAAATACACTCACCATAACAACACCTGGCATGAAGTCTCAACAGAATTAAGGTTATTTATCAGCAAATTAAATGCCTGCCAGAACAGAAATCAATACTCTTTGCAGAGAGAACATCATCTAGTGCCTCTGCAATATGTTATCTGCGATGTCTAACATACACTAAAATATTACTGGTCATGTAAGACAGAAAAAAGTGGTCAATACCAAAGTTATAAAATAAGTCAATAAACGCAGACCCAAGACAAAGAAGATGTGGTATATATACACAACGGAATATTATTCAGACATAAAAAAGAATGACATCTTGCCATTTGCAACAACATGGATGGATCCAGAGAGTCTAATGCTAGTGAAATAAGTCAGTCAGAAAAAGACAAATACCATATGGATTTCACTCATGTGGAATCTAAGAAACAAAACAAATGAACAGAGAATAAAAGAGACAAACCAAAAAGCAGACTCTTAACTACAGGGAACAAACTGATGGTTACAAAAGGGTAGGTGGGTAGGGGGATGGGTGAAATAGGTGATGGGGATTAAGAATGTACTTATCATGACGAACACTGAGTAATGTATGGAACTGTCGACTCACTATATTTTATACCTGAAACTAATATAACACTGTATGTTAACTATACTGGAATTAAAAAAAAAAAAAGAGGTTGACCCAAGACAATCTAGATGTTGGAAGTTAACAGACAAGAAATTAAAAAATAACACATTTATGTTAAAGAAAACAGGGAAAGATGGAATACATGGATAAAAAGATACAGTATTTTAACAGAAAATTAGAATTTATTTTAAAACTTCAATGTCTTAGAACTAAATGCAATATTAGAAATTAAAAATACAAAAAAAAAAGATAAAGAAATTAAAAATACAGTGATTCTCCTACATTGCTGGTGGGACTGTAATATGGTATAGCCACAACAGTATGGAATTTTTTTATAAAGTTAAACATACATTTTACTATATAATCCAGCAATCCTTTTTTTTTTCCAAAGATTTTATCAATTTATTTGAGAGACAGAGAGAGCACACAAGCGAAGGGAAGAGGTAGAGAGAGAAGGAGGCTCCTCGCTGAGCAGGGAGCCCAACGTGGGGCTCGATCCCAGGGTTCCGTGATTATGGCCTGAGCTGAAGGCAGACGCTTAACAGACTGAGCCACCCAAGTGCCCTCCAGCAATCCCACTCTTAATTATTTACCCAAGTGAATGAAAACATCTGTTTACACACAACCTGAATGTTTTATAGTGGCTTTATTCATAATTGCCAACAACCTGAAAAAAAAGTATTCAGCAACTGAGCCACCCAGGCGCCCCCAAAAATAACATCTTAAGTTTATAAACACATGTTGAGTAAAATATATAACAACAATAGCACAAAAGATGAAGGGGGTAAATGCAGCTAAACTGTTATAAGGTTGAATTATTCAGGACATGGAAAATTATAGTCTACTTTAAGGTAGACTATAATAATGATACATTTTGGGGTGCCTGGGTGGCTCAGTTGGTTGAGCACCTGACTCTATTTTAGCTTAGGTCATGATCTCAAGGTTGTGAGATCAAGCCCCGAGTTGGGCTCCTCGAGCTCAGTGCAGAGTCTGCTTGAGATTCTTCCTCTCCTTCTGCCCCTCCCCCGCTTGCACATGCCTCTAAATAAATAAAGTCTTAAAAAAAGAAAAAAGGAATATTACAGGGACTTATTTCTCATAAACCTGGAATCAAATATCCTAAGCAAAATATTAGCAAAGAGATTCAGTGATATAGGAAAAGGATAATGCATCAAGACCAGTGCAACTTATTCTGGGAATGTATGGTTGGTTTGTTATCATATTAACAGAAAAAAGGAGAAAAAAAATAATTTCAATAGATGCATGTGATGAAATCCAACACCTATTCTGATTACAAAAACCAAAACCACAACCTGTTTTGCAAATTAAGAATAGAAGGGGTAATCCAGATAAAGGATGTATCAAGGGGCGCCTGGGTGGCTCAGTCAGTTGAGCATCCAACTCTTGATTTCGGTTCACATCATGATCTCAGGGTCATGTGATGGAGCCCTGCACTGGGCTCCACTCTGGGTGTGGAGCCTACTTGGGATTCTCTCTCTCCCTTGCCCTCTGCCTACCCCGCCCACCCTTGTGCTCTCTCTCTCTCTCTCAGAAAAAAAAGAAAAAGAAAAAAAAGGATGTATCTAAAATAACCTAAGTCTAACACAACACTCAATGGTATAATATCAAACATGTTTCTCCTGGGGGAATGTGACAAGGATATCCTCTATCATCAATTCTATTCTACATTATAGAGCTAGGAAATATTAACTACTAAGAAAACTATTTTAAAATGTATAAAGATTGGAAAGGATCAGGCTAAATTTTCTTTATTCACAGATGATATTATTGTGTAATATTTTGGAATGATGGAAATGTTCTCTATCTTGATTTAGGTGGTGGTTCCAAATATATATATAAAATACTTACTCAGTACTCACTTAAGATTTGTGCACTTAGGTAAATTACACCTTGAAATAAAAAAAATCTAGCAAAAATGCACTGATGACATTGGCTAAATGGCTTTTTAAAAATAAACTCAATGAAGCAAGAGAGACAAAATTGTTGGGACTAGATAATGGGTACATGGGAGTTCATTTTCTCTACTTTTGTGTATGTTATAAATTTCCCAAAATGGAATATTAAAAAGATAAAATAAAAATTTTAACACATTTTAAAATTCACCATCATTATTTTGAGTGTTAAATAAAAGTCTTACCTTTCCTTCTGTTGCTTTCTTTGTTGATGAAATTTCCTTCATTAGTTTGGGAATTTCCCTGTCAAATTTAAGAAAATTCTTTAGGTTTCTGAGGTGTTACTCTTTACAGAAATATTCTAAGATTATAAAATTTACTTTCATGTACTTAGTGCTTAAAAAATATGGAATAAAAATTAAAATGGGTTCACATACTCTAATACAACTGCAATATGCCGATGTCGAATTCTGACCCAGAGGTCATCATCTTCTTCAAGGATTGCCTCCTTTTCTTTCCCATCTGTTTTGTATCTACAAGTAGACAGAAATATAAATCTTTTGGATTATCCCCCACCAAAAGTAGAAGAAACATTTTTACAATCAATAATTTTAAGACACAACTCAAGAAATTAAACAATACATACATTCAACCCAGTATTTTAGGATGATAATGAATACCTACTTTGATTAAGGCATACTGCTTGCTATCCTTACATTAAAAATCAAAGTGCTATGTCTACCAAGACGTTTTTGCTTTCAAATGTTAGGGTTTAGCTCAGCAAAATGTTATTTTATGGAACAAAAATTCAACATTCTACAATCAACTCTAAGAACAAGACTAAATTTATATTAACAACGTCTTCTAATTGCTTAAAATACTATTTTGATGTGTTCATCAGCACAACTATCAAACACTCATTAAGTGAAGAACAGAAATGTCACCTCCAATGTAGCCTATTAAATACTGAAGGTGTTTCAGAGTTAACATTTTCATAAACATGTATCCAAGTAAATAAATTCATAAACATGTATCACCTGTTTCTATATTCTTCCCTAATCCTACAACCACACGTCCTTTGACGAATGGGAAAGGAAATGAGAAAACAAATGTAGTCATAAAAAATTGTGATTGCTTTCATGAGTACTACTGACGTAAGAAGCAATTCATTATTCATAAATACAATACATACAGTAGAAAAAAGATCTTTTCATCTATCAAGGGTTCATGAAATTATTCAAAATGGGCTTCCTGACTGCCTCCCCAAATGTAATTTCTCCCTTCTTTTTTTTTTTTTTTTAAAGATTTATTTATTTATTTGAGAGAGAGAGAGAGAGAGCACGTGAGAGGGGAGAGGGCCAGAGGGAGAAGCAGACTCTCCGCCGAGCAGGGAGCCCGATGCGGGGCTCGATCCCGGGACTCCAGGATCATGACCTGAGCCGAAGGCAGTCGCTTAACCAACTGAGCCACCCAGGCGCCCCGACTCTCCCTTCTCTTTTTATGCAGATAGCCTCCTTCCATCTGTGGAGCTAGGGAGATTCAATCACCCCTGCAACTCTCAATTTCCTGAGCCAAGATTAGGAAGGACAGCTTTGAACTTTCCCAACTCTAGATTACAGACAATAAATGTAGATTTCTACTGTATGAGTACAATCACTTTCCTAACTCCCAAAATTACAGGCCCCACCTATAAAACCATTTACCTATGCAGTCTTAAGTGCAGATAGCCAAATGTAGAATGACTGTGCTTAACCAGAACACACTAAGGACAGAAGCAGCCCATTTGCCATTTAAAAATGCCACTTTGTACTTACATAACATCTTTAACCTTTGATTTATACACAAAGATTAAGGCAGCAAGCCTAACAATACTAAAAGATGATGACAACTCCATTTTAAGAGTACATTTAAAGAGATCACCAAGATAAAAAATAGAATATGGATACTCAGAATTTCCTGCTTTGTAATGTTTCCAATTAACAATTGTAATGGAGCACAAACCATAGGGAGTTCAAGCTTCCATCTTATCTCTGGACTTTGCTGATTCATAATAGGGAGTATTGCTGGCTTTTTTTTTTTTTAATAAGTCTCTCCCTTACTCTTAAAAAAATTAAACTTACTTTCCTTGCCAGCAAACCTAGGGAGATAATTTTTTTTTTAAAGTAGGTTCCATGCCCAGCACAGAGCCATTGCAATGAGGGGCTTGAAGGGAGATTAATATTTTATTTATTTATTTATTTATTTTTGGAGAGGGAGGGGCAAAAAGAGGGAGAGAATCTTAAAGCAGGCTCCACACCCAGAGCGGACCCCAAAATGGGGCCTGATCTGACCTGAGCTGAAATCAACAGTTGGGACGTTTTAACCGACTGAGCCACCCAGGCGCCCCGAGAGATAAATACTTTAAATAGTAGGTTAGAAATGTCTGATATGTATGTCTACAGTCTGGAACCAAAGGATTTTGCGTCCATCAGTTTAATTCTTTTTTTCTTTTTCTTTATTTTTTTTTTTTTAGTTTAATTTTTTTCTAAATCTCTTGAGCAATGCAGGTTTGGAGACCTAAAGGACAAGAGAGATAAATAGTATCTCTTCTGAAAATTCTGAATAAACTGCTTGAAACTACTTTTGTATTAGAAAAAATAGCAATACTGATTTCTCTATGTCACCAGACATTAATATAAACTACACAGAGAAAAATTCAGAAGACAGGATTTGACCAGAATGCAAATAAACATACAAGAGAAAATACATAAATACAATACATACAGTAGAAAAAAGATCTTTTCATCTATTAAAATTACTAAATTAATTTAAACATAAAATTTCAGAAAACTGACTAATTTTCCTTTTCACCACTATTCTTAAACAGTAAATCATAGATGAAAAATGCCAATTTGGACTTAAGGGATTATGATATCGACATGTAAATATATAGATGTATGTACACCTATATACACTCATAATGATTCACAATAATACAGTAAAATGGTTCCTTGATAGAAAAGTTATTTCACTTTTCATTTAGCTCTCTATTTGGCATTACTTTTAAAGTAAATATGCTTATATCAGAGTTAAGCCAAGAGATACCAAATTAGTAACATTATGCCTATTCTCAATAGTTATCCTATTCAGTTTTCTAGTCTTCTAATCTTCTTAAATACATTATATTGACAAGACACACACACAGATACTTTTGTGTGTGTGATTCAGAATAATTATAGCCTAACAGCCTAACAAGTTTGAATATGGTTTCCACTTCAATAAATATAGTCATGGGCCTGGTACTTACTCTTAACATAAGCAAAAAGTCCAAATTCCACCTGTTTAAATGTAGCTTTGTTATAGACATAGTTAAGGAAGCAACCATACCAAAAGAAGCTTCAAAGCAGTCAAATTACCCATTAACTTACAAGGTCAAGATATTTTTAATACGTTCTGATTATAGGGTAAGAGGATGATAAAGTTTCTGAATATCAAATTACAGGGGCTTTCAATATCTGGTGCCTACACGAATCATTAAATGCTCATATCCTATATATCCTGTTTGTATATGCCCCTTATATGCCCTTCAAGTTATACTTGCTTGTATGTATCATTCTCAATTGGCAGTAGATCATATGCCATTGCCTGAAAGGTCAGTTCATGCAGGACAGTGGACACAGGATCAAAGCCACGATCAATTATTATGAGCTGGGAATGAGTTTTACCCTGGAATAACAAGATAAAATTATCTTCAGAAACGTCAATTTCTTTGTATGAACACCTTGTTAATATCTCAGAAAACAAAAGCAGACTTTTCCTAAGTTCTGTCTCATTCTTAAGAACGTGAAGTTCTATTAAAATAGAAAAATCAGAGTAGCACAGTAAGGGAAAAAAAACAAGACTACAAAAACGAAAGCTTTCATAATTAGATTAAGGGGCTATATTCAATAAAACAATATTGTGAAAATTCATTTTAAAAAAAGTAACATTTGCCTTGTGCTAAAATTCATTTTCTTAGGAATTCAGCTCCATAAACCCTAAAACTGATATAAATTATGAACAGTAGTTACTACTAAAGCTCTAAGCACATGTGCTAAGCAAAAAATAAGTTACAGCAACCCTGTGAGGCAGGTATTATTATCTCCATTTGATGAGGGCATTAAAGCTTAAAATTCAGTAACTTGCCCAAATCACATAGCTAGTAAGTGGCAGGATGGAGATTCCAACCCAGGTCAGTTTCACTCCATACCTGTGCTCTTAACTGTTATGCTATTTAAAAAGATTATATTGATGCCAACTAAGATGGCAAATCAAAATGAAAGCCTGTTATTAATTCACAAACAGCACTAATCATTAAACAGTGAATAATAGTGCTGGGAAAAGTATTGTTACTATCAGTATCTTTCATACTTCATTTTAGAAAGTAATAAATTCTTCGGATTATTATTTAAAGCAGTAAGAAATAACCACAACTCCACGCAAGTAATGAATCACTAAATTCTGCCCCTGAAACTACTACTACACTATATGTTAACTTGAATTTAAACAAGATCTTGCAAGAAAAATAAATAACTACAACTCATTAAACAAACATTTCCTATTTATTTACATATATGAGACATAGGTAAATTAAGATAGACCTTTAAAAAAATGTTTAATTAACAATTTACTCATTTAAACTCATTTAAGCCAGTATGGTACAGTGGTTAAAAGCACAGCTTCTGGAATAACATAGATCCAGGTATGAGTCCAGTCTTGACCATTATCTTGCTGTTAAGACTTTGGACAAACTGTTTTAACTTGTTAGTATCTCAGTATTCCCATTTGTAAAACAAAATATAACCACAACCTCTGCTGTAGAAGATTATTGTAAAGATTTAATGTAATAACACCATAATACGTTTAGTACCTAGCACTTTGTAAGCTTTCAATACATCTAAGTTATAAGTTCTCAAAAAGACAAATAAGAAAAAGATAGTACAATATAAGTGTTATATCAAGGGTTGGGGTTATGAAAATATGTGGAAGGAAGTCATTTGACCTGAAGAGTCAGGAAATGCTTCAGAGAGGAGGTGACACTTCATCATGTCCTTAAATGAAAGAAAAGTATCAAGTATCTGAAGGATGTATAATTTCCCAGGCAGAAAAATGGAAAGGACAAGTTTGTTTTTCGTGGATTTTGCCTTTTTTTCCCCCACTGAAGTTATGAAGGACAAAAGGATATTTACTAACATACTGATCATATATCTCTTCCCTCATTCAACATACATTTATTGACTATTACTATGCTACACACTGAGCCACACTGAGCCACTGTTTTCCTAACTACAACCAGAACAGCTTTCACCAGACCACTATTAACTTTTAGAGTTCTAAACTAACATTACATCTAAGCTTACACCCGCCCACTCCAGTGCAGTTGTTTGTGAATTTCCCTTTTTCATTATGCCTCTGCCAAAGAATCTGGTTATCTAAGCAACAAAGTCCCTCTTTTATAATGTTGTACTTATTCTTTAAGTTAAAGAGCCTCTTCCTCTGGGGTGCCTTCCAAGATTCCAGTTAGAAAAAGATTAAGCCCCTGCCTATACCCCATTACATTCTATGTATTATTCTTTTCATTCCACTTACTAAAAACACTGTATCAGTCATTTCCTTGCCCTTCTCCTCTTAGTTCTAAATTAGCAACAATTTCTTCCATTCATTTCATATGGCTCTCTAGACCCCTGGCCCCACCTCCTTCAGTCTCCTCAGACTCTTCATTCTCCAACCCAAGCCTCAATGCTGGTATTCTCCACTCAGAGCTAGTAATAACAAGAATAGCTATATTTATTGTTTACTCAGTAGTAAGCATCATTATAAGAACTTTAAAAGTAGTAACTCCTTTAACCCTCTACTTTATAAAATAGATATTCTTATTATCCTCATTTTACAGATAAAAAAATTTAGGCACAGAGAAGCTACATAATTTGCCCAAACTGACATATCTATGAATTAAATGGCAGAGCCAGGATTTGGACACAGTGCTTACTTCAAAACCCATATCAAACAAAAACAAAAACAAAAACACCAAAACCATATCTTCCCCACAAAACCTCACTACTAAGCTTTCAGCTACCATCTACGTTAATGATTCCCAAATTAGTACTGGACAATGAACAATAGTTTTTTTGCTTTGTGAAGAGATAAGACAGACTTTGTGCATAATCACTATTTGCCTTTTATACATTACCTTTATTAGGCTCTTTTCATCAATCTTGTAGTAGTTTTCAAGTTTTTTTTCAACAAGCTGGGCAAGCTTACTGGCATTATCTAGAGGTTTACTGAAAGTGAAAAAAATGTTCAAACAATTATCTTTCTTTCAAAACATGTTACAATATCATAAAGCTGAATTCTAAAATTAAACCATGTAACAATTTATTAATTTAAAAGAGTTTATAAACACAGAGAAGTTCTATACCAATTTGTCTGGATTTTACAAATGTAAATCTTATATGTGCTTCAGATTTTCTTAATGTAAAGAAAATAATATAGGGCGCCTGGGTGGCTCAGTTGGTTGGGTGACTGCCTTCGGCTCAGGTCATGATCCTGGAGTCCCTGGATCGAGTCCCGCATCGGGCTCTCTGCTCAGCAGGGAGCCTGCTTCTCCCTCTTGACCCTCTCCCCTCTCATGTGTTCTCTCTCATTCTCTCTGTCTCAAATAAATAAATAAAATCTTAAAAAAAAAAAAAGAAAAAAAGAAAATAATATAAATAAATTGCAGTTCCCTTTATTTCCTTCCCAATTCCTAGGCTTCTCTTCTACCTCTACCCAACCCCCAATTGCAACCACTATCATGAATTTGGTGTGTATTCTTCCTATCAATGCTGTTATATATATTTACTATTTTATATATGTTTAATAGTAGTATATGTTACATATATGCTTGAGACCTATCTATGTTGACACATATATTTATTCATTTTATTTCTATATAGTATTCCATCATATAATTATACTGGATTCTATGTATTCATTCCCTTAAGGATAGACAGACATTTAAGTCATTCTCAATTTTATACTATTTCAAAAAACACTGAAACAAATATTTTGTAAATAAATCTACATGTACGTTTCTCTACTCTAAAAGTATAACTGCCGAGTCATAAAGTACATTTTTTACTTTTTTAGATATTAGCATATTACTCTCCAAATTACTTGACCAATTATCCTTCCCAATAGCAGTGTGAGATTTCCCGTGTTCTCTAACATCTAATCAGTTTTCCAATAAAATCTTTTGCATAAAATCTTATATATCCCTCTCTACTAAAATGATAAAATCATAGTCTAAATTACATCTTCATGACCAGTGGCATTAGTATAACTTTTGAGTCTACAAGAAAAATGCTGGAAAATGCTCCTCAAATAGCCCACCAACCTCAAAAATGGAGGGTCTCAATGTGAGGCCTTCAAAGAGTAAAAGACTCTTCAGGTTTAATACCTTAAAAATAAATAAAGCAGCTACTATAAAGAATAATTTATTACACATTTTGTTTTAAAATATTTTCAAAAGGAAGTAATTTTATGTTTGAATTATACTTTAACAGTCCATAAGATATAAAGGAATGCTTTGAGAAAGTACAAGTAGGATTCTATTTTATTTAATTTATTTTTTTTATTCTTATGTTAATCCCCATACATTACATCATTAGTTTTAGATGAAGTGTTCCATGATTCATTGTTTGTGCATAACACCCAGTGCTCCATGCAGAATGTGCCCTCCTCAATACCCACCACCAGGCTAACCCATCCTCCCACCCCCCTCCCCTCCAGAACCCTGTTTGTTTCTCAGAGTCCATCGTCTCTCATGGTTCGTCTCCCCCTCCGATTTCCCCCCCTTCATTCTTCCCCTCCTGCTATCTTCTTCTTCTTCTTCTTTTTTTTTTCTTAACATATATTGCATTATTTGTTTCAGAGGTACAGATCTGAGATTCAACAGTCTTGCACAATTCACAGCGCTTACCAGAGCACATACCCTCCCCAGTGTCTATCACCCAGTCACCCCATCCCTCCCACCCCACCCCCCACTCCAACAACACTCAGTTTGTTTCCTGCGATTAAGAATTCCTCATATCAGTGAGATCATATGATACATGTCTTTCTCTGTTTGACTTATTTCACTCAACATAATACCCTCCAGTTCCATCCATGTCGTTGCAAATGGCAAGATCTCATTCCTTTTGATGGCTGCATAATATTCCATTGTATATATATACCACTTCTTCTTTATCCATTCATCTGTCGATGGACATCTTGGCTCTTTCCACAGTTTGGCTATTGTGGACATTGCTGCTATAAACATCAGGGTGCACGTACCCCTTCGGATCCCTACTTTTGTATCTTTGGGGTAAATACCAGTAGTGCAATTGCTGGATCATATGGTAGCTCTATTTTCAACTTTTTGAGGAACCTCCATACTGTTTTCCAGAGTGGCTGCACCAGCTTGCATTCCCACCAACAGCGTAAGAGGGTTCCCCTTTCTCCGCATCCCCGCCAACATCTGTCGTTTCCTGACTTGTTAATTTTAGCCATTCTGACTGGTGTGAGGTGGTATCTCATTGAGGTTTTGATTTGGATTTCCCTGATGCTGAGCGATATTGAGCACTTTTTCATGTGCCTGTTGGCCATTTGGATGTCTTCTTTGGAAAAATGTCTGTTCATGTCTTCTGCCCATTTCTTGATTGGATTCTTTGTTCTTTGGGTGTTGAGTTTGATGAGTTCTTTATAGATTTTGGATACTAGCCCTTTATCTGATATGTCATTTGCAAATATCTTCTCCTATTCTGTCGGTTGTCTTTTGGTTTTGTTGACTGTTTCCTTTGCTTTGCAAAAGCTTTTTATCTTGATGAAGTCCCAATAGTTCATTTTTGCCCTTGCTTCCCTTGCCTTTAGCGATGTTTCTAGGAAGAAGTTGCTACGGCTGAGGTCAAAGAGGTTGCTGCCTGTGTTCTCCTTTAGGATGTTGATGGACTCCTGTCTCACATTGAGGTCTTTCAACCATTTGGAGTCTATTTTTGTGTGTGGTGTAAGGAAATGGTCCAGTTTCATTCTTCTGCATGTGGCTATCCAATTTTCCCAACACCATTTGTTGAAGAGACTGTCTTTGTTCCATTGGACATTCTTTCCTGCTTTGTCGAAGATTAGTTGACCATAGAGTTGAGGGTCCATTTCTGGGCTCTCTATTCTGTTCCATTGATCTATGTGTCTGTTTTTGTGCCAGTACCATGCTGTCTTGATGATGACAGCTTTGTAAGAGAGCTGGAAGTCCGGAATTGTGATGCCGCCGGCTTTGTTTTTCTTTTTCAACATTCCTCTGGCTATGCGGGGTCTTTTCTGGTTCCATACAAATTTTAGGATTATTTGTTCCATTTCTTTGAAAAAAGTGGATGGTATTTTGATGGGGATTGCATTGAATGTGTAGATTGCTCTAGGTAGCATTGACATCTTCACAATATTTGTTCTTCCAATCCATGAGCATGGAACGTTTTTCCATTTCTTTGTGTTTTCCTCAATTTCTTTCATGAGTATTTTATAGTTTTCTGAGTACAGATTCTTTGTCTCTTTGGTTAGATTTATTCCTAGGTATCTTATGGTTTGGGGTGCAATTGTAAATGGGATCGACTCCTTAATTTCTCTTTCTTCTGTCTTGTTGTTGGTGTATAGGAATGCCACTGACTTCTGTGCATTGATTTTATATCCTGCCACTTTACTGAATTCCTGTATGAGTTCTAGCAGTTTTGGGGTGGAGTTTTTTGGGTTTTCCACATAAAGTATCATATCATCTGCAAAGAGTGAGAGTTTGACTTCTTCTTTGCCAATTTGGATGCCTTTGATTTCTTTTTGTTGTCTGATTGCTGTGGCTAGGACTTCCAATACTGTGTTGAATAGCAGTGGTGATAGTGGACATCCCTGCTGCGTTCCTGACCTTAGGGGGAAAGCTCTCAGTTTTTCCCCATTGAGAATGATATTCGCTGTAGGTTTTTCATAGATGGCTTTTATGATATTGAGGTATGTACCCTCTATCCCTATACTCTGAAGAGTTTTGATCAAGAAAGGATGCTGTACTTTGTCAAAAGCTTTTTCTGTATCTATTGAGAGGATCATATGATTCTTGTTCTTTCTTTTGTTAATGTATTGTATCACACTGATTGATTTGCGGATGTTGAACCAACCTTGCAGCCCAGGGATAAATCCCACTTGGTCATGGTGAATAATCCTTTTAATGTACTGTTGGATCCTATTGGCTAGTATTTTGGTGAGAATTTTTGCATCCATGTTCATCAGGGATATTGGTCTGTAATTCTCCTTTTTGATGGGGTCTTTGTCTGGTTTGGGGATCAAGGTAATGCTGGCCTCATAAAATGAGTTTGGAAGTTTTCCTTCCATTTCTATTTTTTGGAACAGTTTCAGAAGAATAGGTATTAATTCTTCTTGAAATGTTTGGTAGAATTCCCCTGGGAAGCCATCTGGCCCTGGGCTTTTGTTTTTTGGGAGATTTTTGATGACTGCTTCAATTTCCTTAGTGGTTATAGGTCTGTTCAAGTTTTCTATTTCATCCTGGTTCAGTTTTGGTAGTTGATACATCTCTAGGAATGCATCCATCTCTTCCAGGTTATCTAATTTGCTGGCATAGAGTTGCTCATAATATGTTCTTATAATTGTTTGTATTTCTTTGGTGTTGGTTGTGATCTCTCCTCTTTCATTCATGATTTTGTTGATTTGGGTCATTTCTCTTTTCTTTTTGATAAGTCTGGCCAGGGGTTTATCAATCTTGTTAATTCTTTCAAAGAACCAGCTCCTAGTTTCGTTGATCTGTTCTACTGTTCTTTTAGTTTCTATGTCATTGATTTCTGCTCTGATCTTTATTATTTCTCTTCTCCTGCTGGGTTTAGGCTTTATTTGCTGTTCTTTCTCCAGCTCCTTTAGGTGTAGGGTTAGGTTGTGTACTTGAGACCTTTCTTGTGTCTTGAGAAAGGCTTGTATTGCTATATACTTTCCTCTTAGGACTGCCTTTGCTGCATCCCAAAGATTTTGAACAGTTGTGTTTTCATTTTCATTGGTTTCCATGTATTTTTTTAATTCTTCTTTAATTTGCTGGTTGACCCATTCATTCTTCAGTAGGATGCTCTTTAGCCTCCATGTATTTGAGTTCTTTCCGATTTTCCTCTTGTGATTGAGTTCTAGTTTCAAAGCATTGTGGTCTGAAAATAGGCAGGGAATGATCCCAATCTTTTGGTACCGGTTGAGACCTGATTTATGACCTAGGATGTGATCTATTCTGGAGAATGTTCCATGGGCACTAGAGAAGAATGTGTATTCCGTTGCTTTGGGGTGGAATGTTCTGAATATGTCTGTGAAGTCCATTTGGTCCAGTGTGTCATTTAAAGTCTTTATTTCCTTGTTGATCTTTTGCTTAGACGATCTGTCCATTTCAGTGAGGGGGGATGTTAAAGTCCCCCACTATTATTGTATTGTTGTCGATGTGTTTCTTTGCTTTTGTTATTAATTGCCTTATATAATTGGCTGCTCCCATGTTAGGGGCATAGATATTTACAATTGTTAGATCTTCTTGTTGGATAGATCCTTTAAGTATGATATAGTGTCCTTCCTCATCTCTTATTACAGTCTTTGGTTTAAAATCTAATTTGTCTGATATAAGGATTGCCACCCCAGCTTTCTTTTGGTGTCCATTAGCATGGTAAATGGTTTTCCACCCCCTCACTTTCAATCTGGGGGTGTCTTTGGTTCTAAAATGATTCTCTTGCAGACAGCATATCGATGGGTCTTGTTTTTTAATCCAGTCTGTTAGCCTGTGTCTTTTGATTGGGGCATTGAGCCCATTTACATTCAGGGTAACTATTGAAAGATAGGAATTTAGTGCCATTGTATTGCCTGTAAGGTGACTGTTACCGTATATTGTCTGTGTTCCTTTCTGGTCTATGTTGCTTTTAGGCTCTCTCTTTGCTTAGAGGACCCCTTTCAAGATTTCTTGTAGGGCTGGTTTTGTGTTTGCAAATTCCTTTAGTTTTTGTTTGTCCTGGAAGCTTTTTATCTCTCCTTCAATTTTCAATGACAGCCTAGCTGGATATAGTATTCTTGGCTGCATATTTTTCTCATTTAGTGCTCTGAATATATCCTGCCAGTCCTTTCTGGCCTGCCAGGTCTCTGTGGATGGGTCTGTTGCCAATCTAATGTTTCTACCCTTGTAGGTTACATATCTCTTCTCCCGAGCTGCTTTCAGGATTTTCTCTTTGTCTATGAGACTCATAAGTTTTACTATTAGATGTCGGGGAGTTGACCTATTTTTATTGATTTTGAGAGGGGTTCTCTGTGCTTCCTGGATTTTCATGCCTGTTTCTTTCCCCAAATTAGGGATGTTCTCTGCTATAATTTGCTCCATTATACCTTCTGCCCCTCTCTCTCTTTCTTCTTCTTCTGGGATCCCAATTATTCTAATGTTGTTTCGTCTTATGGTATCGTTTATCTCTCGAATTCTGCCCTCGTGATCCAGTAGTTGTTTATCTCTCTTTTTCTCAGCTTCTTTATTTTCCATCATTTCATCTTCTATATTACTGATTCTCTCTTCTGCCTCATTTATCTTAGCAGTTAGCGCCCCCATTTTTGATTGCACCTCATTAATAGCCTTTTTGATTTCTACTTGGTTGGATTTTAGCTCTTTTACTTCTCCAGAAAGGGTTTCTCTAATAACTTCCATATTTTTTTCAAGCCCAGCTAGTATCTTTAAAGTGATGATTCTGAACTCTAGATCTGACATCGTACTAATGTCCGTATTGAGTAGGTCCCTGGCAGTCGGTACTACCTCTTGTTCTTTTTGTTGAGGTGATTTTTTCCGTCTTGTCATTTTGTGCAGGGGAGAATAGATTAATGAGAGAACAAAATGCTAGCAGAGTAACCACGTCCCCAGAAAATATACTCTAAACAAATCAGAAAAGACCTGAAGCAGTGGGATAAGAAAGGGAAAGAGAGAAAAAAGAAAAAGGAAAAAGATAAAGATAAAAACAAAAACAAACAAAACAAAACAACAACAACAACAACAACAAAAAAACCAGAATGTGATCAAATATGATCTATATGGTATATAGATCAGTGCCACACACTAGATTTGGGGTGTATTTTGGTCTTTTAGAAGAAAGTGCCTCCCAAAATTTTAAAGAAAGAAAAACTTATATATGTACAAAAATAAGGGTTGATATGACAAAGGGATGGAATATGACTGTAAAAATGGAAATTATAAAAAATTTTATAAAAGGAATTGATAAGAAGTTGTTTGAAAAAAGAAAGAAGAGGATTTAAAAAAAGAAAAAAGAAAAAGAAAAAAAAAAGGGAGAGGATGTGATCAGGCAGGGGAATAGAAAACATCATATACTAGAGATTTAGGGTATATTTTAATCTGTTAGAAGAAACTATCTCAAAATTTTAAAGAGAGAACAACTTACTATTTTATTTTTTTTGAAGATTTTATTTATTCACTTGACAGAGACACAGCGAGAGAGGGAACACAAGCAGGGGGAGTGGGAGAGAGAGAAGCAGACCTCCCACCGGGCAGGGAGCCCGATGTGGGGCTCGATCCCAGGACCCCGGGATCATGACCTGAGCCAAAGGCAGACGCTTAATGACTGAGCCACCCAGGTGCCCCTACAAGTAGGATTTTAAAAGCCTGGATTATTCGTTAACTATTGCAGTAACTCAAAACAGGTCCACTGGTGAGCTTTTAAATTATTAATTGGTTATATTTACTCATCCTGAACAGAGTCAACACCAAGAACAGAAACTTGAACAGCAACTGAACTCTAGCAGAAGAGAAACCACTTAGCTCTGTTCCCCTGAGTTCAGAATGTAATTAGTACATCACCTATAAGAAAAAGAAAGTTTTCAATACCTGATGTATGTATGAGTAGAGCTTATTAGCCAAGTAACCTGATCAATGCCAAAGTTCAAATTAAAGAAACTTCTAAAAGAGAAATGAGTGATAATACTTATTATTTGTACACTACATCAAAAACTAATGATGTGGGGTGCCTGGGTGGCTCAGATGGTTAAGCGTCTGCCTTCGGCTCAGGTCATGATCCCAGGGTCCTGGGATCAAGCCCCACATCAGGCTCCTGGCTCAGCGGGGAGCCTGCTTCTCCCTTTCCCTCTGCCTCTCCCCTGCTCATGCTCTCTCTCTATCTCTGTGTCTCAAATGAATAAATAAAATCTTAAAAAAAAAACCAAACACAACTAATGATGTACTGTATGGTGACTAACATAACAGAATAAAAAATAAAAAATAAAAAATAGGGGCGCCTGGGTGGCTCAGTTGGTTCAGCGACTGCCTTCGGCTCAGGTCATGATCCTGGAGTCCCGGGATCGAGCCCCGCATCGGGCTCCCTGCTCGGCAGGGAGTCTGCTTCTCCTCTGACCCTCCCCCCTCTCATGTGCTCTCTCTCTCTCAAATAAATAAATAAAATCTTTTAAAAAATAAAATAAAATAAAAATACTTATTAGTTGTACCACAGTATATTTACTACTATCATTTTACTGGTGCCATGCACTATTCTGAATGCTTTACAGAGTTCTAACAACTTTTTAAGATGGGTATTATTATCATTCCCATTTCATAGATAAGGAAACTGAGGGCAGAAGGGTCACACAGCTAGCAATTAGCAGAGATTAAAATCCAAGCTGCCTGGTTACACACAACACAGATGACTCTCAGAACATAATGTTGAATAAAGAAGCCAGAAACAAAAAATATCACATGATTCCATTTTTACCAAGTTCAACATCAAGCAAAACTAAAATGTGTTAGAAGTCAGCAGTGACCTTTGGGGAGGAGAGGGGACTGGTGATCAAGGGGGCTCATGAGCAGAACCTCTGAGATGTCATCTATGTTCTATTTCTTGACCTTGGTGGGGTTAGCAGGATATGTTCACTTTGGAAGAATTTATCAAGCCATACACATATAATTTATGCACTTCACAGTAAATTTTATTTTTAAAAAGCAAATAAATAAAGGTACATAGTATTAAAGTCAAACTTTATTCTTAAAAAAAACCAAAATCCAATAATCTATTTAAAATAGCCACTGGAATTAGAGGGAGACCTGGGTGGCTCAGTCGGGTTTGGTGTCTGCCTTCAGCTCAGGTCATGATCCCAGGGTCCTGGGATAGAGCCCAGCATCAGGCTCTCTGCTCAGCGGGGAGCCTGCTTCTCCCTCTGCCTGCCACTCCCCCTGCTTGTGCTCTCCCTCTCCGACAAATAAATAAATAATAAATAAATAAATAAATAAATAAATAAAATCTTAAATAGATACATACATACATACATACTTTGACACTAAAACCACTATTCAGATAATATGGCCATTCAAATTTGGTGAAAATTTAACAAAACATTAATTGTAAGACTGTATGTATTCTCTATATGACAATAAAGACATTTCCCCTAAGCATTCCTTAAACTCATGAAAGTGTTTGCAAATCATACCAAATTTAAGCACTGAAATTTAGTAACAGAGGCTATTAGTTGCTCTGAAATTTCAACCTTAAACTTTAAATCTCCTATATATACAGCATAATTTTAGATGGAAAATAAACTACAATAAACACAAGCGCAGAGACATTACTTACCTCTACACTGGAGATCAAATAGAAAGCATAACATATACAGACACTATTGAGTGTCTTACCTCTTGTATCTTACTCCAGGATTTTCATCCAGGGTAGCGCACACTGTAACTATCTGCTCAGCCATTTCTTCCATAATGGCATCTTTTCCGTTTGCATTACTAGGGTCTGGACTGTAACAGTAATAGAATGCATCTGGTACATCAAGAGTATAAACCTAAGTTAGGCCGAAAAAAAAAGGTCACACTGTCAATTTGGTGACTTAATGAAAAAAAAAATCAATCAAGAAAAATGCAGCTATTATTTGGACATCAAAAGAAATTACTTGCACTAACCATGCTGTTTCCTGAGACCACTGTGTCTTTACCTTATCAACTCTCATTTTCTCTCTGTCCTCTTGATTTCATCCTTATTTCTTTTCTCACTCTCCTTTCCTGCTTAGTCTACCTCTCTCCTTCAATTCTTGTTTCATATACAGATTGTACTGTTTGTTTTTCACTGTGCAACAGATGAAGGAATCTGAGGTAGTCAAACTAAAATAAAAATCTAATACCTAGCACAAATACAACAAAACCAAAATTGGTCTATATATTTGACATACATTAAAAATCTTAATCCTTTAGAGAATAACCTAGAAATTTTCCATAGTTGAGATGTTTCTTCAATTCTTTAGCTTATATTCTTCATGTCCTTAAAATAGAAACTTATCTTCCAAAAACACAGTATTGTGCCAAACATAGTAATTGGTCTAACCACAGATACACTGAAACCTCAAAGATACATTTATTCAACTAACAAAAGCATTTACTTATGTACAAAGAACTGGATTAGAGATTTACTATTATTGTGTTATTTGAAGAGTACAAAGGAAGAAGCTCTCTAACCAATTTTTATTGTTTTTTTTGTTTTGTTTTTTTAAAACAATGATAGCAATCCCGCTTAGCCTAGGATAATGTATTGAGTGTAAAAGTAGGTATGTAATAAATATTATAGGTTAACCATTGAATTATGAATAAGCTTCCTTGTGAGTTTCCTTTCACCGTACAGTCATTCATTTTTCTGAACATAACACATAACCAACAGCAGCAGGCTGAATGTGGACTGAAATTTAACCATAGCTAATCCACTTATGTCTGTGTTGCTCAAAGTCTTGGCTGTTGTATTAACTTCCCAAAAAGCACTTCTCACAGTACACTATCATACCATGGTAGATAATATTATCTGTTCAAAAATACTGCCCTGGGGTGCCTGGATAGCTCAATCGGTTAAGAGTCCAACTCGATTTGGCTCAGGTCATGATCTCAGGTTGTGAGATCTCTGCACTGAGTGTGGAGCCTCCCTCAGATTCTCTCTCTCTCCCTCTGCTGCTCCAACACCCCCGCTCTCTATCTCTTTCTCTCAACAAACAAAAAATACTGCCCTTCCCTAAAGGGCTTCTCACTCACTCAGCCTTGGCTATGGTCATTGGAATATGAGTAGAAGTGACTCTCCACAAAAGCTTTAAAAGCCATTGTGCGTATGTGGGTGGGGGGAGCCATCGTGTGGCTCCACCATTTCTCTTTTCCCTCTGCTATGTCCCAGACAAGGGCTGTTCCTTCAGCTTCAGTCCTGGAATGACGAGAATATAGAGCAAAGCCCCAGGCAAACCACAATGGATAATAACATGAATGAGAAATAAACTTGGCTGTTGTAATGTACTGAGATTTAGGGAGTTGTTACCACGGTTTAAATTCATCTAAGCTATCTAATACTCCAATGAACCAAAGAGAATTTTGGAGCTGGTTTTTATTCTACACTCACATTTCTTTCCTTCCTCCTACTCTTCTCCACTTTTCATCACCACCATTACATGTTCCTTTAGACGATCACTGAATACTTTCTTCAACTTCATGATCCATAATCAGCTCCTTAAATAAAGACTCTCTCGACCCACACCACTTCCATCTACTTTTCTTGCTAATCTATAGCTGGTTTAGCTCTATTTCTACCTAGACACCATCTAGTACCCTCTCTGCTAACTACACCAGACTCTCTGTACTCCCTAAGGTCCACTGTAATCAAACGCCCCTACATTCTTGAATGCTTTCCATCTAACTGCCTTAATGTATATGTGATAGCACTAATTATCTTAAACCCTGGGGAGGGAAAGAGAGAGGTTTCTTTGACTCAAATTCAAGAGTGAATGAACCTCCTTCCTCTCCATGCAACCTCTAAATGTGAACGTCCAACTTTTCTTTGGAGCACTATCGTATCTGATGTTGACAATCTCTCCCCAATGATCTCCTGACTTCTCTTTCCTTAAAGACATTAGGACCAGTTCCATGGTCTTCTGCATCAGTGCATTTTCTGCCATTATTCTTGGTGGAACCTGGAGCCTCCTACAACACAGTCCCAACCTACCTACAGAGACAGACTTATCTATCATATCTTCACCCCTTATAATCCACACTTCTGCTGTTCTGCACTTTTCTGCTTCTGTATCTTTGCATCCAGGCTATTGTCACCTTCCTCTTCTTTTTTGTGTCATTATTACCTTATGAAATTCTAGCCATTCATCAAATATTTTCTCATTCTCCTAGTATGAATTATTCTCTCTTCTCTTGTGGTAGACTGTGAGCTGCCTCCCCCAAAACCATTCTTCCCTTACTTTTCAGTAACCATACCAATTCTTTGGGGGAAGCAGTCACATAAGACTACATAAAAGACTACATTTATACACTCAAGTGTACCCATGTGACTTAATTTTAGCTAACAAGATATAAATGAAATCTATATACTTCTTTCTTTCTCTCTTTCATCCTGCTCCCTCAAACAAGGACGAAATGATTCTACAGTTACCCTGGATCATGAGGGTCATGCCTAGAGTAGGCCCTTGACAATTTTGTAGAGCCAGCATCCCAGCCATACATAACCCATTTCCTGACTTCTTTTATATTAGAAATAAATTTCCATCTTGTTTTTTTTTTTTTAAGATTTTATTTATTTGACAGAGAGAGACACAGTCAGAGAGGGAACACAAGCAGGGAGAGTGGGAGAGGAAGAAGCAGGCTTCCCGCTGAGCAGGGAGCCCAATGCGGGGCTCGACTGAGGACCCTGGGATCATGACCTGAGCCGAAGGCACACGCTTAACCGACCAAGCCACCCAGGCGCCCCTCCATCTTGCTTAAGCTACTGAAAGCAAATTTTTCTATTATATGCAGCTTTAAACCTAATCTTAGTTGATATCATTTTGAAGATGTATAATTCTTTGGATTCCTTTCACAGCATTCACGTGAGTGTAGAGCATATATCATGCCCAGCACAGCAAACCACTTTGCATCTAGCAGACAATGTCCACTGCACATGATCTTGATAAATGCTCATATAGGCCTTTGCTCATAGCTCAAACCACTTAGTAGTATTTCATTTACATCTTCACTCGCAAATGGACAAGAGTTCAAAATATTTTCACTATAATTTCTCCATAACAGTTAAATTTACTGAGTAAACCCTCTTAAGATATTTATCAAGGAAATAAAGGCAAAAACTTTATAGGGGAAAAACAAAGCATACAGGACTTAAAATAATCACAACATTTTGCAAAGACCAGTAAGAAGATTCTCATGAGATTTCTCTATACAGACAAAGACAAGTTATTTCCATCAATAATCAAATTGGTCAGAGAGCTACACAAATCTCTCCTTCAAATACAGCAACTGCTGAATTTTAATGAATTCTGAAACTAAAATTATATTTACCATCTGTACAGCAGATGCTCTGGATATGCTTGTAATATTTCTCACACTACTGTTTATATCCCACATCACTTAGGAAGCCCATATTACCTTACATTAACCTTACATATCACATTAAAAGGAACAGGTCTAAAGGTAACCTTTGGAAACAGTCTAATATTAAACAGATATCTTAAAATTTTATAATTTGGATTATAATTTTTCTTTGCCCAAAACAGCAACAGCTTAAAAGAAAAATCCCTTTTCTAGGACCTTCCTGTCTCTTAAAATATTGACCTTATAGTTCCAAACAACAGTGAGCTATTACAATTCTATGAAATGCTAGAATCCAAACACAGAGAACAGAGCACATCAAAGCTGAACAATGCACTAGCTGTGTGATTTGGGGCAAGTTACTTAACTTTTTTGATTTCCTCATCTTTAAAATGAAGATAGGATTACTATCTATTCATAGAACTATTATGAGGATTTACATGAATATATTTATGGAAAACATTTAGGAAAGTGTCTGGCACATGGAGAATACTATGTAGGTGTTTCCTATCACCATTATTATTATTAACTGAAGGTTTATAACTATTCTAAAGTCAAAATGAATTTTAAAAATTAAAAATTTTATAAATTAAGATAATCTCTATAATGTTATATAAAACATTTACTGAAGAACATTTGCTTTAATATCACAAATGGTCATAGAAGCTAAAATGATTTCTTTTGAGTCATCTAACATAGACGGCTCAAAATCTTTTGCTTTCATAATCTCATAGTGCTGTAAAACTTGACCTACACAGGATTTAGTGGCAGCCATGAAATTTAAGCTTCACTTTCATAATATTCTATTCCAATTTATGCTCTTCTTTCCTTCATCATGAGAAATGTTTGTGGATTGTTCAAAATCACCAAATACACAGTACATAAAATCCATTATGAACTAAAATTAAAAATAAAAAAAGAAAGTACCTGAGATTCAAGTGGAATGAAGGAAATATTTATTTCTTTACATCTTCTTATTGACTTGGAGCAAGAAGCTTTAATTTTGTTAAAGAGACTATCAGGGCAAACTGAGAGAGAGAAAAGAAATCAAAGCATGTAACTCCAGCTAAGTTTTTATTCTTCTGAATAAATCATTTCAACATCCAAGAATATTTATTTTTTACATATAATTAGTGACTTTCACGAAATAATTTACTATGGGGATGAGATAATATGTAAATATTCTTCTTCACTTTACACAGCAGATGTATTCTAGCCAAGAGGGCTGTAATAGAAATTCCATTTTTCAAATTCATAGGCACCATAAGCTAAGATTATTTCCTTAGAGAGCTGCTTACACAGCAAACTAAAATTATCAGGAAGGAAAATCAGGTCCAAACCCATGACTTAATAAACTTTTACAGGACTTTCAGAACTTCTTAGGAATTTATACTACTTTTCTAAATCTGGCACTAAGTGCAACCATACCACACAAATTTCCTTGTATGTATTACAAGAATTTCTCTAATGTCAGGAAATCCTGAGACTAATAAATTCTGGACCTTAGAGCCTATTCCCCCAACCCGACCTTTAATCTAGGTTGGAACATCAACCATTGGGTCCTAGTGTCCTTTAACATGATGTTCTTTGGCCTCAAGATTCCTTAAGAGACTTCACATTCATTAAATTTTATCAATTCCATAAACATGAATTTCTGTATAATAGTTATTTAAAAGATAAATAGTTATGGCATGATATTTTTAAAATGCAAACTACTACAGGCATGAGATAAATAATAATTTACAGGAAAAACAATATATTACTTAAAATGATGAATCTCTAATAGCACAGACCAAGACTGCGCTTAGATGAAGGGCATTTTCATTTTGCAGTATAATTATGTAAGGCATAACATAAAGCAGAATTATATGTGTTTCTAGACTTCTCTGTGATTCTTTAGTTTAGCTGCTTTCTATTTGAACATATGGCATGGTAAGAGAAATGTGACAGATGCTCTCCATTAATATTTGCCAAACAGATGGCAATTTCTTCAGTACTCTCCCAAAGGGTCTTATTTTTGATTATATAATCAAATCCCCAATTAAAACTCTGATTTAAAAAAAATTCCTCCTGTTATCAGCATAAAATTTGAGGGACAGTTCTCACCACCAATCCCCCACCACTGTATACCAGCAAAAATGACTAGTTCAGAATTTAATTTTCTATCACCTTAATATGAATTAGGATAGATATAATCTTATATCTTTAGATTCTTTCTAACCTAATTAGAATAAGCAATAAATAGAAAAGCATAGTATTATAAGAAATACTTTATAATTAACAGGATTATTTTATTTTATAATGTTATGTCAATCACCATACATTACATCATTAGTTTTTGATGTAGTGTTCCATGATTCATTGTTTGCATATAACACCCAGTGCTCCATGCAGAACGTGCCCTCTTTAATACCCATCACCAGGCTAACCCATCCCTCCCACCCCCCTCCCCTCTAGAACCCTCAGTTTGTTTCTCAGAGTCCATAGTCTCTCATGGTTCGTCTCCCCCTCCGATTTTCCCCCCTTCATTCTTCCCTTCCTACTATCTTCTTTTTTTAACATATAATGTATTATTTGTTTCAGAGGTACAGGTCTGTGATTCAACAGTCTTACACAATTCACAATGAAACAGTACTTCTACAAAGCTACTTACAGTCAGTGAAGTATATATATGCTGCTTTGTATTTGTTCTCAGATTTACTTGCAAAATCACGTAAAAAACAGTCTACAGACTTAAAAAAGGTTAGATGTTAATATACATTTAACCAAATACTGATTTAAATATGCTAGCTTTTGAAATAACTAAGATTATTCTTTTTAATAAAATAAAACTTTTAACTTTCTAAAAGTTTACTTTATAAGCTGATTTCTTTTTAAATGCTATGTTGTCTAGACAGTAATAGCTAAAAACCTTAGTAAGGTATTATGTATGAACAGAGTACAGTTTCAGCAATGAGAAGATCCAGGAACAATTCAGTGAGAGAGAAGCTAGAAGCCATACATAAGACCATCAGAAGGTAACAAATCAAGGAGCTGAGAAGCCAATGAACATACTGGAAATGTTATCTTATCTGGATAACGAAACCATTGAGACTATGATTGAAGAGGTGCTGAAGAGAGTAACAGTGAGCTAGGAGTAAAACTGTCAAGGGATAATGAAAGACCCAAAGGTTGGGAAATGACTGCAAGGAGGAAGAATGGCAGGTAATACAGTCTGGTAGTTCTTACATGCCTCAGTGCTGGTAGTTTTGTTTATTTTTAGTGCTGGTAGTTTTAAAGATACAATGATTTGGAAGCAAAAATGAAGAACACAGAATTTAATGATCTCTCCTCCATCTGTTTCTTTATCTCCTTCTGGAAGTCCTAGAACTATTTCTGTTAGATCTCATGGCTCATCCAGCAAATCTCCTATCTTTCCCCCATAATTTCTATGACTTCGTTTTTTTGCTTTGAGATATTCCATTTTGACCTTCTAGGCTATTAATTCAAATTTCAATGAGGATTATCCTTTTCTGCAATTAACTGTTTAACTGAGAAATCACATTTTTGAACTTCAGTAAGTTTTTTATGTGCTATACTCGACTCTCCTTATGTGTGTTATTTTTCTGTTCAGGTCATCGTCCTTCTCTCCAAGCAGCTATATTTTATAAGATGTGTATTTTCTTCATTCTTACTGAACTTCCTCTCTCTGGCAGCTGACCCACTTAGATGTGTCAATGCTTTCCTTTGTCAACTCATTGAGGCTTAGGTTTGTTGTTGAAGAACCCTAAATACAAGCAGTTCCACAAAAGGAGGAAGGCAAAAAGATTTCCCCTCCTGAGGGCTGTAGGTATATAAGCAAACAAACCACCAGGGCTTCTCTTTTTCACCAACTGACCCTTCCCCTGGGGTTCAGAAAATCTCTTATAGCCAAACTCTTCCTGAAATCTGTCATTTTATGACCCCTGGTTGGGTACACTCTGACACTGGTCTCCAGGGGCTCACCAAGCCACTGAGGAAAGAAGTCTCTCACTAGTTTCTCCACTAGTGTCCAACGAGCCCAAGCCCTTACTGGTACCCACAGGGCTGCAGGACACAGGTAATCGATTCAGGACTGAAAGAGAAACTAGAGTTGGTTATAGTAGAAAAAGGAGCCACATTCAGGTACCATTTTCTCTGAGTCCTTTGCTCCTTTACTAAATACACAATTCTGTATCCTGCTTCTGTCACTTAACATTAAAAATGAACAATTACTTAAATCACTAAAATTTCCTAGAAATCTCATTTTCAATGACCACATAGTCTTTCATACCATTATCTGTTAATGCTAAGAATTAGCATTAGGATATAAAATGTCATTGAAACCCACTAGCAGCCAGGAGCGCCTGGGTGCCTCAGTGGGTTAAGCATCTGACTCTTGGTTTTGGCTCAGGTTGTGATCCCAGGGTCCTGAGAGCAAGACCCACATCAGGCTCCCTTCTCAGTGCAGAGTCTGCTTAGGTTTCTCTCGCCCTCTCCCCCTCCTTCCCACTCTCTTTCTCTCTAAAATAAATAAATATTTAAAAAAAGAAAAAAACACCAGCAGCCAATATGCAGAGACTAAACAGTGAATGTCTGATTTTTTTTCCTGCTGTCTAATAGAATCAGAAGAAATGAAACTGGAATTGCCAACTTAACATTCTGAGTGGGAATATGCCAAAGGATGTATTGGAAAATTCTCAGATATTATGGTATTTACTTGGCTCTAAAAGTTTGGCTTTAAGTATGAGCTCAATTACAGATCACAGACTAAGATACTCCTTTGACATGTAAAACATATTTACACACACGCTTAGATGCATACATACATGTGTGTATATGTATACATAAATGTACGCTATAGAGAAGTCACTAAGATAAAGGATTAAACCAAGACTGTTTCTTTTATGTATATTTCTGTCGTCCCAAAAAATATGCTTGCACAGGAACAGCACTGAGTAACAAATTACTCAAAGAAACTACTGTTTTATACAATTAAATTCTGCTTTCATATATGGGGGAGGGGGGATTTTTCACTTAATATATTCTCATTGAGAAGAGTGCAAATGAAATGATTTTCTAACATAGAAAAACTTTCCTAAGCAAACTAGTTTATGGCACTATTTTTCTAATAAAGAATGTTTTATTTGAATTTTCTATGAGAAAATGATGTCAGTGGTGAATGACGAACATGCCTTTTATTTTTTTTATTTTTTTAATTTTTTTGAACATGCCTTTTAAAGATTAAAAATACTCACCTTTGATGTTGGAGAGATAAAATAAAGAGCTTTCATTTGTCTGACAGGTTCTCGATTCTTATAAATATTCTCCACAACTAATAAAAAAAAAGTAATTTTATATAACCAAGTATTTATACATTTGAAACAATTTTAAAATAAGCTTTACTTCTTATTTATAATAGGGAAACATATTTACATATACTGGGTTTAACATTTTCTTTGTCTCCATTTGATAAATTTAAAAATCCCAAAAATGGGGGCACCTGGGTGGCTCAGTCGTTAAGCATCTGCTTTTGGCTCAGGTCATGATCCCAGGGTACTGGGATCGAGCCCTGCATCGGGCTCCCTGCTTGGAGGGAAGCCTGCTTCTCCCTCTCCTGCTCCCCCTGCTTGTGTTCCTGCTCTCGTTATCTCTGTCAAAAAAAAAAAATCTTTAAAAATCCCAAAAATGTAGGGATGCCTCAGTGACTCAGTCGGTTAAGTGTCCAACTCTTGATTGTGGCTCAGGTCATGATCTCAGGGTCCTGGGACTGAGTCCCACATCAGGCTCCATGCTCAGCTCAGAGTCTGCTTGTCCCTTTCCCTCCCCCTCTGCCACTTGCACTCTCTCTCTCTCAAATAAATAAATAAAATCTTAAAAAAAAAAAATCCCCAAACTGTATCTTCCCTAAAACTAAACTCTGGGCTAAGTGCTCATCATGAAAAAAAAAAAAAGATAAAGCAGCTATTTCATAGTTAGGTCTACCAGCATAAGCAAGCAACAAGCCATGAAGAAAGCAAGAAAATGCATTAAAAATGAAAGTATGTATTTCTTCTTAAAAATATTCTACTATAATAGCAAATATGATACCAGATATCAGGCTAAGCACTTAACATGAATTATCTATTAAACCTTACAGTAAGTATTATATAACAAACCTATAAAGTAAGTATTTTACAAATAAGGAAACTGAGGCTTGAAGTTGTTAGGTAACTTGTCCAAGTTACACAGCCAGAGAGCAGAACAGGTAAGATTCCAACCCAGATCTGTTTGACTCCAGAATCCAAGTTTTTAACCACTATAATATTCTTTTTTTTTTTTTTTTGGACAGAGAGAGACACAGCAAGAGAGGGAACACAAGCAGTGGGAGTGGGAGAGGGAGAAGCAGGCTTCCTGCAGAGCAGGGAGCCCAACGCGGGCCTTGATCCCAGGACCCTGGGATCATGACCCGAGCCGAAGGCAGACGCTTAACGACTTAGCCACCCAGGTGCACCTTAACTACTATAATATTCTTTAAATAAACTGCTAATTAACTCTTATTCTTTTAAAACTATGCAATATTTATATTTTTTAAATGAAATATCACAATTTACTCAATTATAGTTTTATTATTGAAATTAAGAAGTTCATAAGGTTAACTTACGTAAAGTGAAGTAAATTTAAAACTAGTAAACTCTAAATTGTCAAATTAACTGTTAAAGCTATATTAAAAAAAAAAACTAAAGTATCATTCTACAAATCAAGAGAACCATCTTTTAAGACTAAAGTTGGCAAAGGTCCTGGAAAGAATTAAAAAGATTAAACTTGGGGTGCCTGGGTAATTCAGTCAGTTGAGCATCCAATTCTTGATTTCGGCTTAGGTCATGATCTCAGGGTTAAGGGATCAAGCCCCGTGTGGGGCTCTGTCCTCAGTGGGGTGTCTGCTTGAGATTCTCTCTCTCCCTCCCCCTCTGCCCTGCCCCCCACTTGTGTGCAGGCACACTCTTGCTAATAAATAAATAAATATCTTAAAAAAAAAAGATTAATCTGACAGGCAAGGGAGGCTACTGTTGGACTTCTCTGATAAATATGGCGATTCACCTTTTTATTCCTATGTTTATACTAATAAAGTATAGGTTTATCATAGCTTCTATTAGGATATCAAATAAGGTTTTCAAGGAAATATTTAATTTTATTTTTATCTCCATTCCCAACAATTATAATTTCACCTTTAAAAGATTAAGGGTTAGGGGTGCCTGGGTGGCACAGTCAGTTAAGCAATCGACTCTTGGTTTCAGTTCAGGTAGTGAACTTGGCGTTCTGAGATCAGGGCCTGAGACTGGCCTCACACTGAATCTGCTTCAGATTCTCTCTCCCTTTCCCTCTGCCCCTCCTGCTGGTGCTCTTTCTTTCTCTCTCTCAAATAAATAAATAAATCTTAAAAAAAAAAAAGATTAAGGTTAAATCTGTATAAACTTACTTTTATTGCTTAATACTCAAAATCAAGTGTCTTACAGTCATCTTATGCTATATATACTATTATGTTTGGTGGGTAATGTACATGTTAATGTGTGAAAATACTATGATATGATTTAGAATACAGACTTTGAAAATACTCTTAAATGTCTGGTTATTAATAGCACAAAGTGCCACTTCTTCAATTCCCTGGAAAATGGATATCTATAAGAGATTTTTTAAAAAGATTTTTATGATTATTCCTATACAGTGACAAAGGAATAATCTAACTTCCAGTCTATTTTTTAAAAGGGTTCTACTTTTTCTCATCAATTTTTTAAAACTTCTAAGTCAGTACTGAATATTTTCACAAATGACCTGAATGATGACAGAATGTATGATCACTGAACCTGCAATGCCAAGTCTAATCGAGGGAATCTCAATTTGAGAGCCCATGTGGGACTCAAAAGGACTGGGACAAGTTCAAGTTGGTAGATATGATGATGATTAAACCAGAGCAAACCAAGGTGAGCACATATAAGGAAGCAATGTTCTCCATGATAAACAGTCCTTATGAAATGCTTCTCAAAAAAAAAAAAAAAAAGGCTTTCTGTGGTCAAATAAATTTAGAAAACTGAGTACTACACCTGAACCCAGGGGATCCACATACCCGCTGGCACAGAAAAAAATCTCTGGAAAGTCCTAAAGAAACCTGTTTAGCTTTGTCTAATGCTATTTCCCAAACGTACTTGCCAACAGAATCTTTTCCTTGAAGAATATCTATCAACGCCGAACACACAGTAAGAAACACTGGTCTACAAAAGTTCAATAAAACCTCCTTACAGTGCAAAATGTTTCTGTAGTTTCACAGAGTTTTCATACACATTAGCAAATCGTTCTCACTCTAGTTGCAAATCAGAATGACCTCTGGAAACTTAAACTTCGTGGCTTAATCAATATTACATTTGTCCAATAGTAGAAAAATCAAGGCTTTAATCTAATTTTTTTTTTATGGTTAAAATGTCAAGCTCTTTTTTTTTTTTTTTAAGATTTTATTTATTTATTCATGAGAGACACACAGAGAGAGAGAGAAGCAGAGGGAGAAGCAGGCTTCCCGCTAAGCAGGGAGCCCGATGCGGGACTCGATCCCAGGACCCTGGGATCATGACCTGAGCCGAAGGCAGATGCTTAACCATCTGAGCCACCCAGGCGCCCTTAATCTTCTAATTTCTAGTTGAGAGTTTTTCCACTGAGAAGACCATAAATACCACAAAGACAAACTGAATATATAATCAATAATAAAAGATTATATATTAAAGATTTTATATTTAGGGGTGCCTGGGTGGCTCAGTCGGTTAGGCGGCTGCCTTCAGCTCAGGTCATGATTCCAGAGTCCCGGGATGGAGCCCTGCATCAGACTCCCTGCTCCGGGGGAAGCCTGCTTCTCCCTCTCCCCACACCCCCTGCTTGTGTTCCTTCTCTCGCTGTGTCTCTCTCTCTCTCTGTCAAATAAATAAACTCTTAAAAAAAAAAAGATTTTATACATAAGTATCAAAATAAACATATAAAAGCTTTTAGATAATCCTCCCCTTGTACACAATGCTCAGGTTTTCTTGAAAATACTGGTGTACATTTGAACCTAACAAGTAGCAGTGACAGAGGGTACACATCCTACATTAAATTCCAAAATATAAAAGAATTATATTTGACTTTTAAAAACTTTTATTTATTTATTTGAGAGAGAGAGTGAAAGCTAGATAGAGTGAGCACACACAGAAGGAGGAGAAGCAGACTCCCCCCTGGGCAGGGAGCCTGATGCAGGGCTCGATCCCAGGACCCTGGTATCATGACCTGAGCTGAAGGCAGACACTTAACCGACTGAGCCACCCAGGCACCTCTATAATTAACTCTGAGTCTCAGTTTCCTCATTATCAGTGAGGGTATTTAAGATCTCTTTAAAGGGTTGTCATGGGGCGCCTTGATTTTATAACACAATCTTACTATCCACTTAAAGCAATACATGAAAACCAGCAATATTTATAAAAACACTAAGGTTAACCCAGTGTGTCAACATTCAAAACCATTATCAAATATGTAAGAGTTAAAAATTTCAATAACAAACTCAACAAGGCAACTGACTTAGTTTTGGTCAGGAGCACTGAATTATAATCTCAGCTGAAGAAAAAACTTCCAGGGCTTATTCTGAAGACTCACAGAGAAAAGAATGTCCAGTGTAATTATTATGGCTAGCGTTATAAAAATAAAACATAACCTCTTCAGAAACACAATGACTAAAATTTATTAATACTTCAAACTTTCCCAATCACAATAAAAAACGTTTTCATGATGAGTATTAGTAACACTTACCAGTTATACCCTCGGCTAGAAGATCTGTCATTTTGCAACATGATGCCAAAAGCTTAGTGGTAAATTCATCTAAAAGCATTATCTTAAAATGAATATCAATTAAGAAATAGTATAAGTACTTGATTGCCAAGAATTCACAAAAGACAGAATTTAATACATTAAACCTACTCAAACATAGACCTTTTATGACATAAAATGAAAATATTAGGGCAGAAGGCAAAATTATCTCAACTCACCTTTTAACTTGTATGACCTGGATATTTATTTTCTCAATATACATACATATAATATCATACATAAGTAAGCAAAAAGAAACATTTCCATTTTGAAGCAGAGAACTTGTTCATTTTATTTACTTATTTGAGAACTTTTTCATTTTAAATGTATCTTGTGTTTAACATCAAATTTTCTTAAAATTATAAAATTCCACTTCTGGAATAATAAATGTTCCAGGTGCTGTTGTAATCATTTGCCATGGATTAATTCATTTAATCTTTACAACCAAACTATGAGGTAATACTGTCCCTATTTTATAAACAAGGAACAGAGAGATCAAGGAATTTATCCAAGAAGCCACAGCTATCAAGTGGTGAAGCTGGGATTTGAACGCAATCAGTAGGTTCCAGACTCTATACTGTTACAGAAGTATAATAAGGACAATATATTGATGTCCTCAATTAAAGGGCAAAATATGCAAATTCTACCTTCCATTCGCCTTCTTTCTTGCAGTCATCAAACACTGTTGCTTTTATCTCTGCCAAAAAAAAAAGAATTATTTATAAATCTTAATCAACAGTTAGAAATATAATAATAGAATAACTACTCAAAAGATCAAAAACATTGGGGAAGCATCCAACTTGAAAATCTGCTAACCTATATAAAAAGTATATATACTTGTTAAACTCTAGGTGAAAATCCAGTTATCTTTAATACCTAACATTTATTTATTTTTAGAGCGAGAGAGCACACACTCACACACTCATACCAAATCGGGGGAAAGGCAGAGGGAAAGAGAATCTCAAGCAGACTCCCTCCCCACTCCCCCCATCCCTGGGCCAGGAGCTCAGCTGGGGCCTCCATCCCATGATCTTCAGATCATGACCTGAGCCAAAATAAAGAGTGGGACGCTCAACTGACTGAGCCACCCAGGCACCCCCTACCTATATTTAAACTGTAATATGTTTTTAAACTTTTGAGAATAAAAGTATTATGAAAGACTAATATACTTAAGAATATATTTAAGTATATAAATATATCTGGAAAATATTTCTGAAACTACTAACTGATTTGCTTTTTCCTATTCTACTTAAATCCCAAGTAAACAAGATGAAAACAAAACCCACAGGAAAATCCCTAACTAGCCCATTGCTAAATTATATCTGATAATCGAAACTAGGTACTTTTCTTCCTGGTTTAATGCAATACAATTTTCAACAATTTATATTCTAGCACTAGATACAAATATTCAGCCTTGATTTATAATCAATAAATGTTAACATTTTCCTTGCAATGATTTTCAAAATTGATCTAAATGTATTTTTCAAATTAGTTCACGGATTTACAAAAACTTTTTTCTTATATATTAAATAATACACATAGCAATTCATACAAATACCTGTTGTTCTACTTCATAATTCCCCACATTTAATGTTTCATTAATTTTCAATTTTGAAAATAATATGTAGTATGTAATAAATAAAATATAATTAAAATATAAATTATAGTAACTTCTAATTTCACTAATTCCTGGTACTGAGATGTTTATATAATTCATTTAAACTTTTCTAATTTATATTTAAGTTAATGCTTGTAGAAATATACCATCAATTTTTGGCATCACATTAAAAAAATGACATGTTCAAGCAAAGGATATATTTAATAAGGATTACTAATAATCATCATAAGAAGTATGATCTGGAAGGTTTTACTGTAATTGGGAAGCCGTGAAAGTGTTAAGAAATACTAGTAAAGGTGCTTATATATGTTTGCTAGGAAGATTATAATGTTAAATGAGAATTATGGCAAAAGCCTAGAGTGTTGAATGCTAGTTTAAGCCTAACGCACTGGTTTCTTCTACTCTACAGGCAGAGATGAAGGATTTTCTCAGGCAGAGTTCAGACACTAAAATACTATGCTACTTCCCTTTCTAAGCTTGTGTTATTTCTATATACCTCAAGCAGGCTGCAAATCAAAGACATAAATGCTCATGAATTTATGACTGAGCAGCTTAAAGAGTTTCCTAGGAAGAACTCATCTCATCATAGTCTTTAAAACCTTAGAAATTACACTGACCTATATGGTAGAAACTAGTCGCATGTCACTACTGAGCACTTAAAATGTGGCTAGCCCCTGAACTGGGATGTCCTGAAAGTATAAAAGTTGCTAAAGTAGGGGCGCCTGGGTGGCTCAGTCGTTAAGCGTCTGCCTTCGGCTCAGGTCGTGATCCCAGAGTCCTGGGATCACCAGATTTCAAAGACTTAGTACAAAAAAGGGAATGGAAAATATTAATTTTTTATATTTACATGTTTAAATGATAACATTTTAGAAATTTATTATTAAAATGATCCTCATCCATTTCTCTTTACTTTTTTTTAGTGTGGCTATTAGAAAATTTTAAATTATATATGTTGCTTGCATTCTATTTCTACTGGATAGTGCTGCCTTGGAATCCAAAGGCAAATACCCAAATACCCAGACAGTGTTAGCATCTTAAAAATAAATAAAAAAATAACTAGCTTTGTGGACTAGAAATTAGGGGCATCCATGAAAAGTGATATGGTCACAGGTAAAGTATGTTTGGAAGGGAATCAAAGGAAATCACATCAACTAATATTACAGAACTAAAGAGGCATTTCCTCCAAATACTAATGAAAATTATTTGACCTTACATACGTTTCTCTAGCACCCCAAATATGGATATATCTCAAAGCCTCAATTCCCTTAGTCCACTTGCTCTACTCTCTCCCTCAGAAACCGTATTCATCCTTGAAAGTTTCATCTATCAGATCCATCCTTCACTTTTGCCAACATTATTGAGATATAACTGACACAAAACACAACTTCAAGATATACAATGTGCTGATCTGATATACATATACTGCAGTATAATTACCACTGTAATGTTACTTAACATCTCCAACACCTCACATAATTACCATTCTTTTAGTAATTTTGGGACATAAGAACATTTAAGATCTATCTACTTTAGCAACTTTTTTTTTTTTTAAAGATTTTATTTATTTGACAGAGAGAGAGACAGCGAGAGAGGGGAACACAAGCAGGGGGAGTGGGAGAGGGACAAGCAGACCTCCTGTGGAGAAGGGAGCCCGATGCGGGGCTCGATCCCAGGACCCTGGGATCATGACCTGAGCTGAAGGCAGACGCTTAATGACTGAGCCACCCAGGCGCCCCTACTTTAGGAACTTTTTTAAAAAAAATTTTTATTTATTTATTTGAGAGAGAGAGAGAATGAGAGAGAGCACATGAGAGGGAGGAGGGTCAGAGGGAGAAGCAGACTCCCTGCCGAGCAGGGAGCCCGATGCGGAACTTGATCCCGGGACTCCAGGATCATGACCTGAGCCGAAGGCAGTCGCTTAACCAACTGAGCCACCCAGGCGCTGTACTTTAGCAACTTTTAAGTATATAGTACAGTGTTGTTATCTATAATCATAATACTGTGCATTAGATCCCCAGAACTTACTCATCTTCTAACTGTAAGTTTGTACTCTTTGACCAACTTCTCCCCATATCCCCGAACCCCCAGCAGTCCTTCAATTTTCTACAAATCTTACAGCCTATCTCTCCTTCATTCAATTATACAGTACAGGTTTAAGCACTTACATGCCTCAAATTGAGATTATAGTTTCCTAAAAACTGCTCTAGACTTCTCTAAGAGTTTTATTGGCATGTTCTGAGTCATAGTCTTTGGATATTTCCTCCATCCCCCAGATCCAATAATCAGACAGTGTTGATTGTTCTTTCTGGTGACTGCCACTATCCCCAACATTGCCTTGATTCTCATCATCTCTCACTGAACTACTGCAATAGTCACCTACCTGGATTTCCTGCTTTCTACCTCCAACCCCTTTGCCATTTCAATCCATTTTTTCACACTGCTGTCAGTTATCTTCCTGAAGCACAATTTGTTTATATCAAAGCCCACCTCGAAATTCCTTCAAGTGTTCACTCCTGCCTACAAAATAAAATCTAGATTTTACTATTCAACATCCTCTACCAAGTAGCCTCTGATACTCTCTAAGTTGATCTTCCACCAGTCCAAATGCTAGCCAAATAACGACTTTTTTTTTTTAAGATTTTATTTATTTATTTGAGAGAGAGAGAATGAGAGACAGAGAGCATGAGAGGGAGGAGGGTCAGAGGGAGAAGCAGACTCCCTGCCGAGCAGGGAGCCCGATGTGGGACTCGATCCCAGGACTCCAGGATCATGACCTGAGCCGAAGGCAGTCGCTTAACCAACTGAGCCACCCAGGCGCCCGCCAATTAACGACTTCTTAATACCAACTACTCTGCTTTGCTCATTCTTTCTCCTAAATGCAAAAGGAAATGGATTTAAAACTAATACCAAAGAAGAAATGAAAACATCGAGAGGAAAAATGAGAGTAGAGCTAACTTAGTGTATAGCATCAGCAATGTGGAAGGTATACTTGCACAACTCTCTTAAATCACACAGAAACTATTAATAAACCTGGCGACAATACAAGTGAAACTGGTTTGTCTGGAAAATAGGAAATCATCTATGAATAACAGTTGTTGTTTTCTTTTAAGATTTTATTTATTTATTTGACAGAGACCCAGCGAGAGAGGGAACACAAGCAGGGAGAGTTGGGAGAGGGAGAAGCAGGCTTCCCGCTGAGCAGGGCTCGATCCCAGGACCCCGGGATCATGACCTGAGCCGAAGGCAGACGCTTAATGACTGAGCCACCCAGGCGCCCCTAAATAACAGTTTTTATGGAAACCAAAAAGCCTAGCAATGTGTAAATCATAAAGAAGGAAGTAAGAGGGGAAAAATACCAGTACTAACGACAATCTCAACATGGATCTGGAAAAGGTACCCTTCTCTCTTTATCTGCTCTTATCTAAATCCAGGTCTCAAATTCAGCTCCCTTTTCTGTGATTTATACGTATGTATCTCCACCTGCTCACTAGATACCGCAGCTTTCACTTAACACTATGTTCTAAATCTAAACTATTTTTTTTCCCTCCAAAACTGTTCCTTCTCTTTCCCTTTACCAATAAACAGCATCAGGTCTCCTAGACCTGAATCCTACTCTGGGATGACTCTCCCCCAGCTTAAATCCTATTTATTCCATCTCTAGAATCTTTCTCATACTCTCCATCCATCTTCTATCTCCTTTGCCACATTTTGGCCTTCTTTCTTGGACCAACACCATAACAGTACCAGTCTCTTTGCCTCCCACTCCAATTTATCACCCAAGTGCACATCCTCTTCTAACATCTATAAGGTTTTTTTCTAATAATCAAATTATTATAAAAATGGAATCAACACATATATATTACTCCATCACTTGCTTGTTTTCACTAAATATACATTACAGATACCCTTTATACAGAATATAAGCACATAGATACAAATCTTCTCTTTGATAGCTATAGTACATTCCTTAGTACAGGTACACCATAACTTATTCAATTATTCTCCTATATGACAAGTAGTCATCCTGTTTCCATTTTTGCCACATTATATAATGTTGCAATGAAGATCTTTATACATAT